GGTTTAGTGACCCTGTGCCCATTATAGGTGCAGGGTGTGTGTAAAATATTTAGTGTTTAGTGTTAAATGTTCTGTCTGCTTTCCTGTCCTGCTGAGGATTGCTACCAACTAGGTCGATTTAGTTATGGAGACTGTATTGCACCCTCTGTTAGCAATAGCAATATGTACTTCCTGAATAGCAAGGCTTGTTAATTTGCATATTCAAGTGGATTTGCATATTGCTAATTCTGCAGACAGGAGAGATATTTTGTATTATATATTATCTTACGCACACCTTTATAAATATGTCATTGTGTTGTAATAAGTTGCTGTGTGTTGTCTGCTATGATTTGGTTATTTATTTAAGTTGTCACAGCAAAGTGTAATGACCACATGGGCAAGTCCCAAATTAAAATAAAGTTTTGCATGACAGTTTCATTTGGAACTGGGTGTACTGGGTGGATTTTTAATGATCCCAGTGACAGAGTCTTCGGACCTGTTGGCTGGCTACACGATCCTTCTAGACCTGGGATAACTCAAGAGTGCTAGGCCTGAGAGCCGCGAATGCCTCTGTAAGCAGAAGGACCCCAGTCAAACTGGGGCAACTGGGGCAGAAGTGCTTCAGGTTTCCCAGTTCCAGCTAGGAAGCGACCTTGGCGGAGGTACCCAGCCATGGTACAGGGAGCTCCGTCATGAAACTTAATGACAATTAGCATACCAATTAAAGACAATACTATTTGGAGACATGAATTGCGTTCAGCTTTTGTTCCAAGCTCTATAACGATGGTCATCTGGTGCTAGCCCCACATGAAACAGCTTAGCTCCAGAGAGCCAATGAAAGCTTCAGATTTCTGACTGAAGTAGTAGAGTGGGGAAGCTGTGCCAGGTGGAACCCAGCAAGAAGTGAAACTGTTCTAAAAGAGATTGACCACTTGCATTGGGGATGGCACCAGGACACCTTTTGCACTACAATCACTACAGACAGCAACAGAGGTTATGATGCATGGCGTGCTCCTTTGAAGGAGGCCTATGATAGTTTTTTTTTTTTAAAGAAAAACCAATAAAACATATAATACATAAAAAAAATTTAAGAGTGATATTAAAGGGGAAGTCTATGCACTACACTATACTATACACTACACCGGGGCTTAAAATTTCCCCTCACACCCTCTAATTTTGCAAGTGAAAATTAACCCAGGGCCCGGAACTATTGCAGACCCGCTCGTTTTCAGTCTGGCTTGGTAGTTCAAAGAACTTCCCATCCGGCATATGACTGTGTTCTTTCTCTCTCCACCTTTCTCTTCTCTGCAGTGTCGCCTAGCTGCAGCACTTTTCCTCTGTCCGGCATCAGGCTCCAGTTCTTACCCGATGCTGTGTGAAGGGTATGAGTACATTCTCTAGTGTTGAGACTTGGCTAAACCTCTGGCCATCTTAAATGGTCCCAATGTGGAGGAAGAGCAAGAACAAAATGTCCTTCTTTAGGATCAACAGCAAAAACAGATGTGAGAATGGCTGAACTTGATGGAGTCATGTCTCTTTTAGGTTATGTAACTATGTAATCTGTGATTGTTTGTATGATTGTGTGTCTGTATATCTCTGTGCCTATGTCTGTATGTCATTGTGCATGTATATATGTGTCTGACTTTGTGCCAATATTTGTGCTTGTATCTCTGTGTGCCTGAATGACTGTGTGCCTGAATCACTGTCTGTATGACTGTGTGCCTGTATGTCTATGTATGTCTGATTGTGCATGTGTCTGCATATATTTTTGACCTTACGTCTGTTAGACATGTGCAATTCGTTTAGTTCTGAATGCAAATTCGGCCGAATTTCAGAAATTCGGACATTCGGATGCTTCTGAATGTCCGAAGTGCCGAATTTTGGAATGCTGAGCCGAACCGAATTACCGAAGTGCTGAATTTCCAAGGTGCTTTGGATTTTTGAAAAGTGGCAAAACAGGAGAGGGTTGGGGTTAGGGTAGGGTTAGTGGTTGGGGTAGAGGTATGGTTAGGTTTAGGGGTAGGGTTAGTGGTTGGGGCAGGGTTAGGGTAGGGTTAAGGGTAAAGTAACCCTAACCTTATTCCTAACCCTACCCCTAACCCTATCCTTAACCCTACCATAACCTTGCCTCTAAACCTACGATAACCACTAACCCTACCCTAGCCCTACCTCTAACCCTGCCCTAACCCTACCCTACCTCTACACCTAAACTAACCCTACCTCTAACCCTACCCTACCTCTAACCCTACCCCTAACCTAACCCTACCCCTACCTTAACCCTACCTCTAACCTTACCCCTAACCCTACCATAACCCAACCCCTAACCCTACCTCTAACCCTACCCTAACCCTACTCCTAAACTAACCCTACTCTAACCCTACCCCTAACCATACCTCTAAACCTACCCCTAACATAACCCTAACCCTTCCCTAACCCTACACTTACCCAAAGTCCTGAAGTTCCAAAGTTCCGAAGTGTTGAAGTTCCGAAACCAAAGTGCCAAAGTCGTGAATTTTGGAATGCTGAACTGAATATTTTTCCCATGCACATCCCTAATGTCTGTACCTGTGTGACAGTGAGCCTGGATGTTTGTATCTGTATAGCTGTTACTGGTTGATCATGTGTACTGTCTGTGCTTGTATGACTGTGTCCCTGCGCCTGTATGTCTGTGTCTATATGACTGTGTACCTAAATGTATCTATAAGACTTTGTGCCTGTATGTTTTTTGCAGAGGGACCCTTTGTTTATTAGTTACACCCACCCAGCAACAGTGGTGTATTCTGGTTTTGTGCTGCCCTCGGCATGACAAAACTCATTCCCCCCCTTCCAAATTTCTCTTCCTGACAGACACCCGCCCTCACTGATGCAAGCACTGACATACATTTACATACAGATACACAGTCATTTTCACACACACTGTTTAACCAGCACACACTTTCACTGAAACATACACATTCACAGACATATACGCTCACTCACAGTTACACACACACTCACACTCACCGACAGACACACATATACACTAACTGACAGACACATAGATACTAACTGACAAGACATGCATGCATACTCACTGACAAACGCACACTCACTCAGTGTCACACACACATACTGGGACACATATATAGTCACTGACAGACACACTGACAGACATACACATTTACTTACAGACACACATACATACTCACTGACAAACACAAATACACTCTCAGTGACAGACACAAACACTCTAACAGTCACACAAACTCTAACAGGCACACACACACTCTAACAGACACACACACTCTCACTAACAGACACACACTAACACTCACTAACACACACACTAATACTCACTAACAGACACATACAAACTCTCACTAACAGACACACACTAACACACTCACAATTTAGTTTTTGCTTACATTTTGCTTACATTTCATTGGATTTTTCCCTGTGGTCCAGTAGGGCTGGCTGCAGCTCGGCAGGCAGTCACACGATGAGCAGTGGAGGTGGGCGGCGAGGGAGCTCTGATCCACCTGCTCAGCTCCCTCGTGCGCCTCTCAATAATGCCGCAGCCGGAGTGACGTCATATGCCAGCTGGGGCATCACTGCGGTGCGTGCGAGGGAGCTGAGCAAAAAGAGCTCAGGGGAGAGCGCTCCTACATCAGTGCATGCCAGCCTCGGGGGGGCTGAGGTGGCAAGCATGCCAGCCTCGGGGGGGAGGTGGGGCTGAGGTGGCAAGCCGGACAGCTCTCTTTTCCCACAGGACAAGAGGCTGGCAAGGCATTTGCCAGGGCATTTAAGGGGCCTTTTTTTTTGTCATCTACTGGACACTTTTTCTTGTGTTGAGCATTATACTTGAAGTATTATGTTACAAGAATGCTCCGTTTACTTGATGTTTTAGGATAAATCATGGCCAAAATAAATCTTTAAAGGGAAATAATTTAACAAAATTGTCAATCATTTGTCCACTAGACCTAAACAAAAATAAAACGGAAAATTGGAGTAAAGTTCCCAGGAAGAAAATACATGAGATTGTGCAAGCCATTACATCATTTTACTTTGACACTTGAATTGTGCAATATATTTTATTTCTCCCATATGATCTTCCACTTAAAAAAATATTGTGTCTTACATTTATCTACAGAATTCAATGCTCCAGACTTTAAAGTTCAGCTTATCAATGATGATGATGATGGAGGACCCTAAAGAATGAGTTCAGGGAATTAGGAAGCAAACTTCATAAGAAGAGTACCAAGGTAGTATTTTCTGAGCTATTACCTGTGCGTCGTACTGCAAAGGAAAGGCAGCGGGAAATTAGAGAGGCCAATGCATGGCTGAAGTTTTGGTGTAGGAAGGAGGGTTTGGCACTGGTCTGCTTTTGTGATTGGGTACAATCTTTATAGCCATGAGCTCCTGAATTGAGGAGGGTCTTTTGTGGTGGCAGTGAGAATGGTTAGAAGGTAGTAGGAGGCTTTAAACTAGGATTGGGGGGCAGGGTCCTTGAAGTATAAATGTGATAGATATTATTAAAAAGGACATGGAATTCAGGTCCAGGAAGGTGGAAATGGACGTGGTAAGACTAGCAGACAGATTAAAAGGTATTAAATACATATTCAGAGTTCGAGAAACAAATGGTAACTCTAAATGACTGTTTGCTAATGCAAGAAGCTTGTGTAAGAAAATGGAGGGGCTTGAGATTTGGCATAAAAGGAGCAGTATGACATAATTGGGATTACGAGAATTGGTGTGATGAAAAACTTGATTGGGCTATTAATTTGAATGGATATAAATTATTTAGAAAGGATAGAAAAATAAAAAGTGGGTGGGGCATTACTTTTTATTAAACCTTATTTGAAACAAAATGTTAAAGAAATTGAATGTGGTGATACAGATGAGGATGTGGAAGCCTTATGGGTATAAATATGCATACAAAGAAACAGGGGATATGAATTAATAGTAGGAATATGTTAAAAGCTCCAAAACATTAATACTCATGGGGAAGAGCAACTGCTATTTCAAATTAATGAGGTTGCACAACCAGGAGATTTTATTTATCTAGACACTGATTGGGTCAGAGGGACAAGTAGTACAGTTAAGGGCAGTGGCATACTAACGGAATGGTGGGAAGGGGGTTGCCACAAGAGCCGGTATAACCATTCAAGGGAATCCCCACGTTAGAGAGCTGATCTATGTTCAGGGAATTTTCTCAAATACTCTTGGTATGACCCTGGTTAAGGGGAACAGGTTTTTGAACCTGATAAACCATAATGTCATGGCTCAATTAGTAGATGTGCCAACTAGAATAGATGATTGTCTGGATCTTGTCATAACTAATAATATGGACTTAAAGGGATTCTCCAGTGCCAGGAAAACATATTCGTTTTCCTGGCATTGCAGGACCCTGTAGTTCCCCTCTCCCCTTCCTTGACTTACCGGAGTCCAGCGCCCATGTCCCTTTGCGCTGGGTCAGGCTCCGCCTACTCTCCTCCCCCGCAATGGCCGCGCACGCGCATTAGACCTCCCCATAGGAAAGCATTATATAATGCTTTCCTATGGGGATTTCGGCAACGCTGGAGGTCCTCACAAAGCGTGAGGACGTCCAACATTGCTGAAAATTTTTTTCTTGTTCTATGAAAACGAAAGTTCCTTTTAGTGGCTGTCTAGTAGAAAACTGCAATAATTACATTTGCAGAGTTAAGGATAGTGGGAGTTGGCACCTAGACCTCACCAATGGGCAGAAGTGGTCTGGGTGCCTGGAGTATCCCTTTAATTTCAAACATTCAAGATATGGAAATAGTGACAATTATATGACAAGTTGTACAAAAACGCTAAATTCAATAGCATTGTTACAACTAATTGACTGGCAAGAATTATTCTCTGGTAAAATCACATAGGATAAAAGGTAGGTCTTTAAACAAATTCTACAAAAGTACACTTCTCAATACATACCACTGGGAAACAAATATAAAATAAGCAAATTAAAACCAATGTGGCTTGATGAGATGAGAAAATGTCATTCAAAAACATTTAAATCAGAGGGGTAGATTGCAAACTACAAGTATAAGCTTGCAATGTTTATGTTAATGCCAAAAAGGTTAAGTGTGAAAGTGTTGGCCCATTGGATAGTGAGATGGGTGAGTTAGTCAAGAGGATCATGACAAGGCATAAATTCTAAATAATTATTTTTCTTCATTATAGAGGGAAGAAGAATCTATAACTGTAGATTTGCAGATCCCTGTTATAAAAACCTTTCAGCAAACAGGTGATTTATTAACACAGGACAAAGTGCTTCAGAAATAAATAAAGTCAATGCAAACAAAACCCCAGAGCCAGATGGTATACATCAACACGTGCTTAGGGAGCTTAGGGTAGACATATCCACACTACAGTTTTTAATTTTTCGGGATCTTTTCTTTTAGGAATTGTACCTGAGCTTTGGATAAAAGAAGATGTGCCTATATTTAAAAAGGGTTTAAAAGTTCAACCTGGAAACTACAGACATCTGTGTTTGGGAAATTATTTGAAGGCTAGTAAGAGATAATTTTCAAGAATTAATTCTGAACAATAATATCAGTAGCAGGGATCAACATGGTTTTATGAAAGGCAGGTCATGCCAAGCAAACCTAATTGCATTTTATGAAGAAGTTAGCAGAAATATAGATCCAGGTGATCCAGCAGATGTGATCTACTGGGACTTTTTCTAAGGCATTTGATACAGTTCCACACAAAAGATTACTAGTGAAACTGAAATTACTTGAATTAGATAAAATATTGTGTCCTTGGATAGAACACTGGCTTAAAAATAGAGTGCAGAGAGTAGTTGTAAATAGAAAATTTTCAAATTGGACAAAAGTGGTAAGTGGAGTGCCTCATGGTTCTGTCCTGTGTCATTTGTTGGTGTTTGCATATAACACAAAACTAGGTAAGATAATACAGTCTGAATATGATACAGACTAGAGAGGAATTTGGATACATTGGGGAACTGGGCAGGCAAGTGGCAGATAAGATTCAATACAGATAAATGTAAACCCATGCATTTTGGAATAAGGAACCCACAAGCCACTTATACATTAAAGGGGGTTGAGTAAGGGACAACAATAAATGAAAAGAACTTGGGAACAATTATAGATCACATACGAGGCAACAATATGCCACTCCGATCTTAGAATGCAAAACCTACTAAGGTGCTTTTGTGCATAAAAAGGGGAATTGATTCATGTAATCAAAATATCATTTTGCCTCTTTATAAATCAATGGTAAGAACTCACCTTGAATATGCAGTTCAAATGTGTGAACCCGTTTTAAAGTAGGATATTGCAGAATTAGGAAAAGTGCTGAGGTGTGGTACAAAATTAATAATGGGGTGGAAAACATTAGTTATGAGGAAAGGCTAGAAAAACTGGAATTGTTTTCTTTAAAAAAAAAAAAGTCTCAGAGGGGATATGATAGCACTATATATATATCTATATGGGGCCAGTGCAAAGTGCAATGTACTACCCTGTTGATTAGCAGGAACACCCATTGAGACTGCAAGAAAGGAGTTTTCACTTACAGCTGAGAAAAGGGCTCTTTATAGTAAGAATAATTAAAGATGTGAAATTCTCTTCCTAAGGAGGTTGCCATATCAGATTCTATAGATAATGTAAGAAAAGGCTTGGATGCTTTTTTGCATATACAGAATTTCCAAGGATATAATTGATATGTGTGTAAACAGGTTGTTGATTCAAGGAGAAATCTGATTGCCATTATGGAGTCAAGAAGGATTTTTTTCCATTTTTGTGGCACATTTGGAAATGTCTACAATTCTTTTTATTTTGAGTAATACCACTAAATACAATTATCGGTATGGTGTTTACATGTTATATGACCCTAAACCGTACTACTCTGCATACCTGATTATCCAATTGACTGTACATTAAAGCAATGTGGCCTTGTTACCTTTCAAAATGGTAATTCTGTAGTTTTATAAAAGTCTCTTGTAGTGGACCTATTTTGCAAGGAGATATATCTCAGAAAATTTTGGATGTATTCTTTTTGGAAAGATATGCTTTTAGAAAACAGTTAATTTCATGCTGTATGTTACACTTTTTCTAAGCAGTGTCCACAATCTGTAGTCTTTGACCTTATATATCAGGAGGTGCTGAAAACATCTACTCTCCATGTTTGTAAAAGGCTTCAGCACAACATGGCGATTCTAGAGTTTTAAAGGGGATATATGTACAACTTCAAGGTATAAAAAACAGTAACAAAAATTCTGTACATGAGTCATAAACAATATATGAGTTAACAAGTGTAATGCAAATTTAATTAACTGGACACATTACCCGATTGTTGTTTTTTTTTGTAAAATTTTATATACTAAGAAAAGTTTTGTTCACAATACAAACATGGGTATACATTAAAGTCCATTGTTTTATTTCCTGTATACTATGGCTTTCACAAAGATCAGAGCAAACTACGTATTCTTGGAAAACCTATTCTGGATGCTGAGGGATAAAGGGGAAATGTAGTTATGGGGATGTATGAGGTCCTTATTCACACCAATCAGTCATTCTTTCTTCCACTAACGTCTCCCCATCACGCACTAGTCTTCTTTTAACCATACATAAGGCACATGGCCAGATTCCATATTCAGTTATATTTCTGATAACAATTGTGATAAATGGTAATACAATCATTTATACAGGATTATGTTTATCTGCATAACCAGTGATAAAAGTTGTGAAGTCATGGAAAAATAAAAATCTAACTAAAAACACTCTAAAGCCAAAATGTGTAGGTACACATTAATACCGTAGGAAGTAGGGTGGCATGTATTCTAAATTACATTTAATGTGGTGCTTCTGTAACTTTCAACAATATGGAAATCATATTTTTATTTTTTGCACTTTCACTACCATGTTGTCTCTGAAAGTTAAATAAATAATGTATATCCTGTCTTCTTCTGAGAGTATTAAAATAATTAGCATCGAAGGGCACTTAGAGCAAACCGTAGTGTGCAAGTCATTTTAAAACTATGCTCAAACATTCTGTTGATGTGTACATAACCTGTTTTTGTTAGGGAAAGGAAATTCAGAAATTACGAGAGTAATGTAATATATTAGTCTGTATGTAGCCATACTGTTTATACGTCCCAACATTTCAAATGGGCAAAGGGGGACATTTTCATTTTAGAAGTGTGAGTGGGGGTATGGCCAGTGCCACGGCTGCCCTGCGAAAATTTAAGTGACTTGCTAATAAAAATCGATGCCACTAAAATGTAATTTAGAACAAGAACAATATATCTTATTTCACAGACTGATTTCTAAAGGCACATTACTGTGAGTATCATTGTTGTGGAGCTCTGTTATACACTCAGTCATACCAACAATGTGGAGTTGCTAGACAAGAGGGACATTAGGATAGAAAGGAGGGGCAGTGGGATTTGGTCCCAGAGTAGGGACTGTCCCTTCTAAATCGGGACACTTGGGAGTTATGATATTGGCTACTGCAGTAAATACAATACTGCTACTGCAGTAAATACAATTTCCAAGCTAAAACCAAGCATCTGCATTTCAAATCACATTGTAGGCTTTTATTGCAGACTGTAAATATGTCCTGAAATTTGCCATGAATTCTCTCCAACGTGGCACAAGGCTCCTGCTAAATGGGCAGGAATGACCTGAATTAGTTTTTTCTTAGCAAGTTAAGGATTAGCACTGAGCAGGTGGATTTTCTATTGCAAAGGAATGAATATGGCTGGTAGGAAAGAAATTAAATTAGCAATTTACTGCATAGTAGAAAGTGCCCATGGCAAAAATATATTTTCCCAATCATGTGGAAATCAACCCATTAAAAATGTCAAAATAATGGCTTAACATTTGGTCTAATAAGGGTCTGTATTAGTCTTGATTCTACCTTAGTTGCAAATAGGACAAACAGATAAAATATTTTTTTTTTCAGGGAAACCCACTAATTATCAGAATAAAAAAAATATGTTCAGGTTTTATTTTCACTTTAAGGTGAAAATGCATCCAGTACACTTCATCACAACTGTTATCTCAAGTAAAAAAATATATATATATCAATATAGTCATTATGGCGCACAACCTTTATCTTCACATCCACTGACAGGCCTGGTTGTCAAGGCAACACAAAATTAAACATTTTTAAACAGTGAAAGTGACAGGGTTAGTTGATTAATTACCTATTACCAAGATGTTGGCCTGTTAGGGACATTTTAAGACTAAGCTATGCACCCCAGATTTAACCACTAGAAACAAGTCCCCTGCCTCGGTACACATTTCTAAACATCCTTCTAGCCTCATAATTATAGTTTCACTTTCTCTTCACATAACCATCCACCTTAACATGCACGCAATAAATAGGGGACCCTTAATGGGCATGTGTGACCTATATAACAGGAAGTAAATAAAGATAATAAAATGGTGAAGTAAGTATAGTGGTAACCAACCAACATATAGCAAAATGGTGGCTGCAAACAAACAGAACTAAAATTCTAAGCAGTGATCACAAGTAAAACTCTACAAATTAAACTTAAGGCCTGCTTTTTGCATGGTCACAGTGGCATCTGAGTACTAAATAGGGAACCTACAGTATTATTATTTATTATATTCAAGTAACCTGTATGAATGTAAAACATTTTTAGGCCCTAAAGGCTTTCAATTGAGAGTCCGGGCCTAGCCATTAAAGCCTAAATTATATTTAGACATGGTGCTAAACATCACTTTCGTTGTTTAACTAACAATTTCCATCTCCGGGGAGCAGTTTACTCTGGAAACTGTTAAAATATGAGCTTGCAATAAAATATATACTATGTAGGCTTAGAAATGAGTGCATAATTCCCAGCTGACTGCTCTTGAATATGCTACACGAGACTTAAGCTGTGAAGACTGCAATTTCAAATCCCATTCATTTCCGTTTGAGGAAGATAAAGATGATAAAGATCATTATTTTGTGAACATTATGTTGTCTTTTAAGTGCAATATGACATAAGGTGCTCCATGCACCCTTTTCCCACAATTTTCATTTTGGCATTTTTCAATATATCAAGATAAAATTGTATGGATGAACTTGTGATGTTGCCCTGTTGAGTTCTGCCAATTTGTTCCGGAAAGTATTCAACAGTGCAAAAATATATCATATATAATTTTAATTTTAATTTTATTTTTTTTAATTTTTTTATATACTTTTTTTTTTTTGCCCTCAAGTCTTTCAAAAGATTTGATTTTTTTATTTTATAAAAACCTGTAAGTTTGTGAATGTTCCAAATTTTATTTTCTATAGCAGCAGATTTTATTTAATTTTTTTTGGTTTAATATTTACTTTGGCACTTTCTTTCGGGATACTACTGAAATATACCCACATACCAATGTCATTTGAAGCCACCATTTTGAATCCATTCTATACTTCCATTGAACAATAGATCGCTACAATGTCTTTGTGATTATGAGCTTAACACAGCATAACACATGATATTCCTCTGCTGAAATCCGATTTTGATATTGCTCCTTCCTTCCCCTCTCCATCAAAATACATACAGTAGTGTAAAGAGTAAGTCAGAGTCTCGTCTCTTGAATACTAATCCACCTCACTTGCTGCTCATCTTCTGTAGTGCTGGGATACACCATTGGCAGGGCATGCAGACTGTGGGCAGTCGGCTAAGTACACTTTTTTCATTATTATTTTCATAATACAGTATCAAATCCACTCAAAAGCATATCAGCTTTTCAATACAAAAACTAAAAATGTATGTCTTTTTTCTTTCCACTTTCATTTTAGGCACTGAATGTGTGACAGAAGAGTGTGCATGTCAAGTCTCAAGACATTTTTTATTCCCAATGATACGTTTCAATAGTCCAACAGATCAAGGCATAAATTCTTCAGTGTTTTGTCTCATTGGCAAGTCTCTTCTTCTTTGCTTGCTTTTTATAAGAGAAACAAAATGCCATGCTGCCACCAGATGGGAGCTGAGGACAGAGGCCCCTGGTTTATTCATCACAGAAAATCGACTGGAAGTAAAAACAGAATGCTCGTTGGTCTATTTTTCCTACAAGAAAAAGCACGGCTGAGGAACCCCATGACAGTGCCTAATTTTGTCTTCTCTCCAAGCTGAAGAAGAGGCTTCTTGGCAAGAAGGTTAACTACTCAACTAGCCAACATTACTCACATTATAAACACCTCCTAACCTTCAGATAACTTCACAAGTCCATAATGAAGAAGTACACCTGTTTGGCTTCTATCTCTAGTATACTTAAGGCCAAGGTGCATCAAACCGATAACACAGTAGGATTTGCTTTGCTCTACTCCCTGATAAGTTAATCTTGATATCTTAAGTCATTAAAAGCTGTCCACAAAACAAAGAGCACAGAGTGAGCCAGTGTAGAAATAAAATACAAAGAATACAAAAAAATATCACTGTGCAAGCCTACTTTTACCAAATAAAAGAAAAAAAATTAGTGGGCTACAAAGTAGTGATGATAGCTGGGATGTTTCTACCACAGAAAGTGCCGACATAACATTTCAGTGGAATCCAGTGAGCTACGGAAAAAAACAACCTCTGGGTATAGGACGGGAATATCTCCGATGTTACCCAAAGTTCCTTAGAATTAAAAAAAAATATCGGAACCGTACCGTGAAGTGATGCACTTGGCAGCAACATATTATAAAAGAGATTTTTTTTTTTTTTTTAAAACCATTATGACTGATGTAGATTTCTACATGGCTTCCCAGTTTGGAAATTGTTTCACACACACAAACATATATTTATATATAATATAGATATATATATATATTCCTTTTGGCTCAAAACATAACACAGAAAGGTTCTGTTAGGGTGAGGTCTTTGTGGTTTTGTGGCCCTTCCCCTTCCGTCCATGCATCGATTAAAGGGTCCCATCCCCTTTTTTTATAGTCTCCTGTCCCGTGAAAGGCTGAAAGGTCTGGGGACAATGTGAGACGTATCCACCTTTTTCCCAAGCTCATAATAGCCAGTCCTACATGGCTAAGTAAAGGGGAAGGGAGAACTGCTTTTTAGCTCAGTCTTTGACCAGTCGATAGATGTGATGCTGAGCTCCGTGTTCACTGGTTGACACTTCAAAGACGTATGCTATGCACAAAAGTAATTCCTGGGTTTCCCGATTTGTAACCACCTGTGCCAAAAAAATAGATAAATAAATATACGTCTTACATTGTACAGTAAAAAAAAGTACGGTAACACTTTTGCAAAATGTTAATATCAAATCAATAAAATTAAACGGCAACTAAATATAACATGGTATATTAAGCATAACTAATAGCAGACATGGGTTATAGTGTTCACTGAAAACAAATGAACATTTTCAGACCAGATCAGTAGTATTTAAGATGTGTCCCTTTAACATTTCTCATTTTATAACTTCTCTTTTATTGCCCCACAAACAGATGATACGTATTTGTTTTTATATATATTTCACAGCGCTCTACAATTATATAGAAAGGGGATATATATATAGTTAAAGACCCTGCTCAAAAAAGTTTACATCTATGAGAACTTGAGATTGGCAGATATTTATCGTTTGGTGTCTTGCCCAGGGACACTTATTGGTTAAGTGGTCTGACTGGGATCTAAAAAACTGATTATCAGTCACACTGTTACCCCAAATCAGTTCCACTGGACTAAGGCACACTATTGGAAATTGTCTCTTTTTATGTTTCATTTTATGCAGCCATTATAAACTTATACATTTAAAAATATTTTTAAGCATTGTACGTATTTGATTTACGACAAATGTCAACTTTCTGAAAGTTGTTTTCATTGCCAGTTAGCTTGTGTTTCGATCGTTTTGTTACTCTCACTGGCTACAAGAAAGAGAGCAGAATGGTAAAACAGATGTCCGTGAGTCAGGGGGCACACAATGTATCATCAAACAGATGTTCCTTATTAAATAATGCTAACAGATGGGAGTCTGAAAAGATCGGAACGGTTTTTCTTAGCACAGCAAGAGAGATAGAGAGATCTAAGCGCAAGCAATTTGAAAAGTAAACAACTTTATACATTTAAAGTTGTGCAACATCTGTGACTGTGCTATTATAGCTATAATTTATTTTTCTCTTAAGAACAGTGTACAGTGATTTAGACCAGGCTCAAAGTTACTTTGAATACCAAACATATCAAATTTTTTTTTAAAGGTCCACTCCAGAATACATTTTTTTTTTTTTTTTTTAAATCACTCTTTAGTAGATATACCCCAAACGAATACATGCATGCATTTTTTATGCATGTACTCATTGGGGGTGTATATTAAAATAACTTGCAAAAGCTGCTGGTCTTAAGAAAAGCAGCCTTTGCAAGCACTCTCCCTTTTCCATGGAAGAGACTTTTGGCTCTGTGGGTACACATTTATAAGCAAGGAAAATTCAGTACTCCCCAACCATAAAGTATTTCAGCAAGCTGAAGTGCTTTATGGGTATGGAGTTGTGAGAATATTTATGGGATAGAAAGGGTATCAGTCACAACCCTGATTACACTATCAACACTTCTCAGAAATAAACAAAACAAAGAGAAACACGTAGAACTGTGTTCACCTTTTTTCACATAAAGTTCTGTTTTCTTTTAAATGTATATGAGAGATTTAGTAAATGACATAATGACTCAATACTGACAAGGCAAAGCTAGAGTAAATATTGCAAATCGGAAGGAGAAATAGAAAAATTGTGTTGTTAATCCTCTTCTTTGTATGCTTTCTCTATGCTGACTGCCAGGTGCAAAGGACAGAGTTTATAACAATGACTAACAGGGGGCTAAGATGGTGGCACCCAGTTACTGGATAAAGAGGTGTGGATTTCTACATTTCATTTTATTTTTCACACCTTACAAATTCATGTTTATATGACTGTACAGCCACGTATGCAAATTAGCAGTTTCAAACTTAAATGACCAATCTGCATACTAGACCAAATGCTGATGTCATTGAGGGAATGAAGTTAAAAAAATGGAGATGTCTTAATTTTTACCTGCAATATAGTGAAGTTTTCTAACACACTGTTCATCATGTATTTCTCCGGAAGCTGTTTCAGTTTGTGGATAAAGTTGATGAGATATTCACACATAGGAGAGCGATGGATTCGGTACAGGAAACGTCCATTTTCAAACCGCGCATACTCTGTCTGTGGACCATAAAAAAGATATTTAGATTTAATAAAATGTCTGAACTTTTCTGTCATTTGTAACATTGTCTCATTTGTCTGTAGATTGTTGAGAAGGTCCTGAATTACATTTTAGTAATAAACATTCAGATTACAGATACATGAAGTTCCTTGAAAGCCACTCCAACTTTGCATGCTTTTAGACAAAAGAGACAAGGTGCTTGGGGGAGACACACAGAGGGGCAGGGGAAGGGGAGAAAGGGACACACACACACAAATGAGCTGGGAGGAAGAAAGGAACACTCACAGGAACAGGGAGTGAAGAGACACACAGACTAGCTGGGGGGAGGAGAACGAGACACACATAGGGGCTGGGAGAAAGAGACACACAGAGGGGCAGGGGAATGAGAAAAAGAGACACACAGAGGGGTCGGGGGAAGAAAGAGACACACAGAGGGGCTGGGGAGAAAGAGTCACACAGAGGGGCAGGGGAATGAGAGAAAGAGACACACAGAGGGGCTGGGGAGAAAGAGACAAAGTGGCTGGAGGGAGAAAGAGTCACACAAAGGGGGGTTAAGACACACAAGGGAGTGGTAAGAGACACACAAGGGGGGAAATGAGGATAAGGTTGACTAAAAGGGGTGTAAGACACAGTAGGGGATATGGTACACTAAATGGATAAGACAATCAAAAGGGGGGGGGGATTGTAAAGCAAAATGCATATTTGTCGGTGTAGCCACAAATTGTTGCACCAGTCCTGGGTGTGGGCTGTTCGAACCAAAATCTAGATCCTTACATTTAAAACTTAAATGACCACTTAAGATTATACATTTGGCTTCTCCTGTGACAAGGACCCTTGTGATTGGTTGTTCTTACCTCTACTTTCTCTACCACTTGTTTCCCAAAGGAACAGACTTTGGAAGAGCAGGTTATGGTCATATTTTCAGGACTCTCATATTGGCTGCTGACACCATAGAATACACCTGGTTCATCCTGGATGCTGGTATTAAGGTCAGCCTAAAGATATAGGAATAAAAAAATAAATAAATAAAGATATTAAGAAGGCTTTAATGCATGGATGTATTAGACTTATTTACCCTGGTGATAAATTAACTGATGAAAGATGACTGCTAAAATGTGATACTAGCTATTTGTCATACATTTGATAGATTTTGTCAATTTATGTCATGTTTCTTAAGGACTTTAGGAATGTAACCAAAAGCTTTCCGATGGGAATGCATTGTGATTGGCTTTGATCATCAATTCTGATTATGTCAGCCAAGGAGGCAGATCAGGGGCAGAGCCAGCACCAACACACTGGAAAAAAAAGGTAAACCTTTACTATATTTAGGAGGGCAAGGGTGCTTGATACTGGTTTTTAACACTATAGGGTCAGGAATACATGTTTGTGTTCCTGACCTTATAGTGTTCCTTTAATTATCTAGTGGACCTCATTTGCAAGGATGGAAAATAAACAAATTGGGATGTATAATAGGGTCACATATTCTGGGGACATAAATTTACAAAATCCAAATTTATCTTCTTTTCTATATTTGCTTGCATGACGGTGAGGCACAAAACACTCAAGCCAAAGGCAATTAAATTAAAACTGGTTTACTTGTGTAGCACAAAGTCTACATAAATATTTCTGTTTAAGACAGAAAACATAAAACCAAAGAAAAAAATACATACCCAGAATTTGACCAGGAAGAAAGCATTGGGTGGACCCTTCTCATAAAGTTCTTTCAGGCCTCCCTTTTTCTCTGGAAACTTGTCATAGATCTGACGGACGTCCACAGATTCCAACAGAGCATCACTATAGGAGGGATTTGACTGGCTGATGTGCACATACAGATGTTTGTTGTACTGTTAATGAAGAAGATGAATTTGTTACAAAAGGCTAAAAGATGGAAATGGGCCACAGTCTACAAAGACGCACACAATAGTTATAAATTGTTCTTATAGGACAGGGATAGGCAATCTTCGACACTCAAGATGTTGTGAACTATGAGGTGGTCTCAAGCATTAAGGAAGATGTAGTTGCCAACCACTGTCATATGCATTTGCCAATAGGTACTTGTTCTTAAACTAGTGCTTCTATTAGTAGGTGGACTTGCGCATTGGGCAAATAGCGTGCTTCGTCCAAATTTTTTAAAGAATTCACCCAGAATTTTGTGAATAGAATTTTGTCCAGAGGTTCGGTTTGTCAAATTACGCATTCCCAAACTTAACTTCTTAATTCAGCTGTTTAGTAATTAACTATTTTAATTGCCATCCTTATGTGGAACTGACACATTTTATCCTGCAATACACACACACAATAAAAAAGAAGAAAACTAAAAACTGTGTGTTCAAACTAAAAACCATGCTAACAATAAAACAACAATACCAAAAATACAAGTGATAAACATAAAGGGTTTTCCTAACTTGCCAAAGTTCCCTATTCCTAAACTCTCTAACACAAAACTTCTTAACAGTTAAAGCCCTAGCCATTATCTCGAAGTTTCAAATCCTGAACTGTGAAATTTTGTTTTTAAAAATCCTGATAAAGTGCATGTTAGCACCAAATGTGTGTTGCTGTGGCTGTATTATATTTTAAAATGCATGTGCTTGGGAAATAAAAAAAGTGACTTGTCAGAATGAGCACTGGATCATATTTCTTTGATGGATTGTTCTTTATGAGCTTACTATGCTATATAAGTGATACGGAGAGGGGGACACTGTTTGCGACACAGTCATCTGAGCTATGACATTGTCATCTACATTATAAGGAAGAGGTACAGACTGTTCGTTAATATATATTTTCAAACAATATATATATTTTTTTAGAAATGTCTGGACCTATTTTTGCCCGTCTAGCACCATTAATATATGTACTCTAATAGCTTAGGGAGTTACAACAATATATGGTTTTAACCTTTGCAGCAAAAATACATTAAAACCATTTTAATCAGACATCTGTTCTGCATTTGAAAGCATACTCTTAAATGTAAAATCTACTTTGCCCTTTGAAAGTCGGTCAACAGTTGTCAGAGACGAATGAAGGCTCCTCAGCAGTAATGGATGGTTTTTGTTACTTCAGAGGTGGTGTAACCTAGTAACTTCTCTTATAAGAGGGTTGCCATTAACAAATTTAGCTATCACTCCTTGATAGCAAGAGCCATGTCTAGAAACCATTATGTTTCAATTTGTCTGAACTATGCAACTGCCAACTGTCGATCTGCTAGGTGGCACTTACCGTATCTGGTTCTCCTTGTTGTTCCATAAAAGCCAAAAATTCAACCAGGCGCAATTTTGGAGTGCCGATCGAGCGACCTTGCCAAGCAGGTCCTGTAGGCACAGGGGAGAGACTGGCAGGGCTAGCATTATAACCTTGATTCAAAATAGAACAGAATATTCAATTTAGAAAATATAACCTGAAGCGAAAGAAGTTTGACAGCAATTAGACAAGATTAAAGATTATAACAATTAGGTACATGTTTTGGGGTGAAAATTCTTAATCACGTTAACTCTAACTTATTTCCAAAGTCCCAATTACAATTATTACTAGTTGTTGTGTAGGCGATAAAAATGTTAGCTTAGAGTAAAGATGTTCAGTGAATGTTTAATGTATATGCTAACACCTTCAGTAAACGTAACATTCCCAATAAAAGCAAAAATATATAGATGGATAGATAGATCAGATAAATAGACATACCCTGAGAATTACATTTTTAAAATGTTACATTTGAAACAGTGCAATGCATAGGTTTGGTTACAATTAGTTGTGCTAGTTTTTATGAATTATCTTTATTTTATTAGATATTTGCTTCATAAGACTTCATAAGAACTTTTTTAACTGAAATTTTATTCTTTCATATTGAGTGAACCTACAAATATTAAATATCCTTTTTTTAAAGGATAGGGCTTTATTTTGATATTCATTTTTATATATATATATATATATATATATATATACACACACTTATAAACTTATCATTTAGTACGGTTAAAATATAGAAAAAGGGACAAAACTTAAAAAAGTTAAATGTTCACAAGTTTGTGTGTGATATATTTTCGCAACTTGCACAGCCAAAGAAAAATACATTAAAATAGATTCATATATTTATCCTGATTTCAGTACTACTCTAATGCCGTAAGTTTCGCATTTAGTTTAAGTGGGACAGATACTACACTGAACAAAATTATAAACGCAACACTTTTGTTTTTGCCCCCATTTTTCATGAGCTGAACTCAAAGATCTAAGACATTTTCTACGTACACAAAACTCCTATTTCTCCCAAATATTGTTCACAAATCTGTCTAAATCTGTGTTAGTGAACACTTCCCCTTTGCCGAGATAATCCATCCACCTCACAGGTGTGGCATATCGAGATGCTGATTAGACATCAGGATTATTGCATAGGTGTGCCTTAGGCTGGCCACACTAAAAGGTCACTCTAAAATGTGCAGTTTTGCTGTATTGGTGGGGTCCAGAGTGTCCGAAAACCAGTCAGTATCGGGTGTGACCACCATTTGCCTAACGCAGTGCAACACATCTCCTTCACATAGAGTTGATCAGGTTGTTGATTGTGGCCTGTGGAATGTTGGTCCACTCCTCTTCCATGGCTGTGCGAAGTTGCTGGATATTGGCAGGACCTGGAACACACTGTAGTATATGCCGATCCAGAGCATCCCAAACATGCTCAATAGGTGACATGTCCGGTGAGTATGCTGGCCATGCAAGAACTGGGATGTTTTCAGATTCCAGGAACTGTGTCAGATCCTTGCAACATGGGGCTGTGCATTATCATGCTGCAACATGAGGTGATGGTCATGGATGAATGGCACAACAGTGGGCCTCAGGATCTCGTCACAGTATCTCTGTGCATTCAAAATGCCATCAACAAAATGCACCTGTGTTTGCTGTCCATAACATACGCCTGCCCATACCATAACCCCACCATGGGCCACTCGATCCACAATGTTGACATCAGCAAACCGCTCACCCACACAACGCCATACACACTGTCTGCCATCTGCCCTGTACAGTGAAAACTGGGATTTATCCGTGAAGAGAACACCTCTCCAAAGTGCCAGACGCCATCGAATGTGAGCATTTGCCCACTCAAGTCGGTTACAACGAACTGCAGTCAGGTCGAGACAATGAGGACAATGAGCGTGCATATGAGCTTCCCTGAGACAGGTTCCGACAGTTTGTGTAGAGATTTTTGGGTTATGCAAGCCAATTGTTGCAGCAACTGTCCGGGTGGCAGGTCTCAGACGATTTTGGAGGTGAAGATGCTGGATGTGGAGGTCCTGGGCTGGTGTGGTTACACGTGGTCTGCGGTTGTTAGGCCGGTTGGATGTACTGCCAAATTTTCTGAAACGCCTTTGGATTCCTGCAGTCAGCATGCCAATTGCATACTCCCTCAAAACTTGCAACATCTGTGGCATTGTGTTGTGTGATAAAACTGCACATATTAGAGTGGCCTTTTATTGTGGCCAGCCTAAAGCACACCTGTGCAATAATCATGCTGTCTAATCAGCATCTTGATATGCCACACCTGTGAGGTGGATGGATTATCTCGGCAAAGAAGTGCTCACTAACACAGATTTAGACAGAATTGTGAACCATAATTGAGAGAAATAGCCTTTTGTGTACATAGAATAGTTCAGCTCATAAAAAATGGGGGCAAAAACAAGTGTTGCATTTATAATTTTGTTTAGTGTAGTATCTGCCCCACTAAAACTAAATTCAAAACTTAAAGGACCACTATAGGCACCCAGACCACTTCAGTTTAATGAAGTGGTCTGGGTGCCAGGTCCACCTAGGATTAACCCTTTCTGCTGTAAACATAAACATGGGTTTATCCAGCCTCAAGTGGCTGTCTCATTGACAGCCACTAGAGGCGCTTCCGCGCTTCTCACTGTGAAAATCACAGTGAGAAGACGCCAGCGTTCATAGGAAAGCATTGAGAATGCTTTCCTATGAGACTGGCTGAATGTGCGTGCGGCTGAATGTGCGAATGTGCGAATTCAGCCGATGACGGGGAAAGGAGGAGGAGAGTCTTCAGCGCCAAGGGAGCCCGGCGCTGGAGAAAGGTAAGTGTTTAACCCCTTCCTCTCCATCCAGCCTGGCGGGAGTGGGACCCTGAGGGTGGGGACACCCTCAGGGCACTATAGTGCCATGAAAACGAGTATGTTTTCCTGGCACTATAGTGGTCCTTTAAGGCATTGGAGTATTACTAAATTCAGGATACATATATGAATCTATTTTCATGTATTTTTCATTGCGTTGCGAAAATATATCACACACAAACTTGTGAACATTTAACTTTTTGAAAGTTTTTGCCCTTTTTCTATATTTTAATGTACTAAATGATATGTTTATAAGTGTGTATATATATATATACACATACATATATATACATATATATAAAAGAAACCAAGAGGGCTGCACTCACCTAAACATGCATACATTATAGGGTGCTGCTGGGGCCAAAATATACAAAATACAGAATCCAGCGCACAATGATTTCAAATCTTAGAGATTGTAATAGTTTTATTTAATTTAGCTATTTATTTTAGTGATTAAGCGAGTGAGCTGGATTCTGCATTTTATATATACATATATATATAATGAATATCAAAATAAAGTCCTATCCTTTAAAAAAAAGGATATTTAATATGTGTAGGTGCACTCAATATGAAAGAAGAAAATTTCAGTTAGAAAAGTTCTTATGAAGCAAATATCTAATACAATAAAGATTATTCATAAAAACTAGCACAACTAATTGTAACCAAACCTATGCATTGCACTGTTTTCATCTAATTTTGTGAATGAGATTCTTGTTCATTGTTCCGATAACTTGTTAAAGGTAGCAATAATTACAAATGAAGACAATGAAAGGGGAGAAGAAAGAAAATAACAAGTAAATCATAAAATACACGGAGATCGCTGTTTATACCTGGTACGGCAGGAAGAGGGGGAGCAGGCTGCATGGGGTATGGAGGCTGGGAAAACGGCTTAATGCTAAAGAAAATAATACAACAAAACAAAAATGAGATAATGGACACAAATAAGGTGGAAAGATTCACCTTTCATTCCTTTTCCCTTGAAGCAGTTTATGTGATCAGAAAGAGAGAGAGAGAGATTGGAAAATATAAAACATATTTACAGGTGTAAAACCTTTTTAACCATTAATAAACAAAAACTCAGAACAAGACGCTCTAATATTTACATTTAATAAATGACTAATAAGTTAAAATCAATGCAAATGCAATGCAATGAAATGGAGTGACTGCTGTAGCAAAGGCTTACGGCCTAGTTCAGAAATCCCAAACCAGCACTGTCTCAGAACATCTCCCAGAAAATAAATTAGACAAGCTCATAATGTTAAATAATGCCAACATTTACACAATTAACAAATGGTGCCTATTAACCCCTTAAGGACACAACTTCTGAAATAAAGGGGAATCATGATGGAATATTTCCGTCATGTGTCCTTAAGGGGTTAAGAAAAACAAAGTATACAGAAAAATAGGCATTGACAGATCTTGTGTAAAACACAATTATGACAAATCTATATTACAGAATTCTAATGTATTGACGATGATAATGCAAATGTAATAGATGACCATTACACCTTATAAAACAAGCCAGATGGAAATAGTGAGGGTGTCATATGAGATTGTAAGAAGAAAGATGATAAATACTTACTCCTGTGGCGGTCGTGGCTGACCAGGTCCATCTGACCAGAACTGGAAAAGCTCCGTGGCCTATATAAAATAGAAATAAAATAAATATTTTTTATGATCTTAAAAACATAGTTTGGCTTGCTTACCAAGACAGAGACAGTTTTTATGCCTCTCTGATTAATTTAAAAATGTTCAAACAATTTACATGGGTCTCACTTCAAAGCATTTTTGGCACCAACACACCGACCACATACAGATTATTACAGCCTTTTGTGTCTCGACCACAAATATATATACATGAAAAGAACGTTGCTAGTCACACAACTTAAAGGGAAGTATGGGATTGGTAGGCAGATGGGATTGGTAGGAACTACATATATCCACCTTGACGGGGGAAATGTTTTATTTTTTAACTGGAGTTTTGGGGTAATTATTCTACAAATCCTGAAACCCAACAGGTTCCCAAGAATGGTTATTGTTTGTGCATTTTTCATGCACTATCTGTATCTATACAATCTATATTTAATGACATATCTTTTTACTTAAGGGCATAAGAAGTCATTTGACAGAAGTGCATGCTAAATAGCTATTTCAAACGATCACTAGTGTAAACACTTTGGGGGACACAAACTGCAATTACAACTAGAATAAACATCTCGATTGCACACTGATCGCATAATGGCAGTTCTCACTAATGGTGGCAAGTGTGGTTGTAAAAGAGCTGTATTAATAATAAAGCAACATTTTCTATTAAAATAAGACTCAAAGCACTTAAACTGCAACAATCAAACTACTTAAACTATTCTACATTTAGATTTATTACATCTTTATCTTGGTTGTAGTTAAATTTAAAAAAACTAATACAGTCAGAAACAGAATTAATTGAGCATGACTGGTACCTACCCCTGGAGTGGGTTGGAATGGGGGTTGTGGGATTCTGGGTACCCCCAACTTATTTTGAATTGCTGTGGCTGATACGAGTTGCGCTGAAGACATCGCGGCCATACTCTGTAGAGCTTTATCTTTTGCAACCTGATCCTGGAACAACAGTGCCAAGACAAGATTACCTAAGTATCCATCTCGTAACACATTACAAAAAAAGGTAAAACCAGAAGCAACGTGTTTGCTTAAAATACGGTTTATCACCAACCTCCACCGAATATTCTTTACAATATAAATTATTTACATCTTGTAACTCACACATTTAACCAGAATTTTGGTCAACTGCAGAATGTTTTAGCCTACATTTCAGATGATACTGGAGATGAATTGAGCATCATGGGAAATGCAGTCCAAAAATGTGTGCAGTGCCATCAGGCGGTAAAATTCAACACACTTGGATGTGTAATATAACTTGTCATTATCGAAAAATCTTATTTTAGACTTTTGGGTTAACCAAGATTCTAAAAAGAAAAACTAAAACACATTTTAGATATATGTCTGTAGTGAGCTCATCACAGCTGACCAAATAGTGACCCCCATAGTAATATTATGGGGAAGGCGTGGGCGCAGGGGGTGGAGCTTATAGCAGTATGATCTGCAATGGTGAGCGCTATATTCGTAGACAAATACATTTGTTTGAACAATAAAATTGTTATTTTAACAACATGGAGAGAAAAAAAAGATTCCACAAGACTGGAGCATTTTTGAAAACTCCCCTTTGACACTCTAATTACAAGCTCATCAAGCATGTGAATACATAAAACATTGTGAATGTCAACAGAAATTTAGACTAAAATTACAAAGACTCATAGGGTTATAGAGATTCCTATGGCTACCGGTGATGAAATTTAATTCTTTTAATCCAGTTAATGATTCAAGTAAAACAAATCATTGTCCTGTCTAAAAGCTGTACTGTTACATGTGGGATTTCTGCACAACATGAAAGCTATGGGTTGTGCCACAAACTATTTTCTTTTTGACTTTGACACTGTATTCCGTCTGGGCAATCCTGACACAGCCAGAGCATCGTATGCAAATTAATTTAACCAATGTGTACCTCGATTCATTTTTTTAAATATGTTTTTCAAATGATTGAAATCTGTTAGAAAAACTTTCCAAATCATTTATCTGCAGAAGTCACCATTAAAGTTTATGGAACTTTTTGTAGATAAATTATTTTGAAAGTTTGTTCTAAGAGATCTCAATTATTTGAAATGCTTATCCCAAAATATTAAATCAAGTCTATGTCGTCCTACACTTGCACCACGGTATGGAAGGATCCAAGGCCCCCCAACAGTTCCAATTTCTGGGTCCTGTCTCTCTAACCCGATTTAGTTCCCTAGTGTACCGCATTCAGTTACACAAGGGAAGGGTCATCACGGTGCATCATTAGATGTGCTTGATCTGTGAACATGAATTAGGACATGGCAGAGAGCACTTCAGCAGTTTCCTCAATAAGGTCCTGCAGGCTCGGGGCTGGTCAGACAGGTCACTGGTCATCTCCCCTCTCAGGCTATTCACCATTCCCGGTCTGCATACTTCCCAATGTTGGGCATTATAGGAATCCCTAAACACACATGCATTTAAATGTTATTTTGTTGTAGATATCTAAGCGCAGAGGATCATGGTGCTGCGGGAGTGAGTGGGCTTTTTTTTAACTAACCTTTACTACACTTCTCTCTCCAGGAAGCACTTCAAAAGTATATAATGGGGTGAGGGAATGAGGAATTGTCACTTTCAGATAAGTGACAAGTCTCGTTTAATGCCCAAAGGCCAACACGGTAAATCAATAAACTATAGCAGAATGTTCTAAAACAAAAGGTAAGGTAATTTTCCAGGCCAAGCAAACAACAAAATTACTATATAGAAATGTAGTCATTTTATGACACAATGGAATGAATACGACCACCACTAATACAAGCTACATGATGCGCTCTCTTCAGATAATTATCTTTAAAATACTTCTTTAACATCTATTAATCTAACGTTGTGTGACATCACATGGAATGTAGTTTGACTCCACAATATTCTAAAACATTCTTTGCCGCTGGTTGATTTAGAAAATATTGGTAACTCGTCATACCACCACTTCAGGGAATGACAGATATTTATTAATATTGGACACTTTGTTCCTTATACAGAATTAAGCAATTTCTTGTGAAGCAATATATGCTACACCCTTACAATGTGTTTTATTTTTTTAATTGTTTTTTTTACCTAAAAAAAATAACTAGATGTTTTAAACATTAATAAAACAAAAAGCAAATTTAATTCCAGCATTAAGTTAGACATCTGCCGTGGTGGAACAGTATAGACCACAGTACGCTCAACTGAGCATTTTGCTTGCCAGATTGCAATCAAAAGCATATATGGAACTGTATATTAGATTAATAATACTGTTGGCATGGATCTTGCCGGTCGTGTAACCCAAAATGTTTGTGAACTACATTTCCCATGATGCTTAGTCAACCTTATGCTGGCTGAGCATGATGATTGACATTGGAAGACAGAAATTCCTACGAGAAAAGCCTCCAAACAGCCTTCATCCAGAATGATAAAAACATTTGCGCATTTTGTGCTCCGTGTTTTACATTTTCTGAATTCTTTGCTGATTACTCTTTGCCTGACTGTTCTTTTTCTCTGGACCTCATTTAAGATGCAGAAGAAGATCAGGTGCCCTACATGTTAGAAACTGCAGCGTGCTGGTACCAGTAAATATTAAAATTCTTAAATAGGTGTTTTCTCTTCTTAGTCTCAGCCAGGACAAATTTTTAACTCAGAACCCAGTAGTTGCCTCTCAGCAGAGATGAGGAGCCATATTGGGTCCAGGATCCCTTGTTAAACAAACAAGTCTACACCAGTAATATAAGGACAGCCTATAATGGCTGTATCACTCAGTCTTGTTTACATTCCTGTGCACTGTGTAGAGCTAGAGCTCCTGAATAAACTACTTGCGTTACTTTGTTTCTTTTAACATGCAATTACAAAATGTATACTATACAAAAATTGAATCATGAGTTATTTTGCCTAATTTAGATTTCAAAACCATGACGTCTACATTGAACATACACCTGTGGGTTTTGGACTTAAGCATCCATTTATCTTAATATTTCTTAAATTGCAATTGTAGGTCAGGCTTGGTTTCTGGATTGGATCTCAGGGTTGGATTATTTTAGTAGTGTCAGGGTTTACTCTGCTACTGAATCACAGTTTTCCCATAGACTTCAAAGGAGGAATTTCTATACAGTGAGCAGTGTAAACCTTAGCCTGCTAAGAGAAACCAGTCCTTTGTGAGATCCTTATATTTATGTCTCAATAATTCTAAGGTCGTTTATAACAAACCCCAGGACTTAACTTTTAAGGGCAATTGATCCTGCACATTTCATGAATAGATATTTATACATTTCTACTCTAATCCTCTACTAGGCCCATCTATTTGTATAGTGGTCCAACAAATTTGTGGTCCAGTCTCATACTCATTTTGCACAGAACTACTCCGTATAGAACTACAGGAAAAGTGGGTATTTTCATGCAAATTATTCTCTATAATTCCAAGGTGTAGCAACTTTGGGTCATAAAATGACTGTGCTCTCGGCCTGATACAAAGTGCAGACTTTATGTTATGGATAATTAATGTATAGAAGTCTTTGCACTTTGACAGCTAACTTTTTTCAAACTTTATTACTACAATAAATGTTGTAAAATGAAACATATCAAGTAAGAACAAGATGGGAAGGAACTTGTGAGATGAAGTTTATATCCAAGTGCACAAAGTCATTTCAAATGTTTGAATTAACCAGGGAAGAGGCACTTTGCTAGTAGCATTTCACAAACCATCTTGCAGTCTACAGACCCCACATCCTTTAACACGATTGTAAGAAAGTAACAAATTCCCCATATGTTAAATGAAAATCTATACTTTGCAGTTGCAGGTAACTTTTCATAGTGTAGCACAATAGCAGACAAAATTATCTTTTCCATACTGAAGCCATTTTTCCTTCTTTTTTCCTAGTCTGGAATTCCAGTAAAATCTTTTCGTGCGATAGTAGTATCTTTTTTTTTAATGATATGTGGTGTAATGGATTACTTTCTCTATTTTAGTATATTAGCAGTTTTTCTTTTCCAAGTGTAGGATAGCATAATAATACGTTTTCTTAGTGCAGGGATCTCCTGAAGTAGGATTGCAACAGAATTATACCTTCAAACACTTCAAATGGACAAAGAAGGACACTTTAATTTCAGGGTTGTGAGTGGGGTTGTGGCCAGATAGTAGGATATTTATTTTTCTCTGTTATCAGCAATAGAATATTTTTCTCTGGTATATGATTGTATCTAATTAGAAGTAGCAGACACATTTTCTCAGACTGTATTTTTCTATACTGCAAAGAGAAACTCATGAACTACATGAATGTTTCTTCCTTCAGCCACTGAAAACATTTTGATTATTACCAATACTAGGAATGGCATGATATGAAACGCTGTGATGGCTATTCACTAACCAGGGGTAGGCAACCTCTGGCACTCCTGATGTTGTGGACTACATCTCCCATAATGCTCTTAGAGCCCCAAAGCTGGCAAAGCATCAGGGGAGATGTATTCCATAACATCCGAAATGCCAGAGGCTGTCTACCTCTGCGCTAAACCATGAATTGTCTTAAAACGGCTAATTTTGGAACAGAACTGTTAAATTGGTACAATTCTCTACTCAGCTACATTTCAGGTCCACGTTGGCCTAGAATGAACAGTTTCCTTATGAATTCCCGTCAATTCCTGGTTATGTGATTTTGAGTATGATTTGTACAAATAGGGTTTTTAGTTAGGAAAATTTTAAAAAGACAACTAACAACAAGTCAACTAAGACGTGTTATGTTGTTTGAAACCTCTAAATGCCACAAAAATTACATGAGTTAGGATAATGGTATCTGTAATACAACCTACTTCCTTGTACGGAAGAAGCATTTGTTTCACTGGAAAAGGACAGGGACATGCAAATGAAATGTTGGTGTGCTGCATCACAGGTGATTTAATCGCTAGAAGAATAACTGATCGAAATACTGGGGAGCTTTGTAAAAAAAGCTAAAACTAACATTCTTTTAATGAACGACAAAACAACAAATAAAAAAAAGATTCACTGTTATGTCTTGAGAACTGTGGCAAAAATATATTGTTCTCTTATTATGACCCTCAAGAAGACTTTTACGAATTAAAGAGATATTTAATTGTGTCATGCCATTGCCATCAGTATTCATTTAGAGAGATATTCTGTTTTGCTATATAAACAACTATTTTACCCGCTGATCAATAGGAATATTTAAAATAATGGCAATTTAACATGTTACGTTATTAACACTAGTTTAAACTTGTTAAATCAGGGGTTCCCAATTAATTATTCCAGTGGAACCCTTTAAAATACTATACCAACGTTGTGGAACCCCAACATTTGTTTTGCGCCACAGAGCAAACTTTTAATTAGCAGAGTGTCTTTTATAGAATTGCGGCACCCGACCAGGCCCCTGCACAGCGAAAATACCAATCGGGTGGCCCTAGGGCACCCCCAAAGACAAATTGTGTCCGAACTCCAATTTTGTTCTTGCGGGATCCCAGGGTCCTACGGAACACTAATTGGAAAATGCTATGTTAAATGCATCACCTGCCAGACAAGATCCCTACTTGAGACTTCCAAATTGTGCTTTTCTAAGCTCCCTAACCATTACAGCTTATTGTAGCAGTTATGGTGCAAAGATTCTTTGGGCATCGTCTACCTGGGTTGCGTCAAATTGTTTTTGATAAAAAGGCTCTCTGCTGGTATCTAAAGCCTGGTCTCTTTGCTGCAGTTATAGTGCCTATTGTGACCCTTTGAACATGTTCACAAATTCAATAAATGGTTATGTCATAAATAAAGAGATTAGAATTACAAGCACCAACTTACCATGTTCATAGCCTGGACACAAACAGATTGTCATCCAGAGCGGAGAACAGGAAAGTTGCAATCCCGCAGGGAAGGAATAAAAAGGGAGCGAAGTGGTGAATGCAGGGTGTGATGGAAGAATAAGTAGCAAAAGGGAAATCGATATATATGGGTAGAAGGATATAAAAATTGAGAAAGAGGGAAGGGAGTGGAAATAAGAATCAAATCAACAATGCATGTATTTATTATGAACAACAAATATACAAAAAATGGATATATTATAGGAATGGAAAAGAAAGACTTGAGAAAAAATAGATGATGTAAAAAAAAAATTATATTAAAGGCCAGCAAAAACCAATTCATGAAAAGCATCATACATAGTCAGACTGAGTACGTCAAGGCCAGTAATGGCTAACTCATGGCATATTCTAACTAATGTGGGCTATGTTTTCTCACACTGAATTTTGTCTTTTCTCAAGTAAACAAAATGGCCAACTGAGCTTCATGAATAAGACAGTCTACATGCCAATGGAAAATGTCCTTTTATAAAGCACGCAAGATGCTCCAACGTGGAAATAATCACTCAATGGCTGCTATAAAATCCTGTCCACCCTCAGACGAGCAGGTCTGCAGCTTTATTTGTCTCTGAAACATAGTCCACAGCAGCTAAAGTCAAGAGTTAGCCATCAATGATCTAGGAGTGTCTGAAAAAAGACCCCAAATTTTTTTTGGGAAAAAAAAAAAGACATTCATCAATAGAGCATACATAATTCTAATATTTCTTGAGCCCACAACGCCAATAGTTTTTTATTTATCTTTGCTGGTTGATGTATATGCTATCATGGAAATGCTTGTAAAAAATGGCAATTAAGGCTCATTACTTGTTAAAACGAGTTTTTAAATCTGAATCCAACATCAATTTAGGATTCTGAGTTCCAATGCATACTGGCAAATGTTCTACGCTCAAAAGAGAGTTCAAGGAACACTCCGAGCCTCATAACCACTGCAACGCACAAGGTTATGAAGACAGGAACTTTTTTTGTGTAACTTCTAAAACAATAGAAAAGTATCAAGGCACTTGCGGCACCATAGCAACTACAGCGAGCTGTAGAAATTATGTTGCTTACAGTGTTCCCTTAAATCTAAATCTATGATTAAACAAATTTTGAAAACGTGAGTTTAAAGTCTGAACAACTTTGGATGCTCTATTGATTAGAGAATTTGTTTTATGAAACAGGGTTAATTTCAAGCGCTTGATTAAGCAATTTGTGGCCAAGCAGAGATAAAAAAAAAAAAAGAAGCTCAATGAGGTGGGTTATCGCTGGTTATATCCCTTTAACATAGTCATAAATGTGAATGCAGGTACAATAATTAGTACGTACAGGAAACAAACAAACAAAAATTAATTTTAAAGAGACAGGATGATATAGTACAGATCTGGTTTCTGGCTAGGACTGTGATACCTTGCCAATAGGATATGTGTTAACAGGCGAAGCGAGATTGTTAATATAGGAAGAGTAATTGCAAATTCACTGCTGTCAAAACATAAACGTGTTTATGGCTGTGCAGTGATTTATACCATCTTGGAACATACGCCAAGCAAAAAGCAAATCATTACAGGAGCCAGTAGTCAGTGAGAAAGTCAGCCTAGAACAGACTTAATGGGTTTTACAGCAGGATGAGAAAATGAACAGCAATAGGACTGTAGCTATAGAACAAACAATTAAATTTCATCATTTTCAATTATTACAAAGAATATTTTAAATGAAAAGGCACAGACTAAATTTGGAGGATGAAAACAGGCACTGTGCTATAACCATAGTTAAAAAAAGTAAAATATTCTATAATATCCTAATTAATAATAAAGGGGAAGAACCTAGTGTTCCATGGGTGCCGGTGGGGTCCCAATTATTAATCATAAAAGGTGAGCTAGACTTCTCTCGAGTCATAGACTGATCAAAATGATGTATATTCGATGTCATCTGTCCGTATCTATCTATCTATCTATCTATCTGTCTGTCTACTCACCTACCTATCCTTTACATACTTTTGCATGCTACACCATATTTTTGCCAACCCTGAGTAGTCATTAGTATTATATAAAAACAAATGAATAATCAACAGAACCATCCAGATTTACATGTAGCTCTCCTTTTTATACAATCCACTCTTCATCCCACCCATGAGTGAGCATAAAAAGTTACATTGAACTTTTCGAGATACAATAACTGCATATCTTGACTCACTAAACCTATCCAAAGGCACAGAATGAGAGCAGATAAATGAATGGGGAATAATAATAAACCCTGTTTTTTTTTTTAAATGTTTTATCACTATGGCGTTTTTTTTTTTTTATTGAAAACAAACAGAAAATAATGGAAGTATTGTGTTCAGTCGTTCCCCAATGCTTGGGTTACAAGGGCTTCACAATATGGTTCCCTAAAACATAACTTCCACCCAGAAATCTATAGCAACATACATGACCAGAAGAAGTCCCAATGTATTGATCATATGTGTCTTTGTGTACATATTCTCTCTCTCTCTCTCTCATACACATTGCAGAAAACGACACTATATGTTACTATATCACTATATATATATATATGTATATATAAGAAATATAATAAACTATTGGATTGTAACTGGATATAGGATTAAGGCTGACGATAGGGGAAACTGTTGAAAATTGAATTTTGAGTCACTGCTTCCCTTTAACGTAAATAGCAATCAGTCTCACCAAACCCAATGTTCATACAATTTGGATTGCAATTGATTCATTGGTATATGGGTTCACTGCTGCCAACTGGCTACAGTAACAGGTTTCCTAATCCTGCCTGGAACAGAAACGTAGCTATTAAATGCAGGCAAGACAGGAAGCGAGCCTGGAAGGGAGAAGACAGCCGCAAGCAGAGAAGCAAAGCTGGCAGCTTCCAGAGAGGCAGCTCCGGTACTTACCTTCAGCTTGGACTGGATCTCACGTGACTTCCTCCGTGCTAGAACCTGGATGTGACTAGACACCTGGAGAAGACAAGGAACAGCAAACGAACATTAACAGGACGCGCACACAATACACATATTTACTACGGCAATTACAAATTTAAGCCTGCAAAACCAGAAGTTAACTGCCCTTGAATTACAAGGATATTAGAAGTACATAGGGACATAGGTGTGCGTTTTCCTCTCCAACACATAGTTACTATACACAGACACATGGAAATGGGACAAAACTTTAGTAATGGATAAGATTTGTATATTTAAGGAAATGCAGATTTTGTTTATCTATGTAGCTATGCTAAAATGTATTGAAGGTGCATGTACCTCAACTTTCACTCCCTGAATTAATATACTGTACTACATTTTGACTGCATTACTTCCAGACACCACTGGGTGGCAACCTATCATCAACTAAATCGAGGGAGTACAACAAAGCATTCCAACTGGAATACAGACTAATTTACACATATTAATCACCTGGTTATTATAGTTCCCTATACACAATCCTAGATACATTAGCAAAGACTGCCTCAGCAGCTCAAATAAGATCGCTTCAAATGCCCAGGGGTCAACCATACCAGACTCTACTCAATCGGACTATATAATGAAAGTATTTAGAAAACTGGGCAGACTAGATGGGCCGAATGGTTCTTATCTGCTGTCACAGTCTATGTTTCTATAGCAATCTAAGGGCACATTAGAATAAAATAAATCGTGTTCCCAGGGTATTTGCCAATCAGAGTGGCACAGCTTATCTTCATTTTAAAAAAGGACGCAGTTTACTCTTTGTGGGTGCAATCTATCTCATCATCCAGAAATAAGAGAAAATGCAACTAATTCTGCATTTACAACAGGCAAGGAGTGGGTACAAAATTGAACAGATTCTTGTTGAAAATATTTAAGGTTGTTGTTAATTTCATTCTTTAACATGGCGCTAAATAGCATTTTCCCTATAAACTCCACATTGTATAAGAACTGACTGCTTTGATCAATACTTTGTATTAGTCTTCTATTACTGAAAATAATTATGATTCACTCCCTTTAATGTTTTATTATGTTTTGTTTGTGGAATAAACAAAACTTCATGCAGACTATTCTTGCTAGTGTTTGTTTAAAGTGTCTATTTACTAAACAGAGAGTTTGAGAGGCTCCACTTTGAAGGTATCAGGTGACGTGTTGAGGTAGGATTCGCCCCGCATTCAGACACAAAAGCCCAAGGTTTATGCTTTAACGGCCGACTTTGACTCCCCCAGATTAATGGTGAATGCAGAGACTATCACGGTTATTCACTAAAGTGAGAACTGTGGGCAATTCAAAGCAAATTTCAAAATTAAGACCAAAATAATTCTCATAGTCAGCTATGCTTCCGGTTTGGGCCTTTGGCTCCAACCCCCCAAAATAAATTAATTTATGTCTTTGTTGGAATTCCACTAAAATTGACTTTGCGGCAATCCCATTGCCAGCGGCAGAGTCACCATGAGCTGCTCTAAATTTGAAAATGACTTACAATTTTCGACAATTCTCACCTTAGTGAATAATCCGCTATGTGAAAAAGGAGGGGCTGGGAAGAGGAACACAAGACTGGAACTATCTTTACAGGCCTGGCAAATGAGTGACCTGTCTGGATCAGAGCAGTAGTTTGACATATTAGGGCTGAAGTATTTTTTTAAGAAGTCGGAATATTAGGAATATTTTAAACCCTGGGTTTTAACCAGGGCATGGACTGTGAAGCAGTCCACTACCAAACATTAAAAACAACACTTGGATTTTGCAGATCACTTAATGTATTGCACAGTATTTTGGGTTGTGATATAACTAACATTGAATGGACACTATTGAAATCTGAGAAACGCCTTCCAGCAGAGTTGGCAAAGGAAATTACAAATGCTTGCAGTAGACAATGCTGATTTAGTTTTAGTGCTGAGTGATCAGGCTGTGTGTACAGGTTCTCTTCTGTCACAAATCTATTTTCTACTAAAAGATGAATAACATAAATCATTAAAGCGTCACTGTAATTACTATAACCATTTAATCTAATAAAGGTACCTGGCCACCCACAGCCCGGCCCCTACTGCAGGTGTGGCTAAGGCAGAGATACACACTTCCTTGTAGTCAGACCAATTCCTACCAGCAAAGGGAGCTCTAATAGGCTAAAAGCAGTCAGCCTACATTTTCAGCCAAACACAGCCGTCCATTGCTTCCCAGGTATATTCTTTCTCATTAGCCAAAGCAGCCTAGAGGGGGATGGCTCCCAGGCTCTCTTGTTTAGCATTAAAACATAAATACATTAAAAACAGCTGAATAAAGCAAAGGCACCAAGGGATAACCACTTCAAAGAGATGAAGCAGATAGAGTGCATACAGTATCCTTTTAAACACAAATGTATTTTTTTCAACACGTTGGCCCCTGGGAGTGAATATCTGTTTCCCTATAGTTTTGTTATTTCAGAAAAGCATAAAATCTGATTCCAAAATTCTTCGAAATTAATCCAGTACGATTTTGCAGCATATTAAAAGAGAAAGAATAGCAACTCCTGGATAGTCTTAAAAAAAAATTTGGCCGAATTAAACAACAACAAAAAAGTAGTTCATACGGAATGTGTTTAGATACAGTGCCAAAACAGGCAGCAATCCCTCATTGTGATATGGATGAAGGAGCAGGAAGTAAGGAAGTAAGCAGTCTTTTGTATCTAGGAACCCGTAACTCTGCAAAACATGTAATATGATCCGCTACCATGTAAATAAGTGATCGCTGAGCACAGACGTCAGCTGCCTTGAGCAATCGTTACACTTTAACAATTGGTCTACAGCCATTTACTATAACAGAATGTGGACTGGGTTTGTCTACTGCTCTGAGCCCATGAATACTGCCTGGGCCAGCCTGCCTGCTCTAGGTAACTATTGTTCAAGAAAACTGCAGTACTGCGGTCCCCAAACAGGCCTCTCAATGGTGGTCAGGATCTCCCCCCTTTTTAATATAAAATGTGTGGGACTGTGCAGTTGTTAATGATAAACACCTTGATACAAACACATGCAATATAAATAAATAGAATTAAATCTTCCTAATGGCAGATCAGTTAAAAGACAGAAAACAAAACTAAATAATATCACAAGGCGATATAAAATCTACTTTATGTTTATTATTATATTGATCAATAGGCGATTATTTTAATGAAATACAAGGGAAGACAATGAGATTCTGCACTTGGGAGTCAAGGCTGTACACACGGTTAAATTATTCGATCAATGTTATCTGCAAGCAATGCTCATCATCAGAATTAGTATTTTTATGATGTGGTCCATGGGAGTGTTTCCTTGCCGTGAGAACTTGGAAGTGTTAGTTAAGCAAAGTTCCCATGGATGGGGGCAAAGCAGCAAACAGTATATTTTGTCTATTATATAACTGGCATGTGGGCTACACATGTGGGTATCAAGCAGTAAATGCCCAGGTGGTTAAACACTGGCTTCAATATATAATATAAAATATAAACAACAAATGGTCAGTGAATATAGATCAACATGTCAGTCCAAGGTCTGGTCATTAAACAAGGTCTATAAGCTCAGGATGCATATTTTTCCAATAATAAACATTGCTGACTTTCATTAGATACATTGCATGTGTTTTATTTATTATTTATTTGGGTATATTGGTATTGTACAGATAAATAAAGGCTGTATCTTGCTGCACTGTGACAGACAGAGGAGTTAGATACTAAGAAAGCAATTTGACTCTGGTGGGTACGAAATAAACAAGAACAAAGCTTTGTGGTAAAGGGGACTTGGGAAATGTATTTAGAGTAAAATTAGCATTGTTCCAAGTGACACTGCAGGCAGAACATTTCCCACAGTGTTAATAGGCCCCTCACTTCCCATATCACTTTTTCCTGATTGTTTATCTGCGACACATCACCAGTCCACCCATCCAGCTATCTGCTTCTATATTTTATTTGGTGCTAATAACCTCTCTAAACTCACTAATCACATGGACAACTACTTAGTTCGTATTAATGTGAAGAGGTGTCAATTCGTGAATACAGGCATCCAAACATGCTTGTTTTATTAATTATTAGGGCACTGTTCTTAGATTGTGTTTACAAGTCTTTAATTTCCATCAAAGGTGACAATTGTTCTGCAAGGAACATCTCTCTGAGACATAGACCTAGTATGAAGAATGAGTGCTCCAGATGACTTGTTGCAAGGGCACTGGAGAAGTGAAGTCCATGCTAAATGGTTCAAAGTCGGAAATGTAGGAGGACACTAATAAACAGTAAAGAGTTATTAATTCACCAGACATCAGCCACACTTCAGGAGTGAATACAAACTTCAGACTGACCATCCCTGGGGCCATTATTTATTCTCTGGTGGAACATTTTGCGGACACCGAGCTATTCACCCATCTTTAAATTGATCATCTCCTTATCTTTAGTATTTAAATTCACAGGCTGTCTCCAGGAAAATGACAAAGAATCCAGAAACTGACCCTGTTTGCTCGATGGTAATACCAGCTGCAAGACACTGATAAGACCCAAACACATCTAAAGGTTCAGACGTTTATAAATTTTGGCAGATCACATAGTGTTTACATGATGGGCTCTCTTTATGGTATGGCCGATGAGTGTAATGATTGTTCTTTGCAATTTCAAAATGTTATCTGTACGTAACTTATGAGATGTTTTACTGAAGTTAAAAGTTTCTTTAAAAAAAACCCTCAAACTTCAGGTATTACCAGACTCTCCTTATTATTGACCAGACTTCTAAACTAGCATATATTATCCAGTGTTCTCACCTGCTTTCTTGTACGCGTCTTGCCTGTCCGAAGTTTTATGTATCTGGCAATCAGTTCGTTCCGACCTGCAAAACAAACAGACAATGATTGAAGGTCTGTAACAAATAAGCTAAAATGCTAGACATTTTCATGTTTGTATGTTTGTGTGTGGTGATGTATAATCTTTATGTCTTGAACAGGAAAAATATTGAAAAGGCAACACTTAAAGAATCCATAAATACATTTTAGCAGAGTACTACTGTTTTGTTGTTGTTGTTTTGTTAGGGAGTCTCTAAATGCCCGCACAAGTTAACCTGGATTTTGAGAGAAAATCTGAAAAAGTTATCAAAAAAAGAGCAAATCAAGGTATTGCAAAGGCATTAACTAATGCAATGCATTTACTGATATTTGCTGTTTTCTGAGCTGGGGACAAAGACTGTATTTTTCCCATTTGCATAGAAAAGTGAAGATATAAAAAATATATCATACAGATGATAAGGATCATATGCTTTGCATTTATATATAATTTTAATTATTTTTATTATTGCCATTTATATAGCGCCAACAGATTCCGTAGCGCTTTACAATATTATGAGAGGGGGGATTTAACTATAAATAGGACAATTACAAGAAAACTTGCAGGATCCTGCTCAAACGAGCTTACAGTCTATATATTAATACATATTATGTATATATATATATATATATATATATATTTACATTTATGTTCTGCAGTTTTACAGTTCAAATATTTAAAGTAGGTCTTCTCACTGAAGTGTGACTTGTCAAAGTAAAATTCAAAGTTAATTCAAACTGAAATTCAAATTTTAGGTTAAACTAGGCAAACTATAAACAACGTACTTTTCTATATTTGTCTACTTTGTTCTAAATTTTGAAATTAATTTTGAATTCCTGACAACTTTAACAAATTATCAATGTCCCACGTGTTACAAAACCTTGTATTTTAATAGTAATTAAAAAAAACAAAAAAAAATGCATAGGAACTAAACACTATTATCATCAGTCCCACTAATGGCAGGTCTCATTAAGAGCTTTGTTTTGGTGTATACACCTATTTGTGGCTGGCTGAATTTGAATGGACTGCTGATTTAAAGATACAAGGTATACACAGACATAATGTTGCAGAGCTCTTGGGGATTGGTGGTGTTACGCGGAGAAAGGAGATCTTGGTACTAAATTAGGGGAGGTAAGTTAAATGGCAGAAGAATGTTTCACTCCAAACAAACTGATGTATTGATGTTCACTTGTTAAGTTAATGCAAGAACCACTTACTGCCTTTTGCAAAAGCTCAATTGTGTAGGTCAGGGAGGTTATGTGTTTCCAAAACACCTTTCCTCCCATGCCTGGGGCTGAGATAATGTGTTATCTTTTGTTATCTGGCAGGGAGACATAGAGGGGCTGTGGGCAGATAGGGTGGCGAAAGACGCACCTGGGGTTTGTTTGTTTTTTTTTCAGTCAAATTGTTATAATAATTATTTTATTATAATCAATTTCTCCTTAAGGCCACTCACGGTAATTTAGCTCAAAGAAAAAGAAATAGCAGCTGATTTGCAGAGGTTACTACGACTCCAATTTATCAGTATTCATTTTATTGACCTTTAAAGGATTAGTGGTTCCATCCTGGTGGGAAATGAACCTGTGAACCCAAGGTTTGGAAAAAATCCATCACTTGGTACACTAACCAACTGAGCTATTTCATCACAACAGCTAGTAAATCTCAAGGTTTGTTTACTAATAAGGTATTACCGAAAGAATACTGTTATTTAAAATGGAGTGTTTATATGTTTGTTATATTATTTTTGAACATCACTGTTTGCTCTATTGGTATTGTATAGAAAATAAAGCTAAATAAGTAACAAAAAGAAAAACAACACTAAACAATATAAAAAGACAAATAGAGGACTTTGAGATAACACTTATAAAATTCATAAGCAAGGTTGTCTACATTCCTCTAGAATGTAAGCTCATTGAGCAGGCCCTCCACCTCTCTGTTCCTGTACGTCAAGTTGTCTGGCTACAATTAAATGTCTGTTAGTCCACCCTTTGTACAGCGCTACGGAATCTGATGGTGCTATGTAAATAATAAAATAATAATAAAACACGACTCTAGGCAAGGTTTTCAGCTCAAAACATTACACTTGAATTTAAATTTGAAATGTAATAATGTATTTTTATTGTGGTCCTTAATAACAGTGTAATGGATAAAATCAATGATACCCTACTTCAAGATGAAATGTCACTCCCAAGTAGTTTTACTATGCCCCAAAAATCACATCATTTAGATTTAAGCCCTGGTGACCGTTTAGGGAATAAAAAAGGTAGTTCACGTAAGTTTTCTGCACAAAAAAACCCAAAACAAAACAAAAAAGCCTCAACAAGCGCTCACTCGACCAAACTGAAGCTTATTCAGCCACCAGAAAAGAAAAACAAAGCAGGAGGGAAAGGTTAAGCAAAAATTTCTAACGCGTTTTGGACCTCCCGGTCATTCAAACATAAGAAACTAAAGGAATTTACCATTTCTTCTTCTCAGCGTCGGTCTCTGCGCTTCCAACCAGCCTCCTTTTCTGAGATCATTGAAATTAATGCTCTCAGCCAATCCAGAGAGTTCCCATAGGAAAGCATTGGGAAGTTTGAGGGAATATGAAGCAAAACACAACGCTGCGCTATTCAGATGGTCTCCATGAGACGATCTGATTGAAATAACAGAGTTTTATTCTATTTAGTCTAAATTGCATCTAGTGGCTGTCAGAGTAACAGACACTATAGCCATTTAAACCCTGCAATGAAAACATTGCCATTCTGTAGTGATTCTTAGCCAGCCCCTTAAAACACAGGTTATAGATAATTTTCCTTGTTATATTCAATGGTGTAATTTCCAGGGAAGTCAGAGTTCCCCTAACAAAATTTACTTTGCGTTTTGTGATGGAGCGCTGATAACTTTTTTGTTTAATTCATACATTAATGCTGAATTCTACAACCAACGCAGCCATCCAAAAGGGCCAAAATGTATGATTTTATATAATTTTATAATGTGTCATTGTGGAGCTACTTGTTTGTAATCCTGTTCTATTGCAATTCCACAACATTTGTAACCATAAAAATCATAAAAATATAATAAATACAATTCTACAGTAATAACAGCAAGGTTATCTGCAGGCACCCCTTGGCGCCCGTTCTTGTTAACACTCTTATGTGACTAATGTGAAGACGTATTGTCATGTGAGCAACTCTCCACTATTAGAATTATTTTAAGCAGATTACTACACAATAGGGGAATTCCTGGATATATAGAAATGCCCCATCCAAGCACACTAGACGAGTCTGGCTCCCCCTCATGAAGACACTAACAGGATTATTCACTAAAGTGAGGATTCAAAGTGAATTTAAAATGTAAGGTCAAACAGCCAAACTGGAAAAATCCTCTAATTCAGCCATGCTTTCAGTTTTGCTACTTTGGCATTAAATTTGAAGTAATAACCCAGCCAATCTCCAAAATAAACAAACAAAAAAAAAAAATATATATATATATATATATATATATATATATATATATATATATATAAAGAGAATGGCCTTGCACTCCTACTCACAGTCTTATCACCTGGTGCTCGATAGCACTAAAATATGTATACTGGATAAGAAATATCAGCACTCCCAGGTTCCACAAAATGATTCACACAATACAGCAATAGGTCAGCGCTAATTAACAAACAGTATGTAGGTGGGCAGCATCCCTAATGAAGGGAATCCCTCCAAACCGTTCACTAAAACAAATGAGTAGTGCATTAGCCTGGAACTCTGCACCGGATAGGAAAATGGCCACAGCCCAACTAAACTTTACATGATGATTACTCGGGCTGTGTACATCCAATCTGGGTGCTTTATGGACATTTATTTCATGGGAACTAGGTCTATCCGTGGATGTATAAGTTGTCGATATACTGATAGAGACTTAAGTATTGAGGTTACTGTGTAAGGCGTCCTGTTGTCTGGAAGCTAATTAAATCATTCCCAGTTAATTGCGTTATCTCAGGGAGGGAATCCATTGTCACCGTTGATGAACCCCCGTTATGATCGTCCCTATAAAAACCCCTTCACCAAGTGTCGTCTAGTGTTTGGGGAGAGGGCTATAGTCACTTCACTGCTTTTTTGCAAGACAGACCGTTGACATAGGAACTCAGCCGGAGCACTGGAGCTCTTTCACATATATATATGAAATTTTACAGGTTTTTTTTTTAAATTGTCATAATGCCATTCATATCATAGACTTCCTATCTATGAGGAGCCCTGATTTTTTTTTTTTTTTATGTTCTAATGTAAAGTCAATATACTATAATATAAATATAGCTGTCGAAAAAAAGACGCATTTCTTCTACGGCTGAGTGGATGAAAGTGACATAAACCACGTCACATGTGCAACCACATGCCAGACACACTACTCCCTCCCGTCCTGGCAACAACATGTTTGCTGGCATTGCCAAGAACTTATTCATTAAAATGTGAATCATCGGGAATTCAAAGTGAATTTCAAATTTTAAAACACAACAGCCAAAATAAAAACATAGCTAACTTAAATAATATTTACATTTGCCATTTTGGACCTTAAAACGACACTATTATCCCCTCCAACTCCCCCTGGAATATTAGTTATTCATAAATATAAAATCATTGAAATTCCAACTCAGTCAAGAGATATACTGAGATATTTCCTCTGCTTGACGCTTCTAAACACAGGACGGAGCTACCGCCATCTAGAAGTGTCAATCCTTACAGGTGTCACCCGTGATGACAATGGTACGATGATGATGACTGCCCCCCTTTAACTGCCCCCCTCGGCCATCGGACCTCCAGCAATTATGTCATTGTTGGATGTCTTTGCGAATTTTGCAAAGTCTCTAGACAATGACAGTGCCGCTTTAAATATCGAAAAACATATTTTAAAGAGCCTAATTCAAAACAATATCCAATTCGGAAACGTTATGGATTATTTTTTTAAACTCTGGTATTGTGACTGGAATCTTACAAGACCATTCTCAACTCACTGGTTAGTGAATGCGGCCCTAATTAATGCTCATTTTAGGACGACACTTTTTATTATTTTTCTTGGGTCGGTAGTATAGAATAATGGGACCCTGTTGGGTGCCATTCTTGGTATTGTGTTAGTAAGCAGACACACACTGTGCCAACTGAAGCTCCCATAAATGCAGACTGGTATGCCAATGGGCAAAGACCTCTACTTGATTAAAATATGGTACAGATTAATTTTTACAGTTGATAAACTGGTATTGTGTCACTTTGCATGACAGAAGCACTTCAAGAAACCAGCTCATAGTGAGTTGTATTTCAAACACAGCTTCTAAAAGTTTTGCATTTATAGATTGCATTCTAAAGATGATAATCACAGCCCGTGTACCCGCCACCAATCCGTGGAAGTGAAATACTGTTGCAGCTGTATCTCAACTCCTGAATAGATGTCTGAATCAACTGTTAGGTCACACAGTAAAAGTACATCTGTTTCTCCGTGTCCGATCCCCCCAGATCCCCCCTGCCCCAGCCTGCCGCATGCTGGAAAAAAAAAGTAAAAGAGAGGCCTGCAGGGCAAACATCACCCTGAATGGAACAAGTCACAGCACGTCAGTGACCAAATATAGGAATAAGCAAGACAGTGGAGCAGTTAAATGCCAAATCTACAATGGAGAAGCAATAATCAGCAACATGGTAATCTTTGTGTAGTTGAAGTTGTATTAAATCTTCTATGGTGCCAGAAAGAAAACGTTTAATAATTAAAAAAAAAAAAAATCTTTTTGTTTGGAAAAATTACTGAATGTATTGATACTAAAAAAGGACATATAGTTGCTTTGACATGTCAAAGCCTCGGCTAACCTGAAAATTATTTTTATTATCGTTCATATAGAGCTAACATATCCCACAACGTTTTACAGATTTACAATGGGAGCACGTAACATAAAATGTATGACAAATGAATGTGAATAGATATAAATAGTTGATGTGCTACAGATTCCTTTACTCTTGTCCAGGCTCAGGATAATTATCGCTTGGTAGCATATTCTGAAATTGTTCTAAATATTTGCTTATGTCTTTACTGTATTACTTTGGTAATCCAAAAAGTTCTGTCTTTTCTGGATCCCAAAAACATTTTATTTACCAAATAAATAAATGAAGCCTAAATTCATAAATTCACGATCATATTGAGTTCAATGCATGATTCATATTTTAAACGATCAGTACAGGTAGAAAATATTTACCATCGAAAGAGCGATGTAAACTATTGTCTGGTATAATTGTCTGGGGGTCAACCATGTTTGTGTCAAGGTCACAGAAACCACTAGGGCTTGAGCCCGAAGCAAAACTTTAAAAAACCATCACTAACTATACTAGTGAGCTTTCTTTTAAGAAACTGCTTTGTGTAAAATTTCAGATCAGATTTACTATTTGTAAATATTCTGAGCTAAAGAGTCGTAAATCTGGGACTTCAACCCCAAAGACACTACACTGGCAACATCTATGTGTGCTGGCATGCTGTGCCTCTACACAATAAGAAGGTTATGAAACATGCTATAAATCTGTAGGGTTGTGGCTCTCAATTCAGTTCTTAAGGTACACCAATGTTAACAGTTTGCAATTTTCCTTATTCTAAGAGTAATGAGAAATGCCTATATTTTTTACTATCGCTGTTCCTTGATGCCTGGGGTGGAAACTTCTGCTCTAAAATCCTGACTAAGGACCAAAAATGTGAAACTATGTCATGCCATTTTTTAGGGAATCCCCATTAGTTATATATTGTAATGAGTGTGACAGTACTTTCCCAAGTGAATTTGAGACTCCTAGAACACTGAGAATAGCCAATTGAAAGTGCTATGGAAATGCATTTTAAGATTACGGTAAGTAAATTAAAATTGAAGATTAGGTCACGGAGTTTATTTTACAGCTGAACAATGGGAAATCCCAAGTAAATTATATATACAAAATGTGGGTACTTGAAAAAAAAAGGTACTATCGCAGTAAGGTCTGAATTTTCATGTAAACCCCTCCATCTGGCTCTTGTCGGCCATCAAAAGCCATTATTCTTTACTAGCCACAATAGCTGGACAACAGCTGGAGAGCTGAAGGCTTGAATACGCTGATGGCTAACCCCAGCACTGCAGATGTTGCTGGACTACATTTCCCACGGTGCACCAGGTTTCTGAAATGCAATGCTCGAACATCTGCAGTGCTAAAGTTAACTATCACGGCTTTAATGCAGGCGTCTTGGGTCATAAATAATTCAACATATTTGAGACCTGCAGGGGTACTGCATTATGACATTTCACCCTGTGTATCTATCTCATCATTTATTTTTTTTAATACAGGACTATATGACAGGCTGTTACATCACCAAAATTCACAGTTTAGTGAAGGAACCCTTTTAAAAAGTCTGATCGGAGAGTAATGCGTTAAAACGATAATAGGCTATACAGGGCAGGCTGTTTGTTCTCTTTTACTGAGCAGAGTGTAAAACAGGTTCAGTTGAAGTGTTGCTCTTTCTCAATAATAGGTTTATTATGCCTGAAGCAAATGTCAGGGAACAGCTTCCCCATGTGTAATGTCCTTCAAATCCAAGACAGGTGGTAAGAAAAGACAACTGTCCAGCGCTTTAACATACAGAGCGTTTAGCCGGTTAGTCTATCGGGAGAACACAAGTCATTTCGTTTTTTGTTTAGCATGTGACCACTTAAATTCACTCAGACTGGCAAAGTCAAAATTGTAGTCTTCTAGTGATCAGGGAGTGGTTTCGCACGCACACATCAGGTTTAACAAGGAAACGTCCTCTTTCCCCAGTGTTTGGAAAAAAAAGGTTACGAGCATGAATCATATCTCCCTCTAAAAGTATCTGCAATCTGTTTTTTCAATAACTGGATTTTAACCCACATGCTGCCAGGAGCAGAAAAAGTACACATAAAGCTAATTTTGCACATACTATCTCTCTTGTACATATGTATACCTACTAAACCTGTCTAATTGTCTATCTACCTACCTACCTGTCCATTTTTCTATCTACCTACCTGTCCGTTTTTCTATCTACCAACTTACCTGTCTATCGTTTTCCTAAACAAAGTTCTTCAGAAATATATTTTTCTTACATTGAAGAGGATGAAATTTGCTGTTTCGTTTAGTTTGTTAACCCCCGCTGGGTCACCTGGATGCCCTATTAACATCTAAATATGGTATTTTGAAGCGTGAAGAAGCTTCCTGCCCAATTATAAAAGTGTCCTCGGACAAAATACAGACACTGCCCAAGGCCAATGTTCCTTTACAATCTCTGAGAAATTATGTAGAAGAGCAAGTCTTTACTTGTTCTCTCTTTCTGGTCCTTAGAAAAAGTGGGTGGACTCAGAAATTGGCTTAGTCAACAACGAAAGGGGGAAAATATGTAAGACATACATTTAAAAGTAAAAGTTTGCTGTACAGATTAATATCGCTGGTCCAGTCATAAGTTTGAATAGTGCTGTGATTGAATAGAATTCAGGAGCTGTTACCAATTTACTTGCTCAGTTTACTTACACAACTAGACTTGTTATAAAATGAACAAGGGAATTGCAAATTTAGACCAACAGAGTTATTTACTAAAGTAGGAATTAAAATCGAATCTCAAATTTGAGGTCAAAATAGCCGAACGATGGTGTACATGTTATTTAACTCACATCCGTTTCAAAATAATCATTAATCCGTTTACCTGCGACCAAACTCATTTCATTGCTGGTACATGAAACGCTGTCCAAGCCTGAAGCTACACTTGTATTACAGAATCTAATCCAATTATTTTCAGGATGCCTGTGAGGAAGGAAGTTTGGATTTCTTTTTATAAACTTTCTATTGGAACCGACTCGTTAGCTAAATTAATATTTAAGTATCATCTGATTTATTTATTTATTTTACTTCTAGATTCAGGCAGGTACTTTGCAGACATCATACTATATGGAAGATATATTACAGGTGCCCTGCATGACATTTATATTTACAAAAAAACGTGAGTTTGAACAGATGTGGCGGGTGCCTTCGACATAACGTTTGTTTGCCAAAAGGCTTTACTGTGCCTTTAAGTTCCGACTCTACCAGCTGGAAATAAAATCTGTTAAACAAGACAGTTGTGGAGGAGTCAGTGGGTGGAAAAAAAAAGATAGGGTGGAGCAATACAGTGGCTCAGGAGGGAAAGATTGAAATCTAAACACAGTCCTGCCTTAGTGTTAAAGGAAACTACAGAAAAGCTTGACAGCTGCTTGAGAGTCAAAGGTCAGCGCTTGTGCATTCATGGACTCAACAGTTTGAAGGCAGCACCTGCCGGCTTTAGGGTGTGTCTAGGATTTTCACTGCGGCATGGCCAATGTGGCTACGAGCGGGAAGCAAGGAAATAGCAATTTAAAAAAAAAAGGGAGTGTTAAAAAGATATTTGAAAGAAACCAAAAGATAGATCAGTAGAGGGCCGAGGGCAAGACGTTGTCATTGCCTATTTTATAAAACCATGCGAGGCAAACAAACAACGTAAAAACAGATTTTTTTTAAAAAACAAAAAGATTTTGTTAGGTCAAAACTTCTTTCTATTAGTATTAACAAGTTGCAGTTGTGGTGGAAACAATCTCCAGGGGGTGTGGAGACTACGGTCTGCTGTACGCATGGGGCTCATTAACTAAATAGTAAGTTGTCAGTGTCTTACCAAATTTTATCCAAACATGTTTAAAAAACTTGACAAGGACCCATTTGGAGGGTGGTTCCCACTCTTTGGTGTAAATTTAGGTTCTGAAACACATTTTGGAGGACAGATCCCCCATAGCCATATAAATAGAGGCTGATTGCACAGCTATGTATAACCACATTCAAATAAAGGGAACAAAGTAAAAAAAATCATGAAGGAGAAGACAAAGCTTGCAATTTGAACATGAGCCAGTTTACTAGTGAGCAGAGCTTGCAATTTGAACATGGGCCAGTTTACTAGTGAGCAGACCTTGCAATTTGAACATGGGCCAGTTTACTAGTGAGCAGAGCTTGCAATTTGAACATGGGCCTGTTTCGTAGTGAGAATAGCTTGCAATTTGAACATGGGTCTGTTTCCTAGTAAGCAGAGCTTGCAATTTGAACATGGGCCAGTTTACTAGTGAGCAGAGCTTGCAATTTGAACATGGGCCAGTTTACTAGTGAGCAAAGCTTGCAAAGTCAAGGCCTGGTGGAGAACGAGTGGTACAGCAACTACTGGGGTCAAACCCAGCATCTACGGATCAAACCCAGTCAGTCTGCAGCTATAGTCATGTTTCCATTAATTGGTTCAGATAAACAATGGCTAGATTCTCTTAGCAACGCTAGGATTTGATCTGCTTATCGAATAGCAGTTTCTCAGTTGAAGTCTATTGAAAGATTAGAACTCAAAATGAAAAGTAAACTCTTACTCAGCTAAAATAATCCAGTTCCTATGTAAACAGGCTGGTTTATAATTGCACTTATTATAGTTGCTAATGAGTGACTGCTGGGGCTATTTCTGTGGTGTCCAACTTCCCAAGATTACAAGATAAAATTATCCAATAGTACAGCATGGGTACAACGGTATTTAATCTGGGATTAATTTGTGAATTGTGCAGGAATTCCTTTCTGAGCAATTCCTGAGCTAGTCGGACCTATCAAGGGGCTAATGATGATTGTTAGGCCTCTGTTTGAAGCCAGTTGGGATAATTTCACAGAGATTTCAAACTGAGATTTCTATCCTGAGAATTTCTGACAATTTAATTTAAATATTTGCCTCTGTCCTCCCCAACCCGCTGGAAATTATTCACTATAAAGACTGAAATCCAAGCTGCAAAATTTAGGCAAAAATAGCTATTTCTAGGAAAAGTAACTATATCCACAGACGTAATAAAACTGCTTTAGAACTGGGAAACCCAGGTTCGAATCTCAATATTTTACTCCCTTTTGCAAGCGCAATGGGGGTCTCCTCCATCCAACCTCCTTGGCTGAGATCATCAGTTAGGAGGCTAAAGCGCACAAGCGGCAAAATGCTGCGATGCGCCAATCAGCATCTCCTCACTGAAACAATATATCTGTATGGGGAGCGTTCAGAGTCTACATGAAGAGCACTGAGTCTACACAGCGTGCAGCACTGACCCAGGAAGCACGTATAATGGCCACTTGAGTGACTGTCACTAGAGGTGTTCCTAGACAGCAATGTAAGCACTGCCATTTCACTGAAAACTACATTAAGAAGGTGACAAAATGAATTTAAATATATCACTGCCACCATACGAAGATGATATTAGCTAGAAGCACTGCCGTGAGTCGATTACAAAACATAACAAAGCAAGCACACTTGAGCATTCCACAGAGAAATTAAAGAATTGTTGTTGGACAGTGTGAGTAGCCAACAAGACAAGCTCACTGCCAAACCTCTCTCTCAGGAGGCTGACTGTGACTAAAACAAGGAAAACGTGAATTTGTGAACAGCAAAGATGTGTTAATATAATTTTCACCTTCTGAATTCATCTACATAATACTGCAGACTATATCCAGGGCCAGTAGGAAGTTGCCTATAGGTACCTGTCTACAAGGTGTACCTACTCTGGGTACAAATGGATATTTTGTTCATTTTTAGACATTTTAATATACTTTTTCATTTTGCTAAATTAATATAGTATGAGTAAGAGATGTACTTCACAGCTATCTTGTATGTCTTCCAAAACATGAATAAAGCAACAACGAACAGGATTTTTTGGGGAAGAAGGATGTCTAAGACATTTGTGCCTACGGGGGTTGTAAATCCAACAATGGTTACATCCCATACTTGGTAAGAGACTGTGAGCATGGTGGCATCGTAACGCTCATCTAACTTGTCTTTAACCCCTTAAGGACCAAACTTCTGGAATAAAAGGGAATCATGACATGTCACACATTTGTCCTTAAGGGGTTAAAAAAGTGGAAGCCTGATGTTACCCTGTTAAAAATAATTTTATTTCAGCAATATGGCCAAATCATTAAATGGAGAAGCCAAAAGATTTCAGAGTGAGCTAATGAACAGCTTCTTACATCTAAGATGATAGATCATATATTGATCAGCCCAGTCTCAATCATTCCAGCAAAGTGAGAGCACTAAAGGTTCCAAGGATGAAATCCAAGTTATGGGATTAAATACTAAAATTCACTGCCAGAATTAAATTTATACATAGCCCATAGACCATCAGGGCACATGAAAAAAAACCTGGAGGGGGAGCAGAGATATATACATACCTAACACTGTCTCTTCTTAATGCTACCAAGTTGTTTCAATTCCTAATGAGTGTCATCCAGGAGCTGTGTCATGATATGAACATGTGCAAGGGTAGAAAAACGGTGGTCCATGGAAGACAGAGGGATTTTACATAGATTCTTGTGCATACACAACTTTTTTTGAAATTATTTAATAACGTGTACTGATAGATACTTAAATAAGAATGAGCAGCAGATACAGCCATGAACACAGTGAACAGCCAGAGAACATTATGGCCACGATTTAATAAGCTTTCCAAATGATTCCATACTGTTAGAAAAATATAACAAATGACTTATTTACAGAAGTCACCAGTAAAGACTATGGGAATTTTTGTGGATGCGTTTTTCTAACAGTACTGAATCATCTATAAACCACAGGCGATTGTTATAGAAAATTGGTATTATATGCACCTTGACTATTGCAGTATATTTTAGTGGTTATGGTGAAAGTTTTAATAATTAATCATAATTGCTAATTGAAATACCATAACCACAAATGCACAGCTTGTATATTATGATGCAAAGGAAATTACGGGTGCCAGGAGCCAACAGATCATATGATGTAACAAGGTAAAGAAAGTTCAGAAAATCGTGAAATGACTGAGTACACAAAGTGTATCAGTGAAACAGCCAACATACATGTCTGGACCAGGATAAACACTGACCATGTTTAGAACAGAGGTATGCTACCCTGCAAAAAGGAGGTCAAAGTTCAGCAGTGGACTAAATTTGTGTATGTCAGTGAGTGCTCTGATGGTCTACTCAATCTAACGATTTTCAAAAATGACTCCTGCACAAGTCATAGGGTGAGTTAAGAACTTGAGCAGTCTGACCCAAAATCATGCTAAGCAAGATCTGGCCATATAATGTGACTAAAACCCAGTTTTAGATTTGTAATAGGTGTTTTTATGTATATTTTATGTGCTGATTTAGCACTGTGCAGTAATATTTATAATTATTGGTGACTTTAACAGAAAATCAATGGCTATGTTATATGTATTGTAAGCTTGTTTGAAAAGGGTCCTCTTCAACCTATTGTTCCTGTAACATTTCTTAATTGTCTCATTTATTGTTAAATGTCCCCCTCTATAGTATTGTAAAACACTGCAGGATAAGTTGGCGAAATATAAATTCCAATAATAACAATAATATATAATTTTTATCATAATTTTATACATCTGTATATCCATTTCTTTCTGCACTCTATGATATACTATAAATTATAAATTTACGTATATTTACTATTAAAAGGCATATTCTGTCTCTTTCCTAAATAATTATGTTCTGCAACGTAAAAGATTTAAATGAACCAAGTTTCAACTATAGAGTGCTAGAACGTAGTTCAATTTTATCAAAGGCTATAGCACCAACAGAAGAGTTCTATTTTACAGTTATAAAGTATGTTCCATAATTAAGCATAATATAGTTTTGTAAACCCTTCGTGACCGAAAGAAAAAAGTAACAAGTAAAAAAAGGTAAAAAGTTTGCCAGCTTTTGATGGTTACCCACGCAAACTTGTGCAGTGTTTGCCATTATTATGCAGCTCTGGGTGTACTTTACAAGGTCATTATGACGAGCACAATCCAAAGCAACACGGATCCATCTGTGACCGAGCAATGATATGCATGTTCTCTTTCTCACTCACTTCTGTCCCCATCCATCTTCCAACCTTTCCATATGAAGCTTCTTAGTGTAAGCGCCCATCTGGAAGCCACATGTGTTGCTCATTGCAAAGCAATTCTGTGAATTTGAGCAAATGTAGCTGGGTATGCTGGAATTAATGCTATTCAAACCAGTGGAGAGATGCTCATGGAAAGGCATTCTGGACATCTACTGATCTCAAAGTAACAGATTTGATAAATAGCTCATCGTCAAATATCATAATCTCAACTTATGACTCCAAGGAGGAGGAGATAATGGGCAAACCATTTGGAAAGAGACAAAGGGAATAAATAAGAATATTCGGAATAAACAGATTATTTTATGTTTTAGTGTGTTGTTTTTTTACTTGTTTTGCAAGCTTATTGGGCTGCTATAATTACCTATATTATATTTTTTATAAAAATGAAAATATAAAGAAAATACAGGTTATTGTAACAGGTATTGTGCCTGGAAGTGGTCTCTGCAAAATTACCTTTAATATCCATATACATTTCTCTAATATTAGCGCAGACCACCGCAGGTAGAACGTATTCCCTATTCAATCATCCAAGAACTTTGTAGCAAACTAGGCAAGGAACAGTGAGAATAACACAGCTCACGCAAACAAGGCTGACCATACAAGTACTTGGATGGCTGAATGAGGAAGCTAGATTAACCCGCTTGATATCAGAGGATAAGGGGGTGGAGCTTGGTCACTGTAGATTTAATTAAACCAGAACATACAACTGAATTTCTAAGTAGGCTTACAGGAACAGCTTCTTAGCACCTTAACCGCTACATTAAGCTATAGCAAATATGCAGCTGGAATGGTTCTTCAACTAGTAGTGTTGGTGCAGACACTTTATAAATAAATAATAATCTTCAGGGAAATAGTGTAGTATTATAATGTAGAACATATAAACAAATACATTAAATTGAAGGACTATAACAAACATAGGCAGCAGAGATGTACATATCTAAGACACGCCATGATTAATAATACTGTATATACAAGGCTCATTTCCTGGACCTAGACTCTGTAACCAAAGCTCACTCTTACTGTGTACAAGATTACAATGCTCTCCTGCAATTTGTAATATCTTTGTTTGGGAAGTAATTATGTAATACTTTGAGACACTGTTTCAGAACAATGTAATCAGGAATTGTGATAAAGATTGCAAAACACTGCTTGTTGATCTTGAGCCAAAGAAAAGCTGAAAGGTAGGCTTTGCAATTAGGGAATTATTTACTAAACAGTGCATATAGCAGGCTGCGCACTTGAAAAATCTTGGCATAAAATGAAAGAAATTCTCAGTTGATGATATTTTTCACTCCAGCTATTTTCGTCTGTAATTAATTGTCAACTCCCTTGTTAGTGAACAAGACTGCTAGACATATTGTACATGTATTTGACCAGGCACAACTTTATTCTATACAATTGCCCTAATCACCTTTTTAGACCAGTACATGTCAAAGAAAACTGTTTACATTTTAAATTAAATTGAATTAAATGCAAAATCTAGCGTGTTTTTAGACGTTTACTTTGCTTAACTACTTCATTGTAGATTTGCTGATTTAAAAAAAAAAAAATGCTTAGAGGGAACAATACCCTGTACTATACTAGAACACTGATTCCTGTACCAGACCTCATAATTCTCCAGCATTGCATATTTTATCAATATCACTATAGTAACAGAATTCAGAAATCCATAAAGCCAGGACTATGTGGCGTAACACTGCAAACACTCACAAACAAGGCCCTTTATTGCATAGAAAGGTCTGCGGGCTGTCAGTTTAGTTTGTGTCTCTACAGTACATCTGCACCATGTTCTTTAATGTTCTCAGAATTGAAGCAAAAAAAAAAAGAAAGCTTAAAAGTATCTGGAGCAACTGACTACAAAGAGAATTACTGTGAGCGTTCGTACTAAACAGGAGGCATAATACATGTCCGAAAGACCTATACACAGCGAAATCAAAAACAAAAAAGCCTTTTCAGACATTTATGTAGAAAATGCCATCACGGTTAATTGTAGCAAAATTATAGTGGAACAAAGGACGACACCAATAGCTGTGGAAGGGTGTTAAATTTTTTTCTAAGAATATACAATCAAAGTTTCAGAAGTTAAAAGCTGCATACAGATTAAATTAACCCTTCTATGAGTTAGGGTGGAGTGTTCTGGGCTAGTGTTGAACGGTAGAAGCCAACGGTTTAATAGTAGCAATCTTCTTTAATGACAGTAGAATAGGACAAGAGGTGAGATAGAAACTCATCTGACTTGTAAAAACTTCAGCTAGAGACACAAGCTGGATGTAGCACTGAAAGAGTTAAAGTAGTGTGGGCTTTTACATTTAGACTAGAGTTGTCTTGTAATAGATCAGGTCTGTGTGTGCTGTAACCACCCTCCCCCCCATCATCCCCCACTCAACCTATCCCTCCAAACACACTAGAGCTTGTCCTGCCAGGCTCCTGGATCAGATTTCATATTCCATCCCCAGTTCCCCCTCCTCCTCTACCCCCCCTCCAGACTTACTCCCCACCCTCCTCCTCCCCCCTGCTGGTGTCTTCTTTCCTTGTGACCTTGCAGAGGCTTGATTTACTGGAATCAGGGACCCCCTAGAAAGGCAGAGAGAGGGAGCGGAAGGGTGGGAGGAGAGAGAGGGTATTACACAACAAAAGCAAACTGCAGGCCTCTCCCAGCCAGACACCAATAAACAGTCCCTCCAGTGCCGGGTATTATCCTGGCCAGGTGGAGTGCATTTAGCTGGGCAGGCAGAGGCCAGGATGTAGTGCCTTCCAAAGTAAAGGGGAGTTGGCAATAAAGCTGGAAACTTGAAAAAAACAAGGTTTAGCTGGGTCATGATCTTGTTCATTTGCTCAGGCTAAGGATGGTTGGAGTGGGAGTACCAAAGGATGGCAGAGAGGCCATTTGTTGAAGTGGGGGTAGGGGTGGATTAAGTGTGGACAATGAAGACTGCTGTGCTGGCAATGTCACTAAACTTTGTTTGAGGTATGGCACAAGAAACAGCTTTGGGATTTCAGACAAGAGCGAGCACAAAGGGCAAAAAACACGCTGAAAGTATAACAATGAAACAGAGGCAAGGCAACAAGTGAGAAGAGGACAAGGGGGGAGAGTGCCTACCCTAGGGGTGGGGTGATGGGGGATAAGTATTGTCAGCCTGAAAAGCGAAAGATTGGCTCTGCAGCAAAGCTGAGAGTGAACAGATGAGATTTTGAAAACTTAGTTGTTATTGTTTAATGAGAGATCTTTAGTTTGCCTGGCTAAAGAACAAAACGAGAAGCTGCAAGCTGTAACAACATGTCAAGAGAGCCAGAATATACATCTATCATTCAAAGCGTACAGGATGGAAATTAATAAATAAATAATACAATGAAATGTACACGTTTTAACGTCCCAATGCGTGTTACTGTTGTTGTTGTTCTTTTCTGTCTTTGATGTGCCATGTTTGTCCTATTAAGGATTCATTCATCTGAAATTTCTGTACACAAGGAGTTATTTTGTCTATGCAAGAACCACCCCTATGCCGTTTTCGAGAAGAGGCACCACCACTAACTAGCCAAACCTCCATGGGTGCAAGCCTGGGGGCAGACATTGCATCTTGCTCACACATTACAAATTACTGGAATTTTAGCACGGGTTCTAAAGGACCCCAACACCCACTGGTGGCACAGGGCGTTGTGGCATTGTGCCATTGTGCCACCTCTCCCAAGGAATTGCAAGATTTCTGTTTTTAACTTTCAACTTAATGCAAGGGTTGCTGTGATACAATAGATGATGAGCATTGCATTTGGATCTAAGGAAGAATATGAAACCCTTTACAATGTTGCATGTCAAGGTCATCACAGCCTGAACCCAAAAAACTTTATGTCAGCACGAATTGTACAGCTTATTTAGGTTTGATAAACAAACCCATACAGCCTGTACCTTATTAAAGGAAAACTAAAGTTTTGAGAATACAAACCTGTATTCCTAATGCTATTGTGTTCTCTTTATTTAGATTCACAGCCCCCCTAAATCTAAATAAAAATGGGGAAAAAAGGTTTTACTTATATTTTTTCCAAACCACTGTGATCCCTTCAGCCACTTGATCTGCTTCTGTGACATCACACAGAGGCTTCTAAATGTCCAATCCAATATTCTTTATAGAGTAGCATTTGGGTCTGAAAGACGTGCTCCAACAGTAGGTTAGCGGTGAGAACCAAATCTCACCGCTGCTGACCCTGCCTCCATTGTTGAGATTGTCACAGAAAAGCATTGGGAGGCATTTGTGGCAAAACACCCCGCTGGCCAATCAGCATCTCCTCATAGTGATGCATGAACCAATGCATATCTATGGGTAACGTTCAGCATCTGAATGCCAGTGCTGCACACTGTGCAGCACGGACTAGGAAGTACCTCTAGTGGCCACCTGAGTGACTGCGGCTAAAGGTGTTCCAAGGCAGCAATGTAAACACTATGTTTTCTCTGAAAAGGCAGCATTTACAATGCTCAGTCTGAAGGGGCAGGCTATAAACAACACAACCACTACATTAAGCTATAATGGTTCTGGTGACTATAGTGCCCCCTCAATGTACAAAAAAACAAACATACAGCTTACTTATTTTACAGTTTTTAACTGTAAAAGAGGAAAGCAAAAAAGAAATGACTCTCACATGTGTCCACTATATAAAAAGTTCCACTTTTGGCATCTCACTATTTTTGTTTTGTCTACATGTAACCTTGCGGTCAATGAGACAGCTTGTAATATGCCTGGATGATGTCAAAATCATTCTCTAGACTCCCCTATCAATAATCTCCCTTGCCTCTTATTGGTAGAAGCAAACACGTGCAGTATCCAAAATTATTCCTATATCCCATCCCAGGGAAATGTCACGCTGAGTGTCAAACCACACTGTATTTAACAAAAAGATGCAATTTGATCAGATAGTCCATTTATGTAACCTAGATCTGGCGGTAAGGCATTCACAATCCGAGCAAGATTGTTTTAGTTACAAGAGCAGAAAGGATGTAGAGATAAGAAATTTAAAACTGAGCCTTTAAGAACATTATTCAAACAGGCTTGATAGAATAGCTACACATTCTTCATGGACATTCTCTGCAAATGTAATCTTAATTTAAATAAATATAGTGTGGTTAAAAATGTACCTTGAACTTTCACTAGAATTACAATTTTATACCTAAAATCAAATATATATATATATATCACATTTTCTACATCCATATACATGTCACATATAAACCAGCACAAAAATATAAAAAATCTTATAGCGAGTGATTATGCACTAAAAGGTAAGTGTGAGACTCAGCACTTAACAAGTAATTGTAAACTGCCTCCAGCTCCTCTGAACCGGACAAATTCTGCAGAACAAGTCACTTTGTGAAACAGATTGTGGTCCCACGCAAAAAATGAAACCAGGTAAACAAAACAATCAAGTAGCCGTAATTCTCATACAACTTTCAGACTTAAAGACTGCATTCCTTACTGGGTAGGAAAGTACAGGTGAACTTGCCCAGGGGGTGTATCTATTATTAATGCAACAGGTGCAAAACCTCAGGTCCCAGAAGCCCTCAGGGCTCCGCTTCTTCCTGCAGAGGGTGTAGATAGAATATTACTAGAGTTGACACATTCACATATCTAAGAACTCTTGAGAAGTTTACCAAGAACTTCAGGGCTTTACATTCAAGGTCAGAGATTCCTCTTCCATGGTTAACATTAATTAAAGGGACACTCCAGGTACCAACACAACTTAAAGGGATACTTTAGTGTAAGAAATACAAATCTGTATTAATTACACTATAGTTCCCTCAAGCCGCCACCCCCCACCCGGCGCTCAGAAAGGGTTAATACACCCTTTCTCTACTCACCCGAATTCAGCGCTGATCTCACTCGACGCTGGGTCGGCGCTCCGCCTCTCCCAACATCACCTGACTGGGGGGCTAATGCACATTGGCGGCATGCATCGCAAGCACATTGGGCCGTCCCATAGGAAAACATTGCTGCAATGCTTTCGTATGGGGATTTTACTGCGTGCATAGTCCTGCAAAGTAATCATTGCAGTTTATCAAAGGGGCAGCACTAAGAGGGACAGCCATCCAACTGAACTGATTCATACCTGTGATTGGAGCAATCTTTCAGTGATCAGAGACAAATACATATATAGCTTGCCTCTCCAAGCATGGGGTCCACTATATATATATATATATATATATATATATAAATGTAGTAAGGATAGCACTCCAAGGACTTCAGAGAAATATATTGTGAAAAAACTTAGCTTTTATTCAGGCATCTGCCAGTAGTAGATCAACATTTCAGTTCTCTAATGGAACTTTCGTCAGGATCCTGACGAAAGTTCCATTAGAGAACTGAAACGTTGATCTACTACTGGCAGATACCTGAATAAAAGCTAAGTTTCTTCACAATATATTTCTTTGAAGTCCTTGGAGTGCTACCATTACTACATTTCTATTATTTGGCTGTTAAGCAACGGGCTCTAACTCCCTATCCTGGAGTGCAAGCAATTGGAAATTTATATATATATATATATATATATATATATATATATATATATATGTATGTATGCACACAATGTAAACATTTTAACAAACAAGAAGAAAAAACGGATTGCTTACCATACATCTTGCCTTCATCTGATAAGATAATTTTGCGTCTTCCGCATGGCGGATAAATGGCCAGAGCTTCCTGAAAGCTTTGCTCGATGTCCGGGCTCCATACACCTTCTGCATCATTGTCCAAGCTCTTTTCCATGGAATCACCAAGATCACCTGTGCTTTCTGCTGGACTGCCAGCCTCGCTCCATCCATTGGGGTCCATATTGTCTTTGTGCGTAGGAGGGAAAGGAGAGGCTCCTCCAAGCCTCAACCTGTGGCGGCTGACTCAGAAAACACTAGAAAAAAAAAAAAGAAAGAAATATAAATTAAAACTATTGATGTGGAAAAGTAAGTAAAAATGATGGAAGGGAGATACTAGACCAACCACAGAAATGTAATGTTTACTTGTTTTAACGTGTGTTAAACCAAAGTAGCAGTGAGTGGCCATCTTGTCTAGCTGACAAAACCAATGATTTTGTCATCTTGGGTGGTCAAGGCACATTAACTAGTTCAGTGGAGTTCTTCTCCAGCAGTCCATCTAAGGCCTTCTTTTCTGGAGATAATACACAGACCAGGTGACACTTGAGATGTTGAAGTGTGACCAGCGGTGCCAAATGGGCAGCAGGAAAAACATTTGCACAACAAATGGCCCGATGATAATCAAGCCATGTGACATCTTTTTTTTACCGACAGCTAGAAATAAGTAAACCCTTCAGAAATCTTTCCTGCCTGTATGTTAGCTTATACAATCATTGCTTAAATTATATTGCTATTTCCACATCTTCTCTGAATCATGTAGTTGGCCTCTGATAAGGGTTTACTTTTATTATTTCGCATCCATCTGTTTATCTATGCTAATTGATTGGTTAATTTCATGATCGTAGGTCTATCTACCTTGCGTGATTCTAATGTCTGTTGTTTTCAGTGATGTGTGTTTGTGCTACAGATCGACAGATAAATTCACACACACACACAAAAATCCTTGCAACTCATATTTGTGGGTTTTTCTCTTGTATGTATAATTATTACATTCGTATTTCATTACAGATTTTTTTTTTCATTTACCTATATTTTTAGTTTTGCCCTTTCTTCGTTTCCCTCTATACCAAAAATTATAAACACGTGCTTCCTTTGCATATATCACATGAATTAATAAATAATATGCTAGGATAATATATGCATATATTTTTGCACACCAATGTGCATGCATTTCTTTTCCTTGCTGTCTGCGTGTGTATGAATATAAAAGTATGCTATCATTACACCAGAGATTACACCAGATTTTATTTATTATTGTACTGGCTGCCATGCTTAAAAAAATATATATATAATAAAAATAAACATCAGTTATATGGTTTGCTTTTACTTGCTACGCCTTTTTGATGTCATCTCGGTTTCGTGAAACAAATGTTGGCATATGTCTCATTCTGTGATGCCAAACCCATCAGTTTATGATGAGAGTATTTACCAAGTTAGGAGTTGCAAAACAGTCTGCACGTTGTCTGCAAGTTCACTTACAGAAGACTAATCCAGTTACACAGTCATGTTAACTTTTAACCTTTAGTAAATGACAGCCAGGGTTGTTTTACAACTTTGGTTAAGTGCTTTATGCGTTTAATCTTAACTGTTTTGGTATAAAAATAAAAATCGTGAATCCTCCAGAGTTTATAGCAAATAGCCTATTCTGCTGACGTTTCACACTGCTCTGTGTATTGTGACAATCACAACTAAATGATCGCCACTAATGCCACGAGCTAATCCATAGTACGACCGCCAACAGCAGAAATCAGACCGTTTAACCCTTGTGTTGTGTCGAGCATACCTTTGGCACACAAAGGGTTTAACAAGGCAGGGGCGCTAATATAAATAAAAGATAAAGGAGGGGGGAAAGTGGTGTTCTATGCCAGTCTGTACCACTCTTTTGGTTACCGAACTAAAATACCATGGCTGACAAAGCATTATGAGAGTTGTAGGGCAGAAAGCAGCAGAAGAGCTTATAGAGGTTTGCATTTGCAGAAGACAGAATATATATTTGCACATATAGGGAGTGAAAATTCACAAAGCACCCAGGTGAGACATTCTGAATGTTCATGAAAATATGCCGCTCTCTGAGATACTTGCTTGGCCTGTACGCCCAGCCCTCACACAGTATACTAACTCTTACTGCTACTGATAAATGCATATCCCCTTCCCTCCAAAAACCATCACCTGATGTTTTACACTAAACAGGCCCCGGCAGATGAGTGCGGTAGAAATGCTCGGTGCTATACTTACAAATTGGTATGTTCTAGAAAATTTAAATTGTGAAATATAGGGCAATGTAGTTTTAGAGTTAGAAAATTCAGCCCGTTTCCAGTTTGGTAAATTTAATATAAATTTTGTAGTTCCAATGGTGACAGACCACAATTTACTGTGTAGTGAATTTACCGCTCTGGCTTACTCATTGTTTCATGGGCGCTCACTCTGAGCTAGAAGCAAATTCATTGTGATAATACATGATTTTTAAAATCATTTTTTTAAAGAAGCATCATTTTATGATATATAGCATTTGCTGTCAGTACTTGATGAACTATAGCTCCCATTATCAAGATGAGAGGCTATGGATTGTGGAGAAAACGAAATAGAACCAACACCCACCGAGCTGCAGTTACTAACCCTGACCTAGAGCTATGTTAAAATGAGTTAAAAAAATCCCCAGAGACTGTAAAAAAAATAAAAATTAAAGGATTAAGTAGTTGCACCCTAATCCAATGCTGAGCCCATAAGCATTGCCTCGAGGACCCTTCCAAGGAACACAAAGTCCCTTCACATCCACCAAAAAGACATAATTTAAAACATCAGACATCATCATCATCTACCTGATGGGAACAGGGGAGAACGTGTAATTGCGTGTAAAAACATAAAAACGTTAAAACATATCACCCCCTTAAGGACACATGACATGTGTGACATGTCATGATTCCCTTTTATTCCAGAAGTTTGGTCCTTAAAGGGGTTAAAATAGAGATGTTTCTAAAACAAACATATTCTTTACAAAAATATTGAAGAAAGAAGGAATTTCAAGTTAAAGAGAATAGCTTGTATATTTATTCACTAAACCATACCTCCCAAGTGTCTCTGTTTAGGAGAGATAGTCCCTATTTTGGCCCAAATACATCTATACCTCTTTTCTATCCTAATGTCCCTATTTTCTAAATTCAGAATCACGTTTCTTGCTAATATCCACACACGTTCTGCCAACAGCAACAAACCTAAAGTGAAATAAAATTACAAAAAAACAATGACAGTCATTTTTCAGTGTCCCTCCCTCACAATGCCGCCGGCCATTTGTCCCTACATTGTTGGTGGGCAGTCTTTGGATACAAGGACAGGTCGACCTCTCCTACAGAGCAGAACTCTCGCCGTGCCAGACTGCAGCAGGTGTGACATGAGCTCTTGTCATTTGAGACGTTGGCACGCGTAGGCCGTAACATCCCTTCCAATAGAGCACTGAGTCTAGGAGCTGAAAAAACCTGCATCGCATATCACAGGACACAGAAGAAAATAAACCGTGAAGGAAAGTGACCTTAGTATACTTAGAAGAAATGTTGTTGAAAACAAACAGCTGAAAATCCAAGATCTCAATGCAAACTGGATGTGTTGACCTTGGTGAACTTTGGAATATTTTGTATTTTCTTTTTTTTTTAAAACCTAAACAAAAGCGTGTATGGGTGGATCTCTCCAGCAGAGTTATTTGCTAAACTGACATTTGACGGAATTATACATTTTAAACCAAAATACATTAAGTTCGAAAAATTCTGGCTATTCTGGCCAAGATGTACAATTTAAGGATTCATAATCTCAGGTTTAGAGTGGAGCGTGTTGTCTCGATCATAACTGAAATTTGGCTGACCGTGTTTAAAAAGTTTGAAGTGTAATTGCAAAACACGTTCTGCTGCTCACAAACACTCATACAAAGACTTCGCAGGACGATTGTTCTTCTGGGTCCTGCTTTATACAGGTCATCCAGAGTCAAACTCATCTCCCTTTTCCTGCAATCTCGGGAAATCTAGAATCCCACCCAGCCAGACAGTTGCCTACTGTGTTTTTATTTAATTATAATAACTTAAAGTACTTGGTATAACAATGCACTCACCTTGGATATGGCGGCAGTAATAGCAATACACAATAATGTATTCTAATGTTATTTAAATATAGCAAACACATTCCCTTGCTGCATGCCAAAACAACCAAAATCATGGTTTACAAAACACAGCATAGAGCATGTGGGACACACAAAACAATCCTGCATGGGTCAGGTGAGTTTCAGACGCCTTCTAGGTTCCCTATCTGCGTTTCACCCATAAATCTGTGTTCACCAAAACAAGAGTCTGCACAAAAGCCACGTTATCCAGGAAAACATTCCTTGTAGATTACGCTCTTTTTAACCCCGCGAGGACCACAACCATATGTGACATATTGTGGATAGTCTTTTTTTCTTTCTTTAATTAATAATGGGATTTACAGAGTTCCAACATATTCCACGGCGCTGTACAACAGGTATACAAACAAAAAATCTGACAAACAAGTTAAGCTAAACAGAAATAAAAACTCGAAGAAGGCCTACTCAGATAAGCTTGAAACTATTAACAAAACTATTAGAACAAGTTTACTTTTATCCACGGGCATAGGGCAAACACCCTCTGCCCCCCACCCGATAATGCCCTTCTTTTGATTAGAAATTGTTTTTCAACCCCTAATCATCTAGAGGTTTATTCTCGCCTTTACTATTTACCTTTGTTATAAATATAGTAAGTTAGTTTTAGTTAACAGACAATCATTGAAAGTGGACAATGTAATTACTAAATAAGTCTTAATCAGACATGCAAATTAATTAATGAAATAAGTTTTAACAGTAAAATGTAAAATCAAAACAAAGTAGGAGGCTCAATCCAGTTCTGCTATGTTGCAATTTTTCTTTCGATTCACCACAAGTCACTGATCAGTGAATAAATGTATAGTTTAATATTTGATGAATCCCTCAATTTGCACTCTTTGGAACATTCTCTGGCATTTTTCAGAAACAGAACACAAGAGAATAAAAGGTGATCCCATAATAGGACTGTCTAGCCAGATCCAGGGCTATTGGGAGGTATGCACTGTGTTTTTATAACTTACATTTCCAAATATTAGAATCCCCTAAAGGTTATTTGGCAGAGTTGTGACTGCAATGTGTTAAGGAGTTAGACAGCATTCTTGGGCTGGTATAAATCCCATTGAGAAAATCTGTAAGCACTGTATCACTGCATAGTTCTACAGCACATTCCACAATTGGTAACAAACGCTGTCACAGCTTGCCAAATTCTTAGTGACTGATTGCTTTGCTGGTTATAAAGAAATTACAGCAGTCACATCCTGGACAGTGACATAGAAAAAGTAAAATTGGAATATTAACTTCACTGCCACAAGAGAACAATTGGCTTTTATTACGGCGTGTTTTTGATTTAGCAAAATGATTTGAGACTCTGAAAATCATCACCATTATTTTATTATTAAAGGTAAACTCAAGCAGAAATCAAACTAAAACTGCTCAATTGAAGTTGGACATTCAGAGATTCATCCAGAGACTAATAGAAAGAAAAGCAGTACAATCAGCAGCAGTGGCCATGGTGCTTGGAGTGACCTTTTAATTTATATATTGTCATCAAATTCTGTAACGTAGGAGACACTGAGCAAGGGAAAATTATCAATATTATTCACTAAGGTAATAATCAAATTTAAGGCCAAAATAGCAGAACTCAAAACATTCTCCAAAGCAGCTATGCTTCAAGTTCAGCTACTTTGGCCTTAAATATCAGTCACTTTAAATTCACTTTGAATTTCTCGACACTTCTACCTTAAGTTTATTTTGACACACAAACACAAAACAGCTGTAGTAGGTGCAACTTCCATGATGCCTTGCCAGTTCTACAGCAACTAGGTAGCTACACCCCATTCTAGTGTATGTAGTTACGGTTAACTCTGACAAAAGATAAATATGGCATAAATAGTTTTTTATGTAGAGTATAAAAAATTCTATGTATTGGAGCCCTTTATGGCAATCAAGGAAAGTAGTATAATAAACGCAACTATGAACAATAATCAACAATCGTTGATCATGCGATTATGTCATTATGGTCCAGAAATTGAAAAACTTCTTCGTTTGCTACCAATATACTGTTATAGAACTGTTACACTTGCTTTGTGGGCACAGGGTGTTTTGCAAGGTCAGTAAGTAATAAACAAGAGTTGATTTTATTTAAAAGATCACTTTATCAGATGTGGAGGATCTACAATTTTTTAGACACTGTACATGATGTAACTTTTCTGGTGCATTCCGATTGGGTGAAAATATCAAAAGCGTCATTCTTCTCGCTCTAGTAACAGAAATCTAGTAAAAAAAATTACGTTTGTGATTATATCTCTGCACACTTTTTCATAAAAATATCAATTTATATTTATGTACAAATGACCCTTTCACACTAAATTTTACACCTAATTATTGAATTTCTTTAGTTCTTCAACCAGGAATTTAAATTTTTAGGCTTAGACAGCTGAGCAGGAAAAGAGTGGAATTTGACCATATTTGCTAATTCTGCTATTTTGGTCTAGAATTTGCAAATCTCTAGTTCATTCTCCATAATTCCCGGTTTTAATGAATAATCCACAGTTTTGGAATGGCTTTAGAGATTTTCTAAACTCTTGTTTCCAGTAGTTTTTCTAAACTACTTTCCATTTTCAGTCGACAGCTGGACACAGTCTGTTCTCAGCATGGTGGAAGACAGGGAGGAGGGGGTAAGTGCGTTGGGGAGGAAGGATTAATCTGTAATAAACTTACAGCAACAACAAAAAAAAGTTAAAATATAAAAAAGTTGTTTTGGAACTATTACTGTCCTTACATAAGAAAGCATTTAGTGATCTCTTGCAAGATATCAGCACCCCTAAAAAGTCTCCTTTCTTTGAATCCTCTCCTTGTCCTCTTGTTTGTCCTCCTCCCTCCCCCACGCCATCAGCCTGTCAAGCAGTTCTGATACGCCAGGCCTCCTGTTATCCAATCTTAGCTTCAGAACAGGTGGACTTGCTTTTTCGGAGGCAGCTGCTCTTAGTGAGGAGCAGAGGGGTCTGGAGATGGATGGGGAGATTAGTGAAGATGCAAGGTGTAGAGCAGCAGAGGCAGTGGAAACTGGCGTGGGTGGAAATAGGAATGGCGAAGGATGAAGAAAGAGTGGGGGGCTACATATTATAGCTCACAAGTAATGAAAGCCCAATTATAAGCGAGTTAAAATTAAGGGATCGGGTTGGTCCATTTACTTAAATATGACATGACCCCAGGTGCTAAAACCATAAAAAGAAGTTGCTGAAGCACTTCTTCAGGATTATTTACTAAAATGAGAATTATCGGGAATTCAAAGCAAATTGCAAATTTAAGGCTAAAATAGTGAAACTGGACACATAGTTGACTTAGTAGAATTTTTCCAGTTCAGCTACTTTTGCCTTAAAGGGACATTATAGTCACCAAAACAATTTTAGCTTAATTAAGTAGTTTTTGTGTATAGATCATGCATCTGAAGTCTCACTACTCAATGCACTGCCATTTAGTTGTTAAATCACTCTTATTTCTGTTTATGCAGCCCTAGCCACACCTTCCCAGGCTGTAAATGATCCAGCCTGCATGACAAAAATGGTTTACGTTTTTAATCAGATGTAACTTACTTTAAGAGTTTTTATATCCTGCTCTGTAAATTGAACTTTAATGACAAACAGGAGGCTCCTACAGGGTCTAGCAAGCTATTAACTGTGCACAAGATAAGAAATTCTAAACTAAACAGAATTTGCAATAAAGGAAGTGTAAACATTAGATGTCTCTTTACAGGAAATTTTTAGGAAGGCTGTGTAAGGCGCATGCAGGAAGGTGTGCCTAGAGCTGCATGTACAAAGTGATTTAACTCATAAATGGCAGTGAATTAAGCAGAGAGACTGCAGGGGCAGGCATGATCTATACACTTTTTTCCAACTTCTAAAAGTGTGTTGAGAAGAGAGGTTTTTATGAGAAGTCTCCCCTGAAGCCATGTTTATCTTTCAGGCCAATTCATGAGACATAGTGTTTTTATAATACTTTTTTTTTATATATATAATTTTTATTTATAGAAACAGATACTGTATAGAGTGCAATGTGTATAGTTTTCCTTTTACGGATATGGCTCTCATTCTTGGCTACATTAAGCAGAGAGTTCATTTCAAGCCAAATGCTTATTTTCTGTATAAGTCATAAATGCATATTCTACATTAACCCTATGTGTGAAACAGATGCACCTAATACACCCGAATAACTTAATAATTTTTAGCATACTTCTTGATATGTAAACCCTACATAATTAATAAATACTTGCCTATATACAAATTAGGTTGATACTACTTAGCTAAAACAATAATGTCACTATGACACGTGTGGTCTGAAAACCAGTTGACCAAGTAATAAGTCCAGTAACTAAAACGCAATAGAATTTTAGCCACCTCTCCTCAATCTCTGGTCATAACAATATATAAGTCGTATTTACAGAATAGTTTGGTAGTTGACCGAACACAGCAGAATTATCCTCATAAATTTAAAAAGGGAGTCCGCATTGGGCTGAACTCTGTGAAAAATGTGATAGAATCCTACAAGTTCAAAAAACAGGAGTAGTTTCACAAACGTTTCAAATCATTTTACAGAAACCGTTTTGGAGAAGGGCAACATAATATGCATGTGAAGGTTGTTTCGACATGTTTTGGTTTTGCTAAATATCTCCTGTTTTCAGTTTACTGCTAAGACTAAAAGTGTAACTATTTTGTCTTATGGCATCTAAAATCCCAGAAAAACTTTGTCAAAATGTTAAAAGGAACACTCTTAACAGGAGAGCAACTTATGCTTATTACACAGGTTATAGTGCAAGAAGGTCCCCTGTCCCTGTCTGATTGTACATAGCTGCTTACAACTGCAACAATCCGCTTAAATTGCTAAAACTATACTCCGGCCCCCTCCCTGAGATATCAGAGGCGGAAAATATGCTTGTTCCTCAGCCCATACATAAACTTGTATGGTACAAGCACACCGTGTGAGCAGGGTGTTAATTACTTTAGATACTCATAGAAGAATTATTATTTTGATTTAAATTGTATTTTGTTTCCCCGTTTTAATGCAGTATCTATCTACTACTTTAGAAAAAAAAAATGTGGCCACGTCTGGCCTCGATTATCCCTTTAATAAACTCGCAATCTTTCCTTTTACGCACAAAACTAGATTCTAAAAAAATACACCAGAATGGTGATGTGACCAAATAAACTACAACTACATTATCACTGTGAATCTTATTCAGGAAGCAGAGTCCGTTTAAAAAGTAGGGAGTGAGAAGAGTCTGAGTATAAACAATGTTTTTCAGGAATTTCCCAACAAAGTATTTTTCATCAGACACTTACAAGCTAGCTACTTCTTGTGTGGAAGAAGAACAAGGAAGCAGCAAACTGTCTGATTGTCTCATATTTCTGCTTGTTTGGTCCCAGGCCGCCCTTTCCTGCCAAATCTTTGCTTTATTTTTCTCTCATTTTAACTTTCATGGCTTCTCTTTCCTCTGTGCACCGAGCTGTCAAACATTATAAACAATAAAGTTTCCATGCCAAATATATTCAAGGTTTAGACTGTCTATGGCATTTTTTTTGCTCTGTTCGCTTGGACTTTGATTATGAAACTGCTAACATTACCGTATCTCCTTGGTAACATTTCTGATCCTATAAAACCATACTACACATCTAGCCGTCAGACTGCAATACTGAGTAGGTATTGTTTTTAGTTTCTCTGTAAGGATTGTGGACTGCTGTACTAATGAATAGATTGTAGTTGCAACAAATGAATTTTTTTAAAGGAACCAAATAAAGTTAGGAATACAAGCTTGCATTCTTAATGCTATACTGTCATCCCCTTTATTTAGATTCAGGGCCCCACCTAAATCTAAATAAAAATTGAGGAGAAAAAAAAGAAACAATATTTTTTTCCAGGGCCGAGATCCAGTTCTTGCAGCCGCTCATCCTGCCTCCTGCGAAGTGATGTCCCGAACGGTTCGCCACGGACGGCGAACATGTGCGCTGTTCGGTCCGCCCCCTATGTCATCATTGAGTAAACTTTGACCCTGTACCTCACAGTCAGCAGACACATTCCAGCCAATCAGCAGCAGACCCTCCCTCCCAGACCCTCCCACCTCCTGGACAGCATCCATTTTACATTCATTGTGAAGCTGCATTCTTAGTGAGCTGTCCAGTAGGTGGGAGGGTCTGGGAGGGAGGGTCTGCTGCTGATTGGCTGGAATGTGTCTGCTGACTGTGAGGTACATGGTCAAAGTTTACTCAATGATGATAAATAGGGGGTGGACCGAACAGCGCATATGTACGCCGTCCGCGGCGAACCGTTCGGGACATCACTAGTGAGGACGAGATTGAATTTTTTTTCACATCAGAAGCGCCTCTAGTTTCTGTCAGGTAGACAGCCACTAGAGGTATATATAACACTACAATGTAAGTATTACCATAACTACTTTACACTGCAGGTTTGAAAATAAAAGGCCACTGCACCCCGACCACTTAACTGAAATTAAGTGGTCTGGGTGCCATTAACACTCCATTAATCGGAAGGGTTTTTTGCTCTTCCATAAAACACTTTAAAAATGCTTTGAACCTTGTTTTGATTTTTTTTTTTTTTTTAATTACTCTTAAATAGAACTTAAATATTTCTATAAAAGTTGACATTGCATTTCCTCTTCTCTGCGATGTGCAATGCTGAGAGCTAACAAGACCAATTCTGGTCATCAACATCAGTATAGATAAAGTGAGATTGGTCACGTTTGCTGGAAGAATATCTGTGAGAGAGACCATGAAATTGCCTGGGCCACCTGCATAGAGGTCTGTGCGCAAGAATTGATTGTTAAAGAAGCATTTTTTGTTATTGCAAGAATTGATAGACAGGCAGGGAAGGGACCATATTTTTTTAAATATATATATATATATATATATATATTTTTTTTTTTTTGTATGCTCTTTCAGTAAAGCATTAGTCAGTGTGCTCAGCTGTTTAAGAGTTTCCCACCTTGTTTTGTCTTTACAGCAGAGTTTTCTTTTAAAAGTTCAATAGGAAAAAGTTAAATAGAAAGCTTCTACAAATATGATAAACACATCTGGACAATTCCACAGAACTCCTGATCACTCTTGATTTAGATTTTTTTTTTTTTTTAAGTACAGATTTGCTGTGGTTTTATTTTCCAGTAAAAGACATGAAAGTCTGATAAAGTAACTTATAAGGGATTAACTGAATGTTGAAAAGGAGGGGAAGGAGCAGAAAAGGAAAACGTTGCATATGCACACACGCTGGCCATAAAATGAAAAAAAAAAAAGTCTACTTTACTCAAGGTAATTATGACAGAGAGTGGCTAAATTATTATTTTTATTATGTAACCCCACATAATTTTGTAGTGCTGTGCAATAGGTAAACAAAACAAATCAGATAGATACATTTAAGAGGAAGGTGGCTGGATACTGTCCCTTTAAATACCATGGTCGGCAATAAGAAAATAAATTATACACTAAACGCTGAGCAAACAGTCTAGGTAAGTGAAGTCACACGTTAAATATTTCACTTGGCAATGTCACTATGTTGAGTAGTTCAGTAGTGTTTAGGATTTGATAAATGTTGAAACACTAAGATTCTTGGGTGACGGACAATTTCAGGAACAAACGTTCCAATTAAGTTTTCAAGGCCTTCCTTCCTAAAGGGAACCTATCTAAACAGTTTTCGAGAAGAATGTGTAGAATCTTGTAGCAGTATTGCAAGGCAGTGTATAGACAAGGACGGTTTACTGCCAATGTCAACAAGAACTGCCATAATTACTTAAAATAACTTAAAGGTGGCACTTTCACTTTTGCATACATATCAAAATATCACGTAGACTTGATAAATATTTTAAAGTAATTTCAATGTAATCAATTACAGATATAACATTCTATAAAGGGGTTTTTCCAACCAAAAAAACTTGTTTTTTATAAAACACTGGTTTTGGTTAGAGTAACCTTTTTTGCAGTGATCCTCCCCCACTTGCTTAAAATAGTTAAGAAAAAAGCTAAAACGCCCTCTTTTACACGTACGTTCTCCCCTGAACCCAATCGGATCTTCCTTGGTGATGTCACTCACCCTTGCCAGAGAATTAAGGAGGTCAAGGAGGGCAGACTGAGGGGAGAAGAGGGGCAGCCCAGGTGTGGGGCCATGCCACCACCAGACGCCATCTTTCCACAGAATTGATGCTAGCCTGCCCAAAACCTTTGTTCAAGGCTGGCTAATGGCTCCCCATGAAGCTACCAAAGGTAGCAGAGGGGTTAATCTACATATGAGCTGTGTTCCTTACTGGATCGCTCCACATACTGACTCGTACCACTGAAGTGGTCATGGTGCTTGGAGTAAATTCCTAAATTGTTGGGAATTAACCAGAATACTATATTATTTTTCAATTTTAGATAAAATATGAATTAGAAACATAACTTTTCCCACCTCCCTGGATTTTTCATTTTTAGTATTTTTAATACTACGTTTACTTATCCCTAAATTTAACAAATATGTATTTATGAAGTGTAAAAAGAAAATGAAATGGCAAAATATAGCCCTATTCCTCACCTACTGATAATTTGAAAGTTGCAACTTGCATATTAGCAACATCAATTTCATCATATTTGGAATGCACCGATATGCTGAGCGTTTCAATTGCCATTTAAAAATAAAATAATATGCAATGTTAATTTACAATAAGAACTAAAATGAAATAAATGTCAATTCCCAAGGCATGAAATAATCTTGTTACAAATTTACTAGCTATAAATTTTAGAGATTAAATGATATTGTCCTTTTCTATATTATAACTCAATAATGTACAGTTCATCTTCTGGGCATGTGGTATAGCTGAGGTTTATCTGACGCTCTCAGACTTGCAGATAAGAAGCTAGAAGGATTATTTGCTAAAGGACACATTTGGAAGCTCAAATTTGAATGAAGCTATAATCAGCAAACCAGAATCTAATATTTTATGCACACTGTGCATTATTCACATACAGTGCACATATATAATTGTTTATTATACACATTAAAGGGACAATATAGTCACCAAAACAACTTTAGTTTAATGAAGCAGTTTTGGTGTATAGAACATGCCCCTGCAGCCTCACTGCTCAATTCTCTGCCATTTAGGAGTTAAATGACTTTGTTTATGAACCCTAGTCACACCTCCCTGAATGTGACTTGCACAGCCTTCCTACACACTTCCTATAAAGATTCATCTAAAGTTTATCCTTTCTTCGTTGCAAGTTGTTTAATTTAGATTTTCTTATCCCCTGTTATGTAAATACCTTGCTAGACCCTGCAAGAGCCTCTTGTATGTGAATAAAGTTCAAGATTACAGAGCAAGAGGTAAAATTGTTTAAAGGACCACTATAGTGCCAGGAAAACATACTTGTTTTCCTGGCACTATAGTGCCCTGAGGGTGCCCCCACCCTCAGGGACCCCCTCCCGCCCGGCTCTGGAAGGGGGAAAGGGTTAAAAACTTACCTTTTTCCAGAGCTGGGCGGAGAGCTCTCCTCCTTCTCTCCTCCTCCGTTCCTCCTCCTGGGCTGAATGCACACGCGCGGCAAGAGCTGCGCGCGCATTCAGCCCGTCGCATAGGAAAGCATTTACAATGCTTTCCTATGGACGCTTGCGTGCTCTCACTGTGAAAATCACAGTGAGAAGCACACAAGCGCCTCTAGTGGCTGTCAATGAGACAGCCACTAGAGGCTTTGGGGGAAGGCTTAACCCATTAATAAACATAGCAGTTTCTCTGAAACTGCTATGTTTATAAAAAAATGTGTTAACCCTAGAAGGACCTGGCACCCAGACCACTTCATTAAGCTGAAGTGGTCTGGGTGCCTAGAGTGGTCCTTTAAGCTAAATTACATCTGATTGAAAGTGAAACCATTTTTTTTAATGCAGGCTCTGTCAATCATAGCCATTGGAGGTGTGGCAAGGGCTGCATAAACAGAAACAAAGTGATTTAACTCCTAAATGGCAGTGAATTGAGCAGTAAAATCTGAGACGCATGATCTACACTAAAACTGCTCCATTAAGCTAAAGTTGTTTAGGTGACTATAGTGTTCCTTCAATACAAACAATACATATCTAAAAACAAATAAAACTAGACACAGACACATTTTAAATTTGCCTTATATTTTTTTCCCAATAATTCTGATGTATATGTATTATTTGCAAGCAATAAATAAAGTTATTTTAATTAACCACTGCAGAGCCAGTGACATGTGAGGAATATTGCAAATAGCAAGGAATTTGTGTAACCCTGGTCCTGAAGAGGTTAAGCATGTGCTGGTTGTAAAAACATTGGCTGAGCCAGGTAATAATGTTTATAAGATTTGCTAATCAGCACAGGGGTAGCTCAGAAGGTAACACTGATTGTGTCAAAGAACAACTGGCCCTATTCTCCTGCCAGCTTTTTATCTATAAATGCACAGATTATAATTATCACGTGACATGAATTGATTGTACCAAACTGGGAGAGTTCTACTTTGAAGGTAAAAAAAAAAAAAAAAAATGTTCACTTGCATTAGTTAAAAAAGTTATTAATTTACTCAGAGCTCTGCCCTGAATCAGGCACTTTCTGTACTGAATTAACATAGTCATATAGGCTGAAAAAGACTTGTGTCCTTCAAGTTCAGCTTTTACATTGCACCCTGTCATACCTGCCAAACAAATTATGTAGTTTTCTACTATCTTACAATAGGCAGAATAGTGATTTTTCAGACATTAAACAATAAAGATTTAAAGTCGGTTAAGAAAAACAAAATGTTTGCTAAGTGAAAATATGTTATACAAATAATGTATCATTTTGACGAACTAAAGCCTTTTATCTACTACTATTTTTGTTTTTATAACTTCTGTCAAAAGATTATTCAGTAAACCGACCCATATTTAGCAAAGTAATACTTTATGAACTTAGACCTATGTGAACAAACATGTGGTATTATTTGCTGGGGGTGATGGAACCATTATTAGGAAGGTGGGCATTGGAAAATTTTATGGGACAAAGAATTAAAGAACCACTCCAGGATGTATAAAAACTTTATCTCAATGAAGTTGTTATGGTGTCTTGAGGATCTGAGTGCCATCTTACCTTATTTCAATTTGTTTAACCCCAAAGTTCTCCTGATGGCATGCAGATCTGATCAAACTGGTTGCAGTTTCTTTTTTCTTTTTTTTATATAATAATAATAATAACAATAATAATAATATATTTTTACTGAGGGAAAAGTTAACAACTGAACATTATACAATAGTCAATCACAATGCGAAGGTGCAATTTTTGTAGAATAAAGATCAGAGGAACAAGACTTTATCTGACACTATACCAGGCCCTATAGGACAGCAGGAAAATATGATACCTCAGTCTGTTAAAGGACCACTCTAGACACCCACACCACTTCAGCTTAATGAAGTGGTCTGGGTGCCAGGTCCCTCTAGGATTAACCCATTTTTTTATAAACATAGCAGTTTCAGAGAAACTGCTATGTTTATAAAAGGGTTAATCCATCCTCCAAATCCAAATCAATGAGACAGCCACTAGAGGCGCTTGGGTGATTCTCACTGTGAAAATCACAGTGAGAACACGCAAGCGTCCATAGGAAAGCATTATGAATGCTTTCCTATGAGACCAGCTGAATGCGCTCGCAGCTCTTGCCGCGCGTGCGCATTCAGCCGAATGGGAGGATCGGAGGATCGGAGGAGGAGAGGAGGAGGAGAGCTCCCCGCCCGGCACTGGAAAAAAGGTAAGATTTAACCCCTTTCCTCTCCCCAGAGCCGGGCGGAAGGGGGCACCCTCGGGGCACTATAGTGGTCCTTTAACAATTATTTAACCCCTTAAGGACCAAACTTCTGGAATAAAAGGGAATCATGACTAGTGATGTCCCGAACGGTTCGCCGAATGGTTCGCCACGGACGGGCGAACATATGCGCTGTTCGGTCCGCCCCCTATGTCATCATTGAGTAAACTTTGACCCTGTACCTCACAGTCAGCAGACACATTCCAGCCAATCAGCAGCAGACCCTCCCTCCCAGACCCTCCCACCTCCTGGACAGCATCCATTTTACATTCATTGTGAAGCTGCATTCTTAGTGAGCTGTCCAGGGGGTGGGAAGGTCTGGGAGGGAATAAGAATTATTCAATTAAAATGTAATTTTAAACAGGAACAATGTATCTTATTTACACAGACTGATTTCTAAACACATCTATTGTAGTTTAAAGACACCTTACTGTAGTATTATCGCTGTGGACCTCACACTCAGACACGGAAACAATATGGAGCTTCTAGAAAAGAGGGACAGAGGGATAGAAAAGGACAGAGCAATTTGAGCCCGTAAATAGGGACACTTGGGAGGTATGGAGAAGGAGGCAGGAAAGAAATGAAAAATCGAAGAAGAAAATAGAGACAGAGAATTCTAAATGCCCAGGTCTGGAAGAGCCGTGTTACCAATTTCAAGGAAAAACCTTGCTACCTATCCTTTATTAAAGGGACACTCCAGGCACCCAGACCACTTCTGCCCATTGAAGTGGTCTGGGTGCCAACTCCCACCACCCTTAACCCTGCAAGTGTAATTATTGCAGTTTTTATAAGGGTTAAGTCCTCCTCTAGTGGCTGTTTATAGGAAAGCATTGAATAATGCTTTGATATGGGGAGGTCTAATGCACGCGCGGCCATTGCCGCACATGCTCATTAGGACTCCCCCCCCAGCTGACATCAGCGGGGGAGGAGCGTGGGCAGAGCCAGACCCAGCGCCAAGGGACATTGGCGCTGGATTCAAGTAAGTCACTGAATGGGGTTTTAACCCCTTTAGCAACATAGGATGGGGGTGGGAGGAAGAGGAACACTGCCTGGTCCTGCAGTGCCAGGAAAACGGATATGTTTTCCTGGCACTGGAGATTCCCTTTAAACATACCCTACGATCTCTGCTCTGCAGTGGGAACATTAAACCCCTCTTAATCAAGCAGAATCAGGTCACTCCCTTTCATTAGTATATTAACTTTTGTTTTTGCCTTTCTTTGGATGGTTTCCCTTTTTTTTTATTCTGTTATCCTTCAAAGCCATATTTGTTCTCCTTCTAGAACTGAAGGAGAAAACGTGTTCATAAAAGTAGGTCATGTGTAGTTTGTTCCTCGGTGGCTGATGACAATATATAGAAGCAATTAGCAGCATTGAAATGTAAATAATGATTTCATATCCACCCTAGTGGCTTGAGACTCTGGTCTTCTGCCAGACAGCTTAGTCCTAAAGGTGTAAACTGCATTGCTTAAACAAACACTCCAACATATATATTTTTTATTATTATGATTTATTATGTGTATTCCTCAATATATTAAAACATTAGAATGCTTTACATAAAGAAGTACTGGAGGCAAGCTGCGCGAGCAAAGCAATCGCCACAATCTTCCAATCCAATGCTTCTCATACTTTACATGCTGACGCAGGACATAAAATAGATTCAGAAGTTAAACCTATTTTAACCAGAAGCCCCTAATGGATGTCTGTCTGATAGCCACCAGAGGTGTGCAAACTGCAAAAATAGTACTGTTTATCAGAAAAGCACTGATTTCACCTGCAAGACTCCAGGGGCAGTATCTACCCCCAAAATTACTTCCTTAAGATAAATCCATTCTGGATTAGGCTCTTCCTTAAATTAGAGGAGATAAGTGAGTCAGGTAGCACATATTGACTTGTACACAGAGAGAGCAGATTCAGTAAGAAGAGGAGGGGGCAGGAGTAAAGTCTATAAACCAAGAGAAAAAAAAAAACAACCTAAATCACTGCTGTGTTTGTACAGGCTATCTTACAGGAGGCTTTGGAGAGCCAGGAAGTGGTTACTGATTGGAATCTCTGTGTCTTTCAAAGTATAGCTGAAGAGGATAAGTGCATGAGTGCGCTTCTTTCTGAATACAACTAGGTTATACAAAGCAACGTGTCTCGCAGTCTATTACGAAATCCTCTAGGATCAGAGGCAGAATGGGAGCAGTATTTCTTTTTGTTTCGTTATTTATGAAAGGTCATTAGGTCTTTGCTAATAACACTAGTAGTCTGAAGTGCTGGGTTATATATATATCTGGTTAAATTGTGAATCTGACATTTAACAATTCACACTGAACAACAACAGCACAGTACACAGTGCCATGGAACAGGGGAACAGCCAGCTCACACAGACTCAATTTCAGATCTGTGCTAAAGCCCCCCAGGGATCTTAGGTCAGAGCTGACTGAGCTGGCATAGTTGTCCCCGCTTCCCTTAAGGACACATGATGGAAATATTCCGTCATGATTCCCTTTTATTCCAGAAGTTGTGTCCTTAAGGGGTTAAAGAATATGAAACGTTGCCAATTGTTAAAATTCACTTTTGGGGTGTTTTGGCCACTTGTATATAAGCTCTTCATTGGAAGATCTTCACTTTTCAAACAGATTGTTTGTATCGAAGGCTCAGTTTTCTTTGTGATGTTTTGGTTTTTTTTAAATCACTTCAACTGCTTCCAAAAACCTTGGTGATTTTTAGAAGGAGACATGATAAAAAAACAAAAAAAAACATGATTTTCTTTTTTAAATTATTAGTCACAGTGTATAATTGAAAGCAAAAATAATGAATTCAATAATGAATTTATTATTAGCCATGACACTTTCGGTGATTTAAAACCGTTCCACCCCCTGCCTTAAAATGAGCTGTAAAGGTTAGATCTTCTAAGGCACTCTCAGCAAATCAGTGACTCCCCATTTAATAAACTGGCTTGGAAAGAAACGTACTTTCTCAAGCCAGTTTAGTGAATTGGGAGTCATTGATTTCTCTGGGATCGTCAACTGACTGCTCTCAGCCAATCAGCAGTGCCCCTGCCCGCTTCCTGGGGGGGGTGAACATCAACGCTGGAGCTCCAGTGGCCACCTGGCACTATAACAACTTCATTTGGTTGAAGTTGTTTTGGTGCCAGGAGTGTCCCTTTAAATTATCCAAAGTGAAGAGGGAAGTTATCAGTACAACAGAAATAAAAAAAAATGGTCGATATATTATTTGTTATATCTATTTATTCATAAGTATCCTTTGTGATGAAATTGATAACTTTACGTTGATAGAGGTGATCTGTTTACAGTACAAAAAATCCTGGTCTTCTTAAAATTTTAGGACTACGACTCCTTGCAGGAATTATAGAGCTACCAAAGTCACCCCTCCCCACACACTGCTTTTAAATTTTAGATTGCGATGAAAATCTAGGCCCTGTGAGTTGGGAATACGGAGATTATAAATGACGTAGACTGTGCAGGAACTACCTGGCCAGGCTGAAAACACACTGAACTCACAAGGAGAACAGTGTTGCTAAGCAATGGATTGTGTGTCACTTCCTGCGTGATTCATTCATGTTTGGAAGAACAATGCAAGGATATGAGGTGGAGTTTTAAGTGCACATGACTTGGGAGTCAGGAGTTGCTGGCTGTGATCCTGGCTGCACTTCCAGCAGCAAATCCTGTTAATGCAAGCTTTATTGCTTTACCAATGAAAACTGGGACAGCAATTGTATTTCAAAGCCAGAGCTGCCTGCAGAGCATCGCATCCAAGTCCTAGACTCCTGGTGCAATGCACTGCAGGCATCTTTAATTCCGAACATATCATTTTAGTACCAGACTTTTTATACTTTCAAGGAAAGTGCCAGTTAATTTAGACTACAACCCCCATCATGCACTACCAGCTTCAGGAAACCCTTAATATACAATATGCTGTGACCTTCTCTTATACTAGGCAAGCTTTTAGCAACCGCTGGGAACATCTCGTGTCATGCTCATAAACTGCTGGACACATAGTAGCTGTAGTGCCATATATTTTTGTAGTATCATTTTGGTGTTAATATTGATGTAGAGTGTATGCACAGATCTGGGCTCCCGAAGCATGATGAGAGCCACAGTTTACATCTGATGGAATGAGTGAAGGGTTTATACATTTCTCCTCTTCCACCTACTTGGTGAAAGGGCCTTCAGTTCTAAATGTTTTTGTTTTTTTTTAGCTGGGCTACTGCTAGTCAATATGGCTAGCTAATAAAGATCTCATCACTAAACAACAGTAACTAAAGGGAGTTAAACATTGCTTACGATAAACATTATATACAATAAGGAAGAAAAGGTAATAATTCTACGCCCTGCCCCGAGTAAATCGTTAAAATAGTAAATCGTTAATTTACATTGTAGAGTAAATGTTCTCAACCCTTACATTATGTAAAGTGAAAAAAAAAAGATCTTAAAATACGCCTCCAGACTAATTAAGCCAGACCCCACCCAACCTAGACCCAGGGCTCAATGAGATTGTTATCTCTTAGAATGACAGAAGTCTAAACATCCTCTACTTTCTAGGAGTGGCCATACAGCACATCTGGACTTGCCCTGCCTTACCGACCCCCTTAGGGGTGAAAGGAAGAGAATAGCCTATGTAGCCAAAGGGTACACATCCCCTGGGTAGAGCAAACGGACAAAACAATATCAATCTCCAACTTAAAAAAAAATTACAGCAGGGGTGCACGAAAGGTAGATCCCCAGATGCTGTAGAACTACAACCCCCATGATGCTTTGCATGACTTTAGAATGACAATGCATCATGGAAGCTGTAGTTTTAAAACATCTGGTGATCTACCTTTTTGGCACCCATGAACTACAGTATTAAATCGTTCTGATCTTTGCCTTGACACAGAGGTCATAATTCCTCTTCTGACATCACTCAAGGGTGGAAAAAACTGTACAATGTATGACATAGTAGAATTTTGTAGCCTGCCCAAAATCAATAGTTTATTGTTATGTATATAAAAATAATACCGTCAAAGCATATAGGAATTTACTTAAAAATTTTGACTCAGAAATATCACTCTTTTTATGGTAATACTGTAAAGGTAACCATATTAAAAAGTACTGCAATGTCATAATGATATAGTGTTCTGTAGTGGTTATGGTACTTGAAATATTCTAACACTTATCACCAGTTGGAAAAACAACAAAAGCAGACCAAATTCCACTTTAAACATCCAGTGTTCCATTCACAAATTATAAATTCAGCTACACTTTATTCAAACTGTGAAAACTTTATTCAGATGAGACTAGCCAAGCCACATATTTCATTTCACCAAAATGAATCTCTAATGGTTTCCGAGACCATGTATAAATTAACGGTTGCTGTAAAAAGTGAACCTTCTGCCAAAAAATAATCCAAGAGATCTTTTATCCTATCCCTGTTAAATTTCAAGTTCTTGTTGAAGATATTTCAGAACCTAACCAGTGGCAAACTATTCTATAGGGATCCAGATAGCTGTCAACAGAATCTATATATTGGAGGCAAACTTGGCTCAGTTTGAAAAGGCAGAGAAATTAAATTCTGCAGAAAGGATTTCACATATTGAAACGGACAAAAAAAAAAGGGGATCAAACTTCTACTGTTCTTCTATGTTCCCACGGTATGCTTTTATCCAATAGTCCCATTTAATGAATGCAGGGTGTATGCACCCAGGGCCTTATGGGATTTGTAGTCCATCAACATATGACAACAATATCCATTGTCTTTCAGTTGGGTCACATTCTCACAACTCCTTTGTTATACCTGATTTTAGCAACTAAAAACACATAAATGTATTTCCTGTAAGTCACACTTTCTTGAATAAGCATTACCTTTTGGTTTTATTATCCACCAGTGTTATTCACTAAACTAGAATTATAGAGCAGTAAATCAGTATAACAAAATGTATGCTGAAATAGCCATCTATAGCAGGGTTATTTACTAAAGCAAGAAACTAAAGCAAGAATTAAAAGCTTAAGGTCAGATTCACCAAACTGAAAGTATAGTTAAAGGGACACTATAGTCACCAGAACAACTACAGCTTAATGTAGTTGTTCTAGTAAGTATAATCATTATATGCAGGCATTTTCATGCAAACACTGCCTTTTCAGAGACACTTCCAAGTGGCCACTGGAGGTGCTTCCTGACTCAGTGCTGCACTGTAGGCAGCTCTGCCGTACAGTGTCCCCAAGCTCTGCACGGAGACTTTGAATTTTCCTCATAGAGATACATTAATTCAATGCATCTCTACGAGGAGGCGCTGATTGGCCAAAACTGTGTTTGGCCCGCCCCCTTGATGATTTTAGCCAATCCAATGCTTTCTCCATGGGAAGTGGTCTGGGTACCTATAGTGTTCCTTTAAATTTTTCAGTTTGAATTCTCACCTTAGTAAATAACTCCGTAATAGGTCTATTTCTTTTTTTTTTTTTTTATGCATTAAAAGAAGAGCGAACATTTACCATACTGTATAGTATATTTTCCACGATCATCTCCTATAGCAAACATACATTGATTTTGACAGCTGATAAAAGCCTATTAGCTCCGCACTGATAGCAGTCTCTCCTTAACCTTCTTGACATTTTCCATTCTATTAGGCTCTGCCACCTCTACTGGAGATCTATTCTACATAACCACAATTCTCTGTAATACAAGAATTTCCCTGATTTAAAGAAATCATAGTGTCAGTAACACAAACATGTATTCCAGACACTATATATAGGTGCCGGTTTCTTTGCGTTAAAAGGTGATTTTACCACCCCAGGAAGCGAGGGGACTGACACTCTACTCTCTAAGCCTAACCCTTCACAACAAAGCTATTGTATATAGTTAACACCGCTTGCCACTTATACCAAAAGTTCAGACGAAGACACCCACAGAAAACTTGATGTATATAATATGCCTAAACTGACAACTGTCAATTGCATTCACTACGCTAATGTATGACACTGCGCTGTCATGTACGAAAATGTAACTGCTTTCATGTTTATCAACTACTTCGTCAAACCAAAAATAAAGAATTTTTAAAAAAAAGGTGATTTTACTCATCTTTTCTGCCACGCTGCACCAGTCTCGCCACGATTTGCTCTGCTTCCGTGGCTGAGATCATTGAATTTTCTAATAGGAAAGCATTGGGAGGTTATTGCGCATGCGCAGCAAAACGCTCTTGTGCGCCAATCAGTATTTCCTTATAGAGATGCATTAGGTATCACTAGGCAGTAATGTAAACACTGCCATTTTTCTGAAAAGTCAGTGTTTACATTAAATTTCCAGAAGATACAGGCTGCAGACACAGGAAAAACTACAGTTGTTCCGGTGACTATAGTGTCCCTTTAATGTCTACATTTTTATTCCTCTCACTAGTCCTGCCCTCTTGTTTAAAGGTATGGTATAGTCACCAGAACAACTACAACTTAATGTAATTGTTCTGTTATCTATAGCATGTCCCTGCAGGCTTTTTAATGTAAAAAGCAGAGAAAAAGCAGTGTTTTGCCACGCCTGCGCAATAGCTTCCTAATGCTTTTCTATGGGAAAGCATTGGATTGTCTGAGATGGTCAAACTTGACAGTGACCGCTTCACTGTTTTTTTTTTCTCACTTAATTAAGGATGTATTAAAGACACACTCCAGGAAGGTAGTCAGTCCCATTAATTTAATGCAGTATACAGATAGTGAATTAAAGTGGCCACACAAATATACATTTTATTTTTTTTAAATACTTTTAAAATTCCTACATTTGCTGGATTTTCAACCTCAGCAGTAAGTTTTGCCCAGACCAGGAAACAAAGGTTATTATGGGATATATATTTTCAGAACTTGCTAACATTCCTATTCATCACACAGTATGAATAATGTTGATGGCTCAGCTGATAGCAGTGGCTGCTATCAGCTTACTGACTACTCCACATATACTGTATGCGACATCTGAAGAATGGACTATTTCATGGATCATTGCAAGGTACAAGTGACTTGAAAGGCATGTATAGTACAAAAACAAGGACAGAGAGCCTGCTTGCACTATAACCTGCAACCCATAACCTGTAATGAGCAGCATTTATGATGGTGCTTGGAGTGTCCCTTTAATTAATACGAAACTTTTTGTTCACTGTTTTTAACTTTGTAAAACTTTCCTATCTCTTATGAGAGTATTATTCGTTCATTTTGGGGGTCCTGGTACTTATACCAGCTTCACCTTTCATCGCTAGCATCATGCTTGAATGGCACCAGAGTGTGTAAACACCTAAACTAAGCCGCAAAGATGGGTTTTGCAAGGATTACCTAGATTTAAACCGTCAACTGTATGAGGAAGTCAAACAAGTGAACCAGAATTTCAGGTGCAACCTGCTCTGAGATTTCATAAATACATAGCAAAAAAAGAAGATTAGATCTAATGATGAGACCTTTTCTTTTTTTCTTTTGTACATATGAAAAAGCAGCAAATAAATTTAAACTAATGACAATAACACGGTAATATAAAAATAAAATCTAAATCCACACAGCAAGCCAAAAATACTGGATGGACTAAGTGTAGGTCTCCAATATTATTGAACATACCTTCCAAGTGTCTCTGTTATAGAGGGACAGTCCTGCTTTGAATCCAAATCTCTCTGTCACTCTTACTTAACCTGGTTTCTAGAAACCCATACAGTGTGAACTGTTGGAAATGCAAGTGAATTCACATTGAGTTCTAAATTTAAAATTTTTCAAATTCAGCTATTTTAGCCTAAAATTTTAAATTCACTTTCCATTTGCAGCTTGTGAATAACTTGGTTTAAACTTGGTGTATACAGTATCTAAAAGAATCAACTAACATGCAGAGTAATGTTTTTTTTAACTACAATTAATGTGGGTCTTGTAAATAAAATAAGAAAAAGATATATATGCATACATACATAAGTATTTTTTTTTTAATTAATATTTTTTTATTAAAATGGGGGTTGGCAACATGAACAATAGCGCTGGGGGTTCTGTTTTAGCCCTTTCTCTAACAGAGACGGTTCTCTTTTTCCTCCCCAGGCTGTTCTGATCTCTAACTTGTATCTCCAGTTTTTAAAGTTACCCTTAGGCTTTTAGTGATCTCTCCTACCTGTCTATCAGCAGCAGATCTTGATGAGATTGCTGATTTAAACTCTCCTGCCTCCTCCACCCACACACATTGCCAATCTTTTGCTAATTTTACTTTTCCCACAGTAATTTTTTAATCTTTCAGTTGTGAGCTCACTGGTTAAGAAATAGCTCTCTGTACATTAATAATTTATGAAACATATTTCCTCTTCAAAACTATGTATAATGTATGTAAAACTGTACAAGGGAGGGGTGGGGGGGTTTCTACTAGTTATAGATTACCGGTGTCTTTTAGTTAACTAGTATATTAAATTCACAACCGAGGTTGCCTGTAGACCAGTGACGGTCAAGCAGCTGAAATGCTGACAACGCATCATGGGAGATTAAAGAAACAGTCCAAGTACCATAACCACTATATAAAACTGTAGCAGTTATGATGCTAAGAGTGCACTGGCGTCACCCCATTGTAAATTGCCTAACCATTTTGTAACAGCTAAACTTCATAAATGGGGTCTGCAAGGCACCGCTCCCCACCTCCATTACTAACCGCAGAAGCCAGAAGTCCCTAAGCAAGTTTATCACTCTCAGCCAACAAGCTAAGCCTTGAGCTTTAGAGCTTAGCTCAGAAGAGCTAGCGGAAGCTCCTGCTTAGAATGTTCCTGCTATCCAACATTAGTAGTGGACCTCAGGTAAGACGTTAAACTGTTAAAAAAAAGTTTTGCTACTTAAACTGGGGAAACGCCAGAGCCATTATGACAACATAACCATTATGGTACTTAGAGTGTTACTTTAATTTCTGGTAAGGATGTGCTTTTTGGCTAACACTTGCTTGCTTGAACACGGCACTCATCACATATTTTTATATATATAAATGGTTTTGTCTAACTTGTATGTCTTGGTTAGGAACAATAGAGATTACTATGACACTTTATATATATATATATATATAATCATAACACTATTTAAATCCATAACGAGTGGATAATAAACATTACTAAGGGTTTTTAGTCACTCAGTTGTGAATCATGGTGACCTGACACATGAGTTTAAGCTAATTCTGTCCAATTGATAAATACCGGAGTCAAAGAATGTTTGCAACGCAGGTATGTTGGCCTACAATTTAGATTTTAATTAACTTCAATTCACTGGTTAGTGAATAGAACTCGTACTAAAAAAGGCCTCAATATAATAAGCTTTCCAATGATTCAATACTTTTTTAAAAAATGTTTCAAATGTTTTATCAACACAAGTCACCATTAAGGTCTCTAGATGATTTTGTAGATAAATAATTTGGAAGGCATTCCAAGTATTGAACCATTCGGAAAGCATATTAAATCGATGCATTTAAAAGCTGGTGGCCATGTGTTGCGTTTTTTGACTGCATATAAATGTTTTATTTATATAAAGCAATTGTCTTATCTTGACCTGCTAGATAAAACTAACAAGAGCTTATCTTATTGCCTTCTGGCAAACAATAGAGCCTGGATCTTAATCCTCCATTTCAATACAGATGTTTTTTGGGGAAAGTACCTAATAATCAAGCCCTAAGCTAAATTAAAGCAGGACGTACAGTGAGGTTTAAGAGAAGTGGCCAGTTGGATGATCTAAAAGCAATGTTATCAGTAGCACACAAGTACCAAGAAATGACTCACATAGCTACCCTGTCAGCGCATGTACTGAGTTGCAAAACAGGGTCATACACAGATTGTGGGTGCAATCCTAATCCAGTCCCTATGATGACTTGGTTCAGGGCTCTACGCAGGTGGGACCCTATCTGGGCCACTGTAAAGTTTCCAGGCACTGCATAAGAATGTGTTATTGTACTCTGAAAATAATTAAAATGACGTTCTGACATATGTATGCATTATAAACCCATTTTTCAATTCACAGTTCCTTTAAATGGAAAAGAAAAAACAGTTGAATCATAACACAAGTAGATAAAACTGTACAGGGAATGTATGTTTCAAACATCTAAAAATACAATAATGCAGTAATGTTTACATCTCTCCTAAATTACTGATACTAACCTTAACACTCCATATATTTTTAAACTATATATATATATAGTTTCACTGGCTTTACAGCGGCTCTCTCACCAGCTACAGTCTTTGTACACCCTGCTCTGCTGGGTGTTTTAATATACAATGCCCTTTTGGTCTCACTAGTGACCACTGGGGGAAATGCTAAGCTGGACGGAAGTAGCACTTTTCAGATTCGCCTTTTGTTAAGTGTACTAGTTCCTATTTTGTCTTGGTATTTCTTTTGACAGCGTTGGAATTCCAGTGAAATTCCAACATCCAGTCGATATATATTTCATAAAGATTGTATCTTTATGAAATAATGAAATAATCATTTAGGAGAAAGGGTAACAGAGCCACTCTAAACAGATGTATGTTACATTGCTAAAAGACAATGTTGCCAAACTCTCTTCCAGAAAATAAACTATTCTAGTAATGCCTGCATCACTGCCAAAATAGCTCACTTTATACGAATCAGCATAGAGAGACTGTTTCTGTACATTGGGTAATGTAGATCCTAATATTATGCCTAAGGCAGTACAATGTAAACTGGTTAAATGATTTCAAAGCAAAATATTCATTTCATCTGACAGCACACAATGCATTGTTAGCACCAAGTAAAAATCTAAATAATAATACAAGTGTAACAGTGTAACTTTTAAAGTGAACTTCAATGCACCAAAGGTTCAAGAACGCATCTAACAAAAAGAGAACATTTAGTAAAAAATGTGTAGATTTTATATATATGTAGAAAACCTGCACATGCAGCGATCTCACTGCTAGCGGTGAATGTGTTAACCAGGCCAATCCCAATCATGATATTTGTCTAGGGTTTAAGATGCACTTTGTATTTATTTAACAGAAACACCTCAAAGAATAGCTTTTTTTTTTCACCACAGAGATTGGTCTATTTTATGCAGATGGTGTATATATATATATGTGTTGAGCTTCTGTGTGGCCCCTGCTATTGAAAGGGTAGGGTGTTCACACACAATACTCAACCAAAGTGTCATAGTACACAAATTGTTGTGTATATATGTTTAGCCCTGTGAACTGCCAGCAATAAACAGGAAAGGAGGGATAGTTAAATCTCCCCAATCATTCAGCAGACTAGACTGTGTTTACTTGTGTGTAGCCCTGTTTTATTCAGGTTGCTTTGTTTTAACAGATTTACAACAAACAACAGCTTGCAATGCATTTTTACTTGCCCAATTAATTTAATGCATGCATGAGTTGCTTAGAGCATTTTTTACTTTTTTTATTTACGAATGTGTCTTACTAGGAATACAACAGTGAGATTTCTCATATATATCACAATTAAACACAAGCACTTTTATACTGGTATAATAGATTATGCCTGATTGTAGCAAGAGATCTGGTAAAGGTGTACGTGAGCAAATAAAATCGGTATTGGCAAATTAAGGCTAAAATTGCTGATTTGAAAAAATTCTGCAACTCAAAAAAGGCACAGCCTGTCTACTTTAGCTGAAATTTTGCGATTCAGGTTTATTTCTCTAAAATTTGGTGATCAATAAATATTCTTGCTTGTGTTTGAGGGGGTAATGGCAGATTTTATTCCCTAGATGTTACATTGGTGGAGATTTTATGTTTTTCGTTTCATGTTAGCGGCGCTCTGCATGAGAAATCAGCTAGACCCACTTACAGTAACAGGTAACAGTAAGTAAAGTAACAGAACTAGCCGGGAGGCTGCAGGAGCCGTAGGGAGTTAAGGTAAACATGCTGCTCAGGTAATACAGGAACTTTCCAGAAATTAGGTTATGAACCAGGTGGAGAAAGGTGTGAGGCACATCTAGATTCAGTCAGTTTAGTTATTTAGCATACTCTAAAGATAGGCTTTGTAGTCTCATCAAAGTACAGAGCAGCTTGCAAAAAGTTTGACATACTGACACTACAAAGAAATAAAGCTTATACACTATAGGCACAATAACAACCTTAGCTTAATTAAGCAGTTCCAGTTTCTAGATCATGCCTCTGCAGTCTCATTGCTCAATTCACTGCAATTCACAAGTTAAATCGCATTGAAAATGAAACCATTTGCTGTGTCAATCAGATATTAACTTGCTTTAGAATGTACTGCACCATACATTGAACTTTAATCACACACAGGCGACTCCTGTAGGGTCAAGAAAGCTATTACTGGAGGACGAGATAAATTCTAAATTAAACAGATGGTGCAAAAAAGGAAGTTTAAACATTAAATATTTCTTTATAGGAAGTGTTTAGGATGGCTGTGCAAGTCGCATGCAGGTAGGTGTGACTAGAGCTGCTTAAAGAAAGTGATTTAACTCCTAAATGTCATAAAAATGTGTGAGAGCATGAAAAATAGGTAAATTATCTTTACAGATATTCTAGGATACCTGTCCATCTTGTGAGCGAGTCAGCTGGTTAAGCCAGCACTACAATGGGGGTTAGTTATCTCTACTAAGGAATACAGAATGTTCAAAATCACAACATATCTAATCAGGTTCAAATTCAAAATAACAAATCCTACTGCAAAATTAAATGAATCGAAACCAAGTAAAGCAAGCTTAGAAACAGAAACCGGTTTATCAACTTATGAGAATGGCAAACAAACTTAGTAGGGTATCACAATAACTGAGATAAAGGATTATAGCCAGGGTTTAAAGAGGAAAGAGAGATGTTTGTCATTATTTACAAAAGGGTTAAGAGCCCAACCGAGAGGACATTGTTTCCTACACATTTTGAGTAATGCTTTTTAAGACAGAGATACACAGTTCTGTAAAGCTCCAAAATGCATTTGGATTATAATAAAGTGTGATGAATACCATATTATAAGATCTTATCATTAAGGGTTTGTGTTTAGCACAATTCAACCTTTAAGTGGTGATTTTCAACATATCACCTAGAATCTTAGAGCATACTCAATAAAACAGTGATAATTGGTGTACACGTATTGGGGACTGCACACGCCAATAAGGGAGCAATACCAATGGGATAATCCAGTAGGGAAAGACAAACTCCAAACATACACTGGAAAATAGCACACACAAAAAGCCCAGAGGGTTTCCTCAGAAAGGGAGACTTTATTGAGGAACAATGTATCATCTGCCTTTCTGAGGAAAACTGTGGGTGTGTTTTTTTTTTGCTTGTAGCGAATCATAATTGCCAACTGACTAGTACTGGATTAAGCACACAGCTTTTACAGTGCCAACACTAGCCATCTCTAAAAAGAATCTAGGCTGACCTTGGAAGGACATGCCAAAGTAGCTTGGTGAGTTCCCACGTCACCAAGAAGCCAAGGGGAAAGTCTATACCATTGGTTGGCAACCTTCAGCACTCAAGATGGTTTGGACTACATTTCCACCACATCTGGAGTGCCATAGGCTGCCTATCCCTGGTCTATACTGTGATGACAAAGTGGACAGTGAATTTGCCAAGACTTGTCTACCACGTTGGCATCTAGATTACCCAAGCTATCCTGCTGTGGCTGCTTAAGTCTCATAGTTTATTGAAGAGTCCTTTAACTCTTTGGTTTTCAATACAGTTGCGCTATTATCCCTAGACATGTGTGATGCATTTTGTGCTCATGTGTGATCACATGCACTACTAAGAAGAATACATCATAATAGTACACAAACATGATATAAATACACACACCATACATAAAAACATACTTTCTAAATGAGCTGGCTTATTTATATTCATATTAACCCTTATGAAGATCAACACAAACATTCTATGTAGTGACTCAGCATGTTTGTTGATTAACTGGTTCTAAATTAAAGTCCTTATAGAAACTATTACTTAACAAGTACCACACTGAATCATCTCTGCTAAGGCTGGGCTATTAATACTGCTGCTACAGACTAGCACATCGGTTGCCCATATAAATTGGCCCATATAAATGCAGCTATTGCTACTGACTATGCACCTGATATCCATTTGGTTTATGTATACACAAAACTGACACAAAATTACATATTTTCAATTTAAATATATATTTTTTCAATTTCTCCTGATACCTCTGTTTTTAAAGTTAAGAAAACTGCCAGGTTTTTATTGCAGTTAGAACTCCAGGAATTAAAGTGCCAGCTTTATGGGTCAGTAACTCATAGATTTATTAATAAGTCCGTTGACAAATACTTTATTTTTAAAAACTAAATATTTTTTAAAGGTAAAAAGGCTTAAAAACATTACTTTCTGGAGAAGAATACTGTGCTTGCTACCGATGGCTGAGAATCTTAGGAGTTATTCAATATAAGTAGAGTAGCTTCCATTTTTCGATCAATGTGATGAATGAATAATCTTGTGAAACATGTGTCAATAAAATTAATTTTAGAGAAAACCCACAAGTTAATATGTTGGGTATTCACTAAAAATACCCCAGCCCATTTCAGGGACTTGAGTATTAAATATATCATGTGCTCTGGAGCTGGGAACCAGGTGAGTCCAATGAAAACGGCGATGACATCTTTTGCCAGCAGTTTGACTTGACGGTAACTTGGCACCGAGATAGCGCAGTGGCTTTAGTTAAGATCCTGACCTAAGTCTCCTTGAAAATCAATGATCTAACCCTGGCAACTTGAAAGCTGCTTGTATAAAACTGAACACAAAGGACTTCCTTAACTCTGTGTTTTAAGTGTTCAAATCCATTTTTAAATGATTAGATGGTATAAAAAAACTCGTACCATATCAAATAGCCAATGGTGTTTCCCAGGAATGCAGTAACAAAGAAGAATGCGAGTTTCATTCTACAAGAATGTCACATAGTAAAAAAAAAAAAAAAAATATTCACTGAATGAAATGCAAACGGAGAACAACACTGTCAAAAACGATCAATCTAATTCATTAATGTTTAGCCTGATTTTAAAGAATAGGGAAAGGCAACGCATGTATGTCAAATCAGGAAAACTGTTGCAATCCTACTACAAGCAATACATGCTTTATAATCGCATATCTGACAACAGTGTGTAAAGCCGTCTGGCCAGTGTATTCACAATATACTGGCACTCTGTGTAGTGTTTTCTTATCTACAGTGCTTGGAGTTGCTCTAAAAGTACACACTGCTCTCAGGAATCAACAATCACAGCTACACACTTTCCTCTTTTTAGCAAGACATTTTAGATACACATTCACATGCATGCAAACCCATTGATCACCTCTGTTTAACAGAAATAGCAGCAGATTCCTTACAAACACCTGTGAGCAGGGTAGTCGGGCATTTGTATACTTTTTAAACTACAAATCTAGTGAAAGTTCTAAAAATTGAATGTTTGGTTCTGTGCAAACTTTTAGCACTCCTTCTGTATGATTGAAAGACAAGAGATACTGTATACGCTAGTACTTCACATTCCCAGAATACTTCTGAAATGAATGAGGGAAAAAAAGTGAAAATGTGATATTCTGCAAAGATTTTTTTTTTTTGCCTTCATTTCATTTGCTTCAAATACATTCTACACATAACTTTTATTTTTACCTTTGCTTCCTGTTTTTTTTGGTTTTTTTTTATTGTAAAATGTTCTGTCCTGACAGGGTTAATAAGTGTTACAGTGTCACTCACTTGTCAGAAATTAAGTGAATAAAAACTTTTAGATCATAGCAGCCGAACTAAAATCACAGCTTTTCCAAATTCAGCTATCATAACCTGAAAGTTGAAATTCACTTTTAATCCATACTTTAGTAGAGCCTAAATTATTACTGATCTAATTATGGTGTGTGGCACTCATTTGTGAGACTACCATGAGATATGGTAGATTTATTATAGTATAACTACAGCTCTCTCAACCCCCCAATACACGCACACTGTATTATTATTATCTTATTATTTATATAGTGCCAGCAAATTCCGAAGCGCTGTACAATGGGATTACATTGCATGCTCAGTTACATGTTACTAAGCACAGCCTATGCAACTAAACTTTAAAGTTAATCAAAATCCGTTACAGAGCTATTCACTAAAGAGAGAATTCAAAGTGAGTTGTAATTTTTTAGATCAGAAAATCTGAACTTGAAGCATTACAGCTTTGAGAAATTTTTCCAATTCAGTTATGTGACCTTACAAGTGAAATTTACTCAGAATTCCTGAAATTTTTTACTCTAGTTAATAACCCTAACAATCTTTATTTATACCAGTCAACTATATTAGATAATGCATTACTGTACAAAACCAAAATAACAGAGCAACAATAAAGTATCAAACTAGATTGCAATAATAAAAAAAAAGGAATGTGTTTATTTTACTGTAAACTTGTGTTCACTAAATGATGAATAGGGGGTGAACTGAATCCTTAATTCGAAAACTTCAGGTCAAAATAACAAATCTACAAAAAATCATACACATATTGAGAACATTGAATTTTAAATTCACTGCATTTAAGTTGAATGGTTATTTATTAAACTATGTATGTAGTAAATTAAAATCAGCTATGTTTGTGTTCATTTTGCCATTGAGATTTTAAATCTGCTTCTACTTGGAGTTTAATGAATAACTTTGTGAGCGAATTATAAATATATATTTTTCATTAAAAACTATCTATTTTCTGCAACGGTCCAGTCTACCCCCAAACTAAATTGGCACACCTCCCGACAACACCCCCCTCCATATATTCAATCTGAGCAATTTAATTTTACAACAATTCCCACATAATAATTTGGGGGAGGAGGGGATGGAGATCAAAACAATAATTATACATTTAAATGTTTTGTTGGGGAATACATGTAACCATTCCTGAGTCAGGCTAGTGCTGGGTACTCACAGGGTTAAAAAAAAAGTCTAGAGGCCATTGTAAGGCTATTTCTGCCTGCATCAGGTTAAATCATTACAGATTTGTTTACTGCCAAACACAGTGAAAAGAAAGAGAGGAAAAAGGCTTTTCCTGCTGTATTTGCACACTGGTACTACAAAATAAATAAAGGCAGAGTGCACAGCCTGTTTGGTAGATCTGCACAGGACAGCTGAACAAAGAGAGCAAACTTTGAAAGGCTACACTGTTCCCTCCTTATCTGCCCCTCTCCCTCCTTTTTTATTCTCCCTCCCCTCCTTCTGCCTTTCCATCCCAGCTCCCATTTCACACAAGCTGTTCAGCAACAGTTAGGCAATATGGCATCTCTATGAAATCCAGATACCAGCTTCCCTGCCCACAGCAAAACAAGGGCACCCTGTCTCCCCTAGCCTTAGGGCAATATATAAATATTATATATAATACACACACACACACACACACACATTAACACAACACTGACATACATACACACACACATATACATTCACATTAACACAACAATAACAAACAAACATATATACATACATTCAGATTAACACAACACACACACATTTCCATACAAAATAAAAAAACACTTAAAAAAAAAAAAAAGGATGTAATATCTAAGCTATTGCTGTGACAATACATCATAGCATAGAATGCATGTTCATCACAAACTAATTCAGGAAAACTAATTTCCTTATTGTTTTTTTTTATTTTTTTTTATTGTTTTACATAATACACCAGCTAATCTGCTGGAGGAGGGGATAAATCTAATATTTATTTATTAATTTGTTATGTAAATATTATTTACGTGCGACCACCCCTCCCCCCTCACACACACCCGATTTAAAAATGGAACGTTCAAAAAGAAATAGTTCGAATATGTGAGTGGACTGAAAAAAACATGGCGGCTTACAGTAGAACTTAGAGGGCAAGTAAATCTAAACTTGTAACAAATTCAAGATTGATTGTAAACTCCATGATTTTCCCCCGCGCCGGTTAAATTGTGCTGAGCTCAGCAGTAAGGTGGAAAAACAAAGAAATCAGAGCTCTAAAGCAGCCCAGAGCAGAGCTTTTTTTTTTTTCTGGGTGTGAAAATAAATCGGTAAAATAAGATTATTATTTTTTTAAACTATATAACTAAACACAATAAATAGAATTGTTTATCAAGAAACAAACAGCAACAAAATAATATATATATTTATATATCAAAAAAAGTTTTACTTACAGAGAAGAGAACTCCTCTCACAACGAAAAATAGGGTCACAGACACAGGAGGTCTTTAATAGTTTGATCTTCAAAGATTTTGCTTGTACCCCAAGGGTGAACACTAACTTGATCTCAGGATCTGGGAGAAAAAACAAAGCACAGGAGAATATATGATCCATTATCCACCTCTAAGTAGGAGTAAAGAGAAACACAGATCACGAAGTTCTACCAAAAAGGAGAGAAATGTTATAAAAAGTAAAAAAAGCCCCTTCAGGGATCTTGGAGAGGACTGAGAGAAAACCCAGTAGTTATCCTCTTCTCCAGCGCAATCCAAGCTCAAAGTGATCAGGAACAGAGAAAGGAACCCAAAAAATGCCAAACATGCCAGAAACGACAAGGATTTCAAGCTCCCAGATCCTGTGATAGACAGACAGGGAGAGAGAGTGAAAAAAGCACATATCTGAAGTTTTTCTGTGCTTACCTTGCCAGTAGTCCAAATGTGCAGAGTTTTAACATTGTAACATACAGGGTAATTCTATTGGGGTATTCTAAGAACCCAGCAGCCTAGACAAGAATGGGGGGTGAGAAGGGAGGGGGGCAAGGGGGGGGTTATAGAATATGCAGCTCTGGTCAGCACTTTGTAAGGGAAAGACTTGTATTTTTTTTCTTTTCTTTCTTTTTTTTGGGGCAGCACTGAGAGGGATTGTCTCTGCCCCCTCCTCCTGTGTGTGATATGAAGGTCAGGTGAGGATGAGGAGGACTCTCTGGCTAGCCCTGCTGCTGTTGTTGGTGGTGGTGCTGGTGGTGGTAGTTGGGAAGCTGGCTTGGTATTTTGGAAAGGTGACAGCTTTTCAGAGGAATCTCTGGAATGAAAGAGGAATGAAATTAGCTCAGTGAGTCAGTTGCAGTTCAGGGGAGGAGCATGAAAGAAGGAGTGGAGCTCAAATGAGTCCAGAGCTCCTCCTCATGTCTGCCCTTCCATGGCTGCCTTGCCACCGATCATTGTGTAACAAGTTGTAAAACCAGCACGGAGAAGAAGGTCTCTGAAAACGGTGGGAAAGTTGCAGAAGACAAATAACCTCAGTGGATCATATAACTCCTATGGATTTACAGGAATGGGTGCTGTAATCAGCACAACTCAACACAGCTAGAGCGATTTAAGGGAAAAGATCTCAGCTTCTGCAGAAGCTCTTGGTAAAAAAAAAAAAAAGAGCTGACACTTTTTATTGGTGGTAGTGGAGTGGGTTTAAAGGCATGTAGAAAACCAGTAGATAGCCTCTGTTCAAGGAGGCCATCTTGACTGTGACTCATTAATGAACTCTTATTGAGGATGAAATCATTACACTCTCAGTCCTGTAAATTGATGTGGCACCAGGTATGAGGTATTTACATTAAGCTTGTGTAGTTATTTTTTTTTTTTTTTAAATAGTCTAAAAAAAAAAGTGATGTACAATTGATGGCAATATATTGGCAGGTTAGAGCGGTGGTAACGTCACGGAACCGGGAAACTCACTTTCAAATCTGTCAGACCACTTAAACAATGTGTCACCAAGTGTCATTGGGCAAGACTATATATATATATAAATATCTGGTAAAATGTAACAATAAACAAAGTGCACATAAAAATACAAGTTTTGCCGAGTTGACTGAATTACCTCCGTAAATTCCAAATAAAACGCAAGCACCACAAGAATGTGTCTCTGGCACAAGCAGATTTTCAAAATACGTAGTGACAAAATGTCACTTATCTTTATGAAATATGGTGTATTCAATGTATATGGGAGCAATTTCAGGTACGTTTACACAACAGGTTCACTTTAATGACCAGGGTTCTTACATCAGCATCTCTCAGGGTCATTATCGTGAAAAGAAGGAGGGATGGCCATCCAAGGATTTAAAGCGGCACAGTCACTTCTGAGTATTTCCCAAATATGTAATCTTTGTGAATTAAAAATTAAAAGATATCATAAGACAATTTAGAGACTATTTTATGGTCAAGTCCAAAGTTGCCAAAACTTGACAAAATGCAGAACTTCCAAGGTTAGCGTTTGTCCATTTCTACAGCCATCACTAATGTCATCAGTAGGGAAATGGCTTTTCTCTTGCTTTGCTGGATACTTTATTGAATTCTATTTTGTACTGTCCTAAATGTGTCAGAATACAAGTGACGCTGCCCCCGGTGGACAAAGCGCGAGGAAAAAAGATGGCGCCCGCAAGACCTTCAAGTAATTACATCTGTGTTTATCTTCTCTCCTTGGCAACCATACACCAAGAGGTGTATTTCACTTTTAAAAGTCTTTACGAAACATGCACAGACCTCTGAATGTGGCAGAGCTACTATAAACATTGGGCAGAAATTGCATTTCTGATTAAAAATTCTAAAAGTGGAGTAAAAAAAACCCAATAACTTGTGTTTTCCATGGAACTTTCTCTACTTTTTGAGCATAGGATCATAAAGGCTCTTTGCAAATGACACCAACAAAGACTGAATATTAACCCCTTAAGGACCAAACTTCTGGACTAAAAGGGAATCATGACATGTCACACATGTCATGTGTCCTTAAGGGGTTAAAGGGAAACTATAGTCAGCAGAACAACTACAGCTTAATGTAGTTGTTCTGGTGAGTTTAACCCCTTAAGGACACATGACGGAAATATTCCGTCATGATTCCCCTTTATTCCAGAAGTTGTGTCCTTAAGGGGATAATAGTTCCCTTCAGGCTTTTTTCATGCAAAAGGCAGTGTTTACATTGCCCCTAGGGACACCTCTAAATGGCCACTGGAGGAGCTTCCTGGCCCAGGGCTGCAGAGTAGGCAGCCCTGCTGTTCAGCGTCCCCACGCTCTGCATGGAGACGCTGTATTTTCCTCATAGAGATGTATTGGTTCAATGCATCTCTATGAGGCGGTCCTGATTGGCCAAAACAGCATTTGGCCCTGCCCCCGTGCCAATTTTAGCCTATCCAATGCTTTCCCTATGGGAATGCATTGGATTGGCTAAAAATCGGCCATTTTGATGATGTCAGAAAGGGGGTGGAGCCAGCGCCGGCGGAACCCACGTGGCGCTGGAAATAAGGTGAGTTTTAAACTTTTATGGGTGGACTGAGAGGGGGCAAGCCACCTAAATGGTGGGTTTAGCATTATAGGGTCAGGAATATATGTTTGTGTTCCTGACCCTATAGTGATCCTTTAATTTAGTTTTTCCATAATAATACATATTTTAACAGTTTTTTTATACAAAATTCACAAAAAATGCAAAAAATAATCAAGTATATGGATATTATTTTGGCCTTTTCTGGGGCTGAAGAAAAGAAGATTTAGAAGACTACTGATGGTAAGTATACTTTTTTTATTGTACAGGATTAGTTTAATGGACCACCTCACTATTCTTAGGGTGAGGGGGTAGGTAGGGTTAATGTAAAGGGGTTGGCTTGGGGCTTGGAAACCCCTAACCACCCAGGGGGGTGAGCAATGGCATGTCCACCCTCTCCCTGAATTTATAATTTATCACACACCACCCACGGGTCGGGAACATTAGTTTTCCCCATGCTAAATAAGTAGCAGACTAAAGATGGGCTGGGGGGGGGGGTATTGGGATATCCCACCCATTTTTTAATAGCCCCCACCCACTAGTCACATGTGTGGGCAGGGAATAGACAGTGATCTATAGGTAGTGATCTGTCCACCCCTCGTGTTTTAATGTAAAGACCTCCACCCAAGTTGCCCACAGCAGGGGACTATGTCCCCCCTCCCCTGATGTCTTTACAGGCCTGTCTAGTGACTATGCAGCAATAGCTGCTTATTTACTAGTTTAAACTATTTATCAGATATGGCATGTAGGTTTAAAACCTCTCGTATAGTAATATGCAGGTTTTACTGACTACCATAGATGTGGCTGGCTAGTAAGCTCTATGTCACCACATGGTTAAACCCTTGCTGTGCGAGTTCTGATTTTTAAAATATTTTTTTAAAACATTTAGGTCTAGACCAGCCGTCCATCAGCGTTTGATCCGGCTGAAATCTTCAAATAAATCATGCTCGTCTGGAACCTAAGTTGCAAAATATGGACTTTGCTAAATCGCATAAACAATGCGATTTGCAATCCAAATGGCCCCGTACAGCACTAGCAGGTTTTATCCCATTCAGTATGGCGCCATTTGGATTTTTGCAAATAACTCTGAAAGCAGCCAAATTTGAACATTTAAAAAAAAAAAAAGTAACTTATGCTTCTAAATTGTCTTCTTTAAACTCAAATTTGAAATTCACTTTAAATTTTCATTTAAGCAAAAAACCCTGTAAAATCTATACTTTCTTTAAAAAAAGATTCCTAAATGTTTTGATTTTCAATTCACAGTGTATGTCCAACAAGGCACAGGATAAAATGCCAAAGCATACAATTTCATTTAACCCCTACCACAGGGCTCAAACTTTCACACGCTACTAGCCTTTGGCGACTTAAAATCTGCCCTGGCAATTACAAATTAAACCGTGATAAGTGAGTAATAAACCCTCCAGTTTGCAGTGGTGAGTAACGAGTAAGGATTGGCTGGTGGAGTAGGACTTTACATTTTTAGCCCTGCTGTATACTAACATACGTGCAGGCACCATAAAAATGCATGCATCTTTACAGAACTTTGAAAGAAATGCCCAGGACAGCATGCACTCACATGCATACCTCCCACTTCTGGTGTCCAGAGAATACTTACCTCTACAGCACTACTCTCCCCAGTAAAAACTGCCATATAATTTAATGCGGTGAGGGACAGAGAGATTGTGACTTCAAATAAGTGACAGTTCCACTTTAAATATGACACATAAGTAAATTACGAATCCCCTGTCTATTCACATAGTAATTTAGGATATGCACCTCGTAGAAGTCTCCACTACCTTTTACAGGCTCTCTCATATATTTCCATGATATGGCTGCAACCTCTACTATTCAAAAAAAGTTTTCAAAATATATATACAAAATGTCAAGTGTTCTGCAGCTTAGTGTGTCCATTAGTTACATTAATGTCTTTGCTCCGTGCAACTCCTATAGTTTTGTATGGTACCATGGTTTGTATAAATAAGTGTGGCGAAACTAACCTCGCCACTGGGTTATGGAGAAGCCTGATTGCCAGCCTCATGCTAGACTTAAACCCCATGGCGATTTGACTGTGTTTGTGGGATCTAAGCACTGTTTGGATATATTGAGCGCTCAGATCCAAGCCATCTGGGGATAGGTTGAATGTGGGGGTTCTGTTCAGTATGATAGGAATTATGTATATTTGTGTATTTTTGCTGTTGTTGTGAATAGAGACATTTTCTGTACCTGGAGATAGTTGGCTTACCACACCCAGTTAAGCCAATTATCTCCAGGATAGAGGACTCTGTCTGGAAAGCTATGCTTCAGTGGTCACAAAGGACTTCGACCTAACTTTTAAACCAATGGAAGGAATTGTCTGATTTTTGAGTATGTTTGTATTTGGAGTATGTGAATGTGATGTATACTTTTAAAGTTATGAATATTGTGTAAAACTGTGTATTTTCCTGCCTGTGATAATTACGTTAGCCCATTGTGTTCAGTAATTGTATCACAGGAAGAGGGGAGGATTTCTGCTGGTATGAATGGGAGTGTTTAGCTGTGTTGTAATCTATTCATTGGTTTGTTCTTCAAAACCCTGTGGGCAGTACTATGTTTGTAAAATGGGCATAAAAGAAGAGTGTTTGATTAAAAGCTTCAGTTCTACTTCACCCTCAATCTGAGTCCTGTCTCTTATTGGGGGAATCTGCTACAAGGGATTGCTATGCTTGTCATACTCCCTTGGTAAATCACTACTAAGTTCTTGTAAGAGCTTGTTCCTGCCTTGCTCTCTGGAGGAGTCTACGGTGGTTATGGTGTCGGCTGGAGTGCTTGGAGCCCTCAAGAAGTGCTAGGAGCATCCTTCAACGGAGGTACCCAGTCGGGTTGCCAGGTGATCCGTTACAGTAAGTAACACTGACTGGTGAAAAAGTTAGCCAGCTACATTCTTGATGTGCCCAAGTGAGCAGCAAGAAAGATGAGTGAATGAAAACTGCAAATTATGGGGAGATTTTTTTATGTTCTACAGAAAAAAACCAACACTAAAGTTTGAAGTTTCCTTCTAAATTTACAATAGAATGCTAGTTTCCTATCCCATAATCCTCTGCTCTCTGTGTTTCTACGATGTCTGCTCATTAGCTTTGTTCATCCCTGTTCACAGATTAACTTGAGTATTGAACTACATATCCCATCAAGTCCCGCTGAGCATTCGTTTATAGGATTTGTTCAGTGCTCCCATTGACACTGTTATCTTTTTTCCACCTTTGGTCAACATCAACATGTCAAAAGGTCAAAGAGGCACACATTCAGGAGCCGTGGCAAGAACATTTTGTATGAAATGACATAATGATAACCAGTTATGTAAATATAAGGTACAATGTAGTCACCATAATGTTTCTTATGCTTCTTTAACCCCTTAACCCCTTCAGGACTGGCCTGTTTTGGCCACGTTGTACGTTAAGGACCAGGGCTCTGTTAACACTTTTGTGGTGTTTGTGTTTAGCTGTAATTTTCCTCTCTCTTATTCACTGTTCCCATACAAGTTATATATTGTTTTTTTCAGGACAAAATTGGATTTCTTTACATACCATTATTTGTATCATTGTAAAATCTTTTACTTACCTACGAAAGCTAATGAAAAAAACTGATAAATAGATTCAAAATTTTGTCCTGAGTTTAAAAACACCCAGTGTTTACGTGCTTTTCTTGCTTTTTTTCTTTGCAAGTTATAGGGCTATAAGTACAAATAGGAAATTGCTGTTTCAAAATATATATTTTTAAAATGTATCAATAGTGACATTGCAACACTATTATCTGTCATAAATCTCTGAATCACACCCCACAAGTACATATTGTTTTAAAGTAGACAGCCCAGGGTATTCAATATGGGTTTTATGCAGTCTTTTTTAGTAGCCATTTAGTCACAAACACTGGCCAAAGTTAGCGTTTATATTTGTTTGTGTGTGAAAAAAGTAAAAAACTAAATTGAACTCTAATTTTGGCCAGTGTTTGTGACTAAGTGGCTACTAAAAAAGACTGGACATACCCCATTTGCAATAACTTGTGTTGTCTTCTTTTGCAAATGGTATGCCATTATGGGGGTAATTCTCATTCCTGGGCTACCATAGGGTCTCAAAGGCAACATAACCAACCTGGTCATTTTCAATGTAAAAATATTTGGCCCTTATATTTGACCCTGTAACTTTCAAAAACTCTATAAAACCTGTACATGGGGGGGGGGGGTCACTAATATTTGTGTTCAGCAAAGTTACCCGAGTAAAACAGTACCCCCCATGCACAGTTGGTTTTTTTTTGGTGTCCTGGAAAGTTACAGGGTTAAATATAGGGCTTGCGAGCCAAATTCTCTGGACTTTCTGCCTGTGTCGGGCAGGTCCCTCAGATTGTAATTAGTAAAATGACTTAATTATGTAAAAATATTATATAAATATAATTGTAGAATTTAAATATATATGTATATATATATATATATATATATATTTTTTTTTGTATTTATATATAGCTGTCTATATATATATATATATATGTATATATATACATATATATATATATATACACATATATGTATTTATAAAGTCATTCTAAATGTATTTTGAATTTAATATATATGTATATTAATATCAAAATGCAGTTAGAACAAATTAACACTGGTATATACATTTTTTACATTTATTTTTATTTTTTGTCATTTTTTTATTGATTAATATTTTATATATATATATATATATATTCATTCTAAGTGTAATTTTAATATATATATATATAATTATATATATTAATATTAAAATACACTTTTATCAATGATGTATGTATGTGTATATAAAAGTACTTAGATTATATATATATATATATATATATATATATATATATATATATATACACACATCTAAGTACTTTTTATTTAATTTAAAAACTGTTTAATAACTTTTACTAACTTTTAAAAACTGATAGTTCAGGCAGGCCCCCTGCAGGCACTGCATAAGCTGGCTATTCTGGCCATGTGATCGCGAGGACCCCGCAATCACATGGCCGGGGGGAGGGGAGGGGGCTGGATTGGGCAGAGGGGGTCTGACTGAGCTCCCAGGCAGACCCCAGGATCGAGACTGCCGGCGTGGGAACGGCTGGGACCCGGTAAGTAGTAAGGACGGCAGGGACATTCTATGCCACCCGCCGGTTTTTAGGACCACCCCAAAAAAGCATAGAACGCCCACCGTCCTTAAGGGGTTAAAGGAACACTATAGTCACCTAAACAACTTTAGTTTAATGAAGCAGTTTTAGTGTATAGATCATGCCTCTCAGGTTTTACTGCTCAATTCACTACCATTTAGGAGTTAAATCACTTTGTTTCTGTTTATGCAGCCCTTGCCACACCTCCCCTGGCTATGATTGACAC